TAGAAAATAAGTCGATACATTTCGAAAGATAAACAAAAAGTTAAATATTAAAAGATCTAAAACAACACATATGTGCTAGATTTGGCAAGAAATCAACAACATTTATAATGTGAAGCAAATATTTGGTCAGTTAGAGTGAGTAGGATGTACCAATTTAAAATCAAACCACTCAAAATAAGTCATAAGTTGTCATCTCAAACTGACTAGTTAATAAAGTTTGCCAAAGTTCCACTCTTTTCATTTAACAATGGATATTGAATCATTAACAAGTGTTTAAAATATGATGAATCTTTAGTTCGTTAAGTTTATATCTATTTTGTTTTCCATTTTTCTTCATTTAAAGTATTAGTCATTTCATTCAACATAGAATGTTGATGGAACAATATTATGTAATTTATTCATAATAGTGTGACATAATGAATTTTATCAATGTTAATAATCAATCATAAACGGAACATATATTTTACGAAAGCTTAGTTTCCTAAATTTGTTCTTCAAATGGAGTTTATGTGTTGTTGATAACTTGATAATGGCAAAGTTTTGTTAAACAAACAAAATCATATATTGAATTGGTATTGTACCTCTTTTTTAGTTTGTCAATTTTTATATTTAAAAGCTTTATTCGTTTTATTCAACTAAATATGTCGCTGGAATATATTTTTTTCTAGGTTATACAAATAAATCTTTCTTTCTTTGGATTTACGTGTAAATGGGTCTCTAAAAATCACATCTAACATAATATTTCAATTTTTTGTTCATTTTGGTTTTTCCTAGAAAGTTTGTGCACCATTGGGGACTTGACAAATCATAGCCTTTAATATGTCGAGAGTACCTTGTTATAAGATTCAATGTCATATATACTATGTGCAATAGACCAGCTAAATAAATTATTCAACCATTAATGCTTACAATGGACCAGTTGAATAAGTAAAAAATCTACGTGGATTAAACTGAGTTGAAAGAATTTAACTAGTTGAATCTCAAAAATCTGGGCCCACCAACGACATATGGCGAGTTTTAAATGGTGTGTGTTATATACTCATATTTATTTTTATTAGTTATTGAGATTTATGTTATTTTTTTCACCCTAATTAGTGAAACTCAATTATTTAATATCAAACGATGTTCAATATTTATTTATTTTAGTAAAAAATTCATCATTTTTCATACTCTATAAATAGAGACTAGTCTCATTTAATTTAAATACAGAAAAAATCTTATTTTTGACTAAAAATTAATAACAAATATAAATATGAGATAAAAGTAATGGAGTAGAGAGTTAAATATTTATTAAACAAAATTATTGTAGTGTACAAAGTTTAAAAATATGTTGAATGATTAGGTAGATGAGAGAGAAGATGATGTGGAGCATAATGTAGAGGGTTGAATTCTCAAACCAATGTACATAGTTAGACTATGAACAATGATTTTTTAATTCAACCCCATACTTTATGCTCCACATCATCACCTCTCTCTTCCACCTCATTATTTAATACTCTTTTCAACTTTTACTATCTACAATAATTTTGTTTAATAATATACAACACCTTACCCCACATTTTTTTATGTTTATGTTTTCTTATTTTATATTAATATAGAAAATATGTTTTTGTTTCTGTGTCCGAATAAAATGAAATAAGTCTCTATTTATAGAATATAAAAGATGATAAATTTTGGTATAAAATTTATAATTAAAAAAATTAATTTTGATTGAAATAATTGAACTCAAAAAATTTATGGGGATAAAAAGTATCAGAAATCTCAGTAACCAATTATATTGTGACACATGTCTTTAGTGGGACCCAATTTTTTCTTATCAACATGTTGTTAGTTTTCAACGGTGATTTTGTCAAGTCATTCAAGAGATAGTTTCAACAAGGGTATAAAAGGTTTTGTGCAAAACAACCTCAAACTAAATTTTTTTGCAAATCAAACCCTCAATTTAAAGTTGTGCAAATCAAACCTCTGAAGTCAAAATAACCCCGCAATATAAGACATCTCTATATTTGTGACAAAATTTAAAATGATTTTATGCAAAAAAACCCGCGAACTATTTTTATGTGCAAATCTAACCCTCAACTTAAAAAATATGCAAGTCAAACCTGCAAAATCGAAAGTCACTGCTAAAATGGACTTATATGTATTTGTCCTTAACTACAAACGTTGACTCAAAACGTCATGACATTTATAATATTTTAACCATTTTTATTAAAAGTAAATTAAAAAAAAAAACTTTAATCTTTAATTTCCTTTCTCTTTCTCCTCTTATTAATGAATTTATCTCGAGTAATCTTATCGCGAATAAGTTGATTCTTTTCTTCATGATCTCATTAACTAATGACGACGAAGAGACAAAGATAAGAACTAATTTACTCGCAATAGAATTATTCGAGAGAGGCTCATAAAGACATAGGACTTCAGATCTTCCAAGTAATTATATTGTGAGTAAGTTGGTTCGGTTTTGATTTTCTGGATTGGTTACGGTTTAGTTTTTTTGGATTTGGTTAAAAATCCTAACCCTCTCCTTATTGATGGAGAAAAAAGAGAAGAAATATTGAATTATTGTTTTAAGTATTTTTAATAAAAATGGTTAAAATATTATAAATGTCATGATGTTTTGAGTCAACGTTTGTAGTTAAGGACAAATACATATAAGTCATTTTAGCAGTGACTTTCGACTTTGCAGGTTTGACTTGCATATTTTTTAAGTTGAGGGTTAGATTTGCACACAAAAAATAGTTCGGGTTTTTTGCATAAAATCATTTTAAATTTTGTCATAAATATAGAGATGTCTTATATTGCGGGGTTATTTTGACTTCAGAGGTTTGATTTGCACAACTTTAAATTGAGGGTTTGATTTGCAAAAAGAATTTAGTTTGAGGGTTGTTTTGCACAAAACCCATAAACCTCACTAAAGCCACTTCAACTGTTAAAAATTATTATTAACAACCTCATTGCACATAGTCTTAGGATAAACGATTCTGAATAGACAATAATGTGTTGGTCCAATGGGGACGAAATCGTTACAAACTATCGATATAATAAACCTTCATACGACGGAAGAAAGATGTGTAGACACGCAAGATGAGCTTCATTAACGTATTACTATCAATTTTTTCAATCATTACGATTAGGGCTGGAACTATGGGTCTGAATGGTGACACAGATCAAATACAGAATAAATGCATATATAGATTAAATACACATGATCTGTATTTAACACACAATCACAATTTTAATACATATCAAAATAAATGCAGGAGAAATTTTTTGATCTATATCCAGATCAAAATTCAGTCAAAAAATTAAAGTATCAATGGGTCCCACAGATTAATGCTTTTTTCTTCTCTCTCTTAATTACTTGTTAATATCAAATTCGGATTATTTAATAACAAAAAAAATCTACAAAAATGGTATTCATTTTATAATATATATTATATTATCAAATATATTTTATATATATTATTATATATAAAAACTAAGGTAATTTGTATGAATACTACAAAAATTGAAAGTATTTCGAAAAATAACATTTTGCATCCAAAATATTATAAATAAACCAAATATATAATTTCTTTTAAGTATCATTTTCTAAAATAATTTAAAACTTAATCAACTAATGATCACTAATATTAACTAAAAAAAACTCATTTTTAATACAATGCATAAAATTAGATAAAGATCTGAATCATTATACATGTCATACCATAAATTTTATTTTACTTTGTTTCATAATCTTGATTTGATTTTATTTTTATATAATGATGTAAAAAATATTTAACAAAGAACATGAAAAAAAATTATTTTGGTTTGACACTATTATCGTTTCAAATTTAATTTAATAAATAAAACATGAACTATATTTTCTTAATGTAAGTTTCATTTTCATGTTACAGATTCTTGGAATTTAGAAAACTGAATAATGAATAAGAATAAATTTGAACATTTATGTTAAGTGTGTATCTACCGGATTCGAAAATCTAAATCGGAATTGACCTGGAAAATCTTAGTTCGGGGGCTGGATTCGGATATAGACATTTTACCCAACTCGATAAAATTTATCTAATTGAAATATTTCAAACCAAAAGAAATCAAACTAAATGCGATCCAAAAATCCGAATATCCATAATAATTTTCACGATCCGAAAATTCGAATGTCCAAACTAATTTTCTCGTTTTTGTTTGATCTGTATTTGATCTGCATGATCCGCATGATCTGTATTTGTTCTGTATGATCTGGATTTACTGTTTGATCTGCATATTTTGATCTGTGTCACCATTCGAAGCCTATATTTGGGAACCCTGTCTGCACATGTACATAGGGAAGGTGGTGGATGAGCGAATTTCAACCTTAAAGTTGAAGCAATGGTGGGTGAGCAAGATCCACATGTTCACATGCATTCCATATCTACGTACCATGTTTTATGAACCCATGTTTTATCTATGAATATGTTCATCAAATTTAGTACATGCATTGTTGTTAACAACAACATTTCATTTCGTTCTTTAGCTAGGGATCGAAAGTGGATTATCCAATCATTTGGTGGGAATGTTTTATAATGTATTTGTCTTATGCATTAAATACCCAAATAGTTTAACAAGCAAAGCCACATAACAAAGAGAGAATTTCGTGCAGGAACCAACAACCATCATACCAATACTATTTACTAAATTTAGCATGCTTTGGTCTTTTGGTATAAGTAAATTATTTAGCGTAAACATAAAATAAAAAGAAACAGATGATAGTGTAACTTAATGAACAAAAAAGTTATTATACACATATAACAATAAAAAAAAGTTGAACAAAAACCGAAATGGCATAATATTAAAGTTCAAAGTACAAACGGTTTGATCTGACTTTTGTTTGTACAAAACTGACAAAAAAAAACTAAAAACCAAAAAAATCAAACCCAATTAAACCGTCAATCAGATTGTCTACCCCCTATTGAGAAGAAACTACTGAGACAAAGCTAAAACTGATCAATTGCTTAATCTCATTATCATCTGAAGACAGCGTTGATTAAATCTTTCAGATTCTTGCATCCGATAATCTCAACATCTTTCAAATCAAGCGCCTTGAGTGACTTCTCCACTGATTTAGGAACCACACATTTGGTAAAACCTAGCTTTGCCACAGTACTTACCCTCTTCTCCATTCTCGGTACCTATACAAATTCATTATCCTTCAATCAATCATAAATATTAAATAGCAGTAAATGAATTCTTCCAAATGCTATTGCTTACCGTGCGAACCTCGCCTCCTAGACCAATCTCGCCGATGAATGCTACTCCATTAGGAATCGGAAACTCCAAGAAACTGGATTACGCAATAAAAACAACCAATTATGCTTCATTTGCAGCTAAGCAAGTAACTAGATAATGGATCTTGCAAGATTTTACAAAACCACTTTTTGAAGAGCACAAAGAAGAAAACAACTCTCACCTGCTACAAATTGCTGCTGCTATTGCAAGATCGCCCGCCGTCTCAGAAAGAGCCATTCCGTTAGCAACGTTCAGAAAAATCCCCTGAAGCAAAAAAAAAAAATCATTATTAGCACGCTTCTTATCATTAGTCAATAGAGGGAACAACATTGCAGATTGACACAATAATAAGGAGTCTCTAAACTTACAGATTCCTGAATTCTAAGACCAGCTTGCTTCATAAGAACCTGTGATATGATAGGCCAAATCAGAACAATAAGAGATAACATTTGTTCAAGACGGAAAAGAGAAGAGAGGGCATTTACAAAACGTAATGTGAGTGGTAGCACTTACTGCAATTATCATGTCAGCTCTGCTTGCTTGAACACCATTAACATGCCTTGAAACTGTGGAGCCAGGCGCACACAACGCCTACGTAAAGACACAAACCAATGTTTTAACAAGAGCTACGATACTTTGATTTCAATGTCCACTAACACTTCAAGTCAAGCAATGTCGTATCTAGGACTTTCAAAACGTAATGTAACTTAACAAGCTGGAGTCCGTTTATAGCTACCTGAACTTCAATGAGGAAGCTCCGAGATCCGTCCATAACAACCGCTACAGCTAATCCAGCTAAAACATCTGAGTCCAGGTTCTGTTGACTAAGATATATGCCACTAGGGTTCGAGACCACTTCAAGTCCTGATTGTGCCATTTCAAAAACTCCAAGCTGAAAAAAGAAGATAGTCACTATTTATTCGATAAGCGTACATATGACAAGTAACCTCAAACGTCAAACCACATAACATAATAAAGGGAACAAAATCCACAGAAATGACTCAATGAGATGCTGGACTAGCAAGTTCATGAATTGATGAAAATGCATATTAATTTGATGTGGTCATGCTAAGGATTTGTAAACATACCTCATCAGTCGACCCAAACCGATTCTTCACGGAACGCAGCAAACGGTAAGCTGAATGTTCTTCACCCTGAAATATGACATAAAACAAATGTCAAGTAATCATCTTATGTTATACCTCATAACAAACCAAGCGCTCTAGTCTAGAAAAGAAGTTATCAAGCTAATCAAAACAAACCATAAAGCATATAGTTAGAGCTACAGAGCACCATTTATTGAAAGGGATATCATGATTACATATCTAAACACAACAGAACAAAAAGCTGGTTACCTCCATGTACAAGACAACATCTACTATGTGCTCCAAAACACGAGGTCCTGCAATATCGCCCGCTTTTGTAACATGCCCAACCTAAAACAGAAAGTTGAGTGCATAAATTAGTAAACACAACAGATTCATATTTGAACTAGGATAAAATGGCAGAAGGGTGCTTACTCACCAAGAAAACAGGGACATTAGATTTCTTAGCAAAACGCAGCAGTGTTGATGTGCACTCTTTAACCTGTCATCATCAGTAATTCCCAAGAAAATCACATTTTCAGCAGACAAAATGTTTTACGGAAGAGTATATGTAATGAAAAAGAGAACGCTGGAGATCGGTCTTCATCTAGCAAATGAAAGTTTCCTTTTAAACATAACTAAATATATGTGGGATTCCATGTAGATGGGAAGCAAGAAAAGAAGATATGACTTAACTTCTTGTTATAGTAGTTAGAAGAAAATTTAGTGAGAGTCCAATCTAATAGAGGAAATTTTTTAAACCTGTGTGAGACCACCAGCGCTTCCAGTCACCTCTTTAAGGTAAACCGTTTGAATTGAATCAATGATGAGAGCTCGGGGAGATAGCCGATGAGCTTTTCTCAGAATGTCCTGAAATAAATTAAAAAACAGATGATTTGATTCAGGTAATTTTCCACGTTCCTTTTCAGAAACAGTTATGATACAGAAAGGCTTGAGATTTCACGAAGTATAGAGTTAGCGTGTGACATGTAAACATGAGGAAAATTAACTTGGAGATCAACAGGTAGAGCTACGCACAATAAGCAACAAATACATTGCATGCTTGGGCGTTTAGAGAAAGTGTTAAAATATGACTTGTGTTTGTTTACGATTAAAAGAATACTAATCCACAGAAAAAAAAGTATACCTGAAGATCAGAGCTAGAAAATAGGTAGAGCTCGTCGGTTTCAATTTTCATCCTGTCAGCCCGACTTCCTATTTGGTCGACACTCTGCAGTTGTGCAAAAACAAAAAATGATCTTAAGAAGAAAAAAGTGTAATCAAGCCAACATAATGCATGGGATAATATCCTTCAGAACAATACTAGAACTACCGTAAAAGAGAACATTTTTCTACAAATAAAGTGCAGATGCGAGTAATTTGGATGCTAGAACTGAAAGACTACTTTGCATTTTGCAATTAAGCTCATTCACACCAACTTAAGCAGCCATGGAACAAATATACAATCCACGAGTTTTGGATACACAGAAGTTGAGTACTACTAACCTCTTCACCAGAGACATACAAAACCGGTGCTGGTTGGGCCGAATCATTCCCCTCAGCAATTATAGAAGCAATCTTCCATTCAAGAATACGGAGAGAGGATCAGTGAGTCGTTGTGTGCATTCACAATCCGTTTTCACATTACTAAAAGTTGATAACCAACGTACCAAGGGAAAACAAAATAATAAAATCACATATTCTAACCTGCAATAACAAGGTACTCTTGCCAATACCAGGGTCACCACCAATCAAAATCAAGGAACCTACAAAACAACACTATAGAGCATAAGCTTTTCCAGAAACTGAAGTAATGTTAAACACAAAACGAAAGACGAAAAAGAATTAAAATCATGAAGACAGCATCAAACCTGGAGCAAGACCACCACCAAGCACTCTCCCAACTTCATTCCCAAAAAGTCCAGGCCTACTAACATCAAATTGCATCATGTAAACAATAAGAACAACAAAAAAAATATCATATTTAAAGAAGAAGCAATACATACAGAGAAATTCGCCATTGTTGCTGAGTAATTCCATCAATCACAGAGCTCAATTTGAGCGGCTGCACCACTCCTTGCTCAGGCAACCACGACAAACCAGAACTTTCCGAAACACCCGAGCCGCCGCCGCCGCCGCCACTAAAATTTCCACCACCACTTCCACGAGACTCGGAAGCTTCGGAGAAACGCCGCATGGTCCCAACTTTGTTACAAGCACGACAGCTCCCCCACCATTGCCCTTCCGAATGCCCACAGCTCTCGCAAACCCAAGAGGTTTTCACTTTACCTTTCTTCTTATTCATCACTACTTCCCCTGGATCCCATCCCCGCGTAAATCCGCCGGATTTGGATTTTCTCGATTTCTCCTCGGGCTTCTCTTCTCCGCTAAAACTCGCGTCATTTGCGATTCTTCGTCTCTCTGTGACTTCGTCTGAGGTTGAATTGACGGTTTGATCGGAGACAGGTTCGAAAATGGAGGAGAGGCGACGGAAACGGAGGCGGACGGGGGGAACAGGAACCGTTACCGGAGAGGAGGAAGATCGGAGAAGAAGATGAGAGTGTACTCGAGTGTAGAAGCATCTGAAACATTTCATATTTGCGATCATCATCAACACAAGTCTCGAAATCTCCTTCAATTTTCTACTGCTCGTTAGGGTATGAGCTTGGAAGGACCCGCCAATTTCACACTCTTGATTTGCCGCTCAGTCTTCTCTCTTCTCTTCACATTTCCCAACACAGCACTAGCAGTGCTAAAAGTAATTAATGTTGTTTTACTAAGTGTGTTAACACCAAATGGCCACGAACCAACCAAGCCCAGGCCCACTAAGACCTGGCATGATTCCACAAGACCCAAAGAAGCCCGGACTAGCCCTGAAATTAAGTGTTTACGGTGTGCCTTTCTTCCTCTCTTTAGGCTCTACAGCAATGTAGCTTGATACTGTGACAGAAATGCATCCGGGGACTTTGACTCACTAGCTAGACACTAATGAGATGTAATCATTAAATGGTGACGAAATTTGTCTTCTAATGGTGAAGTTAAGCTCTTCTTCACGCTTTTTATAGTGTTATGGTTTGCCCGGAAAGAAAAAAAAAAATCCATTGAAAAAAGATTAATATTGGTAGATTATGAATTAACTGGTACTAGATAGATAGAAAAAAATGTTACTACAACACATGACATGTAGGAATGTAGTGGTGTGACAACAAAACGTTTTAACCAATTTATAAGTCATATATATCCTGATCTATTCTTTTTTTTTTTGGAAACATATATTTCTTTGATTACCTTTTAATATAGACTTTCACAAATAACTTAGCCTATCTAATATTGTGTTCTTATACTTTTACTAGGAAATCTCCAAAATTATGTTAATGATATATATATATATATATATATATATATATATATATATATATTATTGATTTAATACCAAATCCTGACATAAATATTAAACATTTGGTGGTGAAAATTCATTTAGTAGTTGTTAACCAAATGGTTAATTATATTTCTACATTAGAATGTCTGGAGTTTCGTTTGCTAGTGGATGAGATTTTTTTGTTAATCAATGGAGGTAATGCTTATAGGAATACTAGGTAATGCTAATGAAATTTTAAACTGTTATATATATATATATATATTTTTTTTTTTTACAAAAGCTTCACATTTTTTATTTTTTGCTGTTTTTTTATAAACTTTTCTTTGTAATATACTTTTTAATTATTTTTTACTTACCAATTTAATTATTTTATAATTAGTCATAATAACTTAATAAGTAAGATATTTTTATATTTTCTGTAAAAAACATACAATAGCCCTATCCTCACATTTCTTAAATTAATCCCTTAATTTTACTATTCATTAGACACTTTTAAATTTTTTATATCCATTAAAGGTCATTCGGCAAGCTTTTGTACAGTCCAATATTAGTCTACCAAGTGAATGTTTATTATCTAATTTATGATTTTGTTCTTTTCATTTTTGTGTTGACTAAATATTTGCGAGTTCTTTAGTTGTCTAATGCTCTTGATTTTTTTATATATATATTTGGTATATTAAATTGCCTTTGTATCTTCCAAAAGTCTCTCAAGTCACCGAAGTTCAAAAGATGGTGGTGTTTACTTGCAATTCATATTCGCTGTGTTAAGCATTGATGATACATTGGAAGTTAATAAGGTCGAGAGAGTAGCATATGATGATGTGAAATCTGTGGAGTATTTCTTAAAACAAAAGTTTGAATCACAGCCAAAGATTGCCAAGGTTGGTAAACTTTCTCTCTGTTCCACCAAGTACTTAGAAACATTAGATAATAGTCTTTAGATAAAAAGTAAAAGGATAAGCATTAGATAATAATCTTTTAATCAAACATTAGATATAGTCTATCTATTATAGCACATCATGTCTTTGAAATCAGCTATTGATCGTCCTGGTTCATAAGTTTCTCTATCTTCATCAAAGTGTGTAGCTTTAGCTGATTTTCATTTAAACGTAGGCTTGGGAAGTTGAAAAGTCTTGTGTTTTCTGTGAAGCATGTCTTCACCTAGTGATTTCCAATAGTGATTCCACAAATTTAGAGGACTCCCAACCACTACAAGAAATATGGACATTGATAGCAGATTACCATAGCACGATTTTCGTAACTGCTATTAAAGGGGTATATTGATTTAGGGTACTCTATTATAACATTTTTTAAATGCTATGCCGAAATTTCAGTAACCGGGAACTATTGGAGCCTAATTTTTCCAAATTTGTCATAGGCCTCGACACTTAAAAAAAAGGTCACAAGCCTTTTCTGTACAAAAAAAAACCAGATCTCTTGCGAGTGCGACCTTCGACCTTCTTCTCCTCCCTCTATCCTCTTCATTTCCGATTTACTCCTCAATCATCTCCGATCGGAGATGCTCCTCAATCTTGTGATAGCCCTCTCTCATCATCTCTCTCCTGCTTATCCCTTAGAAAATTAGGGTTTTAGACGAGGAAGAAGAGCAAACGTCTCTCGACTTTCCCCGTCAGTCTCTTCAGTCTCGCGACGGCACTAACGAAAATCCCGACTAGAAAGCAGAAATTTATCCTTCTGCTGGATCGATTCCTGGATTGATTCCGATTAGGACATATGTATTCTCCTTGCCTTGCTCCTTCTTTTGTTTCATAGCTTGGACCTCGTTTCTTATTGTGCATTTGATTTTTAAAAATTCTGGGTTTTGTGTGTTTTTCAGAGTTTGTTGGGGTCTTTGAATTTCAAAGCAGTTGTGATTGAGGTAAACTAAAAATCTCAATGCTTTAGCATCTTTGCTTGATTTCTTTTTACGACTCTAATCTAATAACGATTCCTACTTTGGTGGTAGCTAATTCACGAAGAAAGATGTATTGCCCTTTAATGTCTACAGTTCTCAGTTAGCCTAGCTGTTCAAGAGCGCCAGAACTGTTGAGATGGTTGAGAGACGAGTTCAGAATTCTATTTTGCGGATTGATGTGATGTCTAATTTGTGAGGTATAGTTTTCTTAAAAGAGATTGTTATCCTTTGGGGTTTAAGTAGTTTATGTTGCATCACAATGATAAAGATTGCTGTGTTGTTGAGATGAATCGTTTTTCAGTTCTTTGTTTTTCAGGTAATCTATGACAAAGTACCAGGACCAAGATGGGGTTTCGGATTCGTGACTATGTCGCCAGTCTCTGAAGTTGAGGCAGCTGCTCAAGAGTTCAATGGCTATGTAAGAAGATACTACTCTACCTTACTCTATTCTTTGATTGTTGTAATTAATTGGCTAAGGAATTGTTGTATCCTTGCTTGTTAGTATGTGTCTGTGTTTTGTTTTTTTAATTTTTGAGTTAGTGCTTTTGTGCTTTTGTATTCATTTTTAGCTGAGAAATGAGGCGTTTGATGGATACTTATATGGTTTTATGCTGTTCTATATTCCAGTGATAAGCTGCAAAGACGCTAATCTGGAGAAATTGGAGAGCAGAAACAGTGATCTTTAAGCACCACAAAACTTCCTGTTTGCACCACTTTCTATCAAGGTTTGGCTATCTGTCAATAAAACGTTTTCACTATTTTGATGATAGATGTTGCGTATCCAAAGGTGTAGGCTAAAGCCGGTGATGATATGGTTAGAACTCACTTTCCTCTTTGTACTTACTAGATTTTCGTACAAGAAGTGATATTCTTGACATCACTTTTATGGCGCTTTGTGTGGTTATTGATTAATGTATTCTTGACATATGATTCACAGTATAACCTCCTGTGGGCTACAGTTGCTGAGGAAAATAACTTGTTGGCGGTTTTTGTTTTGCTAGGATTAGATGATTGACAATGTTCTTGAGCATTGATCCAGATGAAGCCGAAGAGAGTGGTAATGGAGCAGTAAGCCACAAGCGAATTTGAGTTTAGTACATGCCAGAGTTAAGCAAGGAAATGGAGTTTGGATTCTACTGTTAGTTAAGACTTGAACTGAGTGAGACTTGTAATATTTGTTGAGGATTGAGGCTTGTATTGAGTTTTTCTATATATATATTGAATTCTATGAAAAATCAGGTTTCTTGCAAATGTATAACAAATATGAATATCTCAAACTAAATGGTGTGTATCAACAATAATAGTATATATAGCATACCGAAAATCAGTGTTTTATAGCAGCAAAATATGGCTCTTATATTTTAAATTATAGCTACAAAATAGAGCTACTAAACAATATATTATAGCCTAGTAAAAGAGCTACAACAAAGAAAATTATATCATTTATTATACGCTATAATAGACAAACTTGTAATAGCACATGAAAAAAGTGCTATCATATGGTGGTGACCTATAATAGCTCCGGCTAACACAGCGTTTATGAAAACGCTATCAAACACATATTATAGCACTAATCGTATGCTGTCAATGGGCATATTTCTTGTAGTGAACTTGACAATATATCAGCAAGCAAACAAATAGTCTTCGTAGTTGATAAGGTGTAGACCATTGAGTTGCTTCGTCCATCACGTCATGCCACTCAGAGTCTGAATCTAGGAGACCTCTATCATAGGATACTGATTTGTAATCATCATATTTCGTGTCCCCAGCACTTTGAATCTCTTCAAAACTTTCCACTTTTGACCATAGACTTCTATCGCTGTTCCATGTAATTTTTTTCAGAAATTCCGAATAAGTTATCTGATGAGCCTCTTCTGATTCTTCGTTTCTCTCCATCCATCGTCTAAACATACTTTTCTCAATGTCTTCCTTTGATTGAACTCTACTCATAATGAAAGAGTTATTACCATAAAGGTCCTCGTTCTTGTCAACAGATTCATTAAACTCGGCGTTGGAACGAATCCCAAAGTTTTGACCCTCAATAGTGTAGTCATCATGGTCGGCTTGCACCATTGTTGTTTCCGGAATGAATTGGATGAGAAATCTGTGTGAGGAGAACTTGTAGCTCGTTTTGTTGATGATGACCAAAAAACTACCAATGTTGTAGACTTCTCCCGCCTTTTTGTTGTTGATGACCAGAAAGCTATTAAACTTGTAAACTTCACCAGCCTTTAATTTTTCCTCATAGTCTCCTAGTCGATAAGCTGGTATGAATGCTTGGATTGTAGTTCCCTGTATTAAATTATGGTAGAAAAGAGTATTATAAGCTGATGATGATTTAACTTTCTATTGGTAATTGGTAAATAATGTTGGTGTCGTTACCTTTTGATCGATTAGAAGCAGTTCATATCTCATAAGCAGACCTCCTTTTTTAGGGTTCCTTGCCTCCCAGAAGTGGATGTCTCTAGCAAGCAGCTCTTTCTTACAAAATCCTTTAGTGAGTTCATCCAAAACAAAAGGACGCCATAACTGATCAGAAACAGAAGAGCTGGAAGAAGACATAGCTATTTTAATAAACGCTCTCTCTTGAAGAATATGTTGTCTTTAGAACTCTTGTATGTGTATTCTAAAGTTTAGAGGACTATTTATAGCCAATGCCAAACATTGAAATAGCTAAATTGTTAATTTCCTTTTTATTTTAATTAGTTAGTTTAGTTTTCCAATAATATGTTCTTTTTGTTAGTTTAACTCTTTTTATGTTGAATTTCCATTAAACTATTTAAAATAATGGTTAAGGTAATTGGTGTCGTAATGTAAGTATTAAAATTCAAAATAGTACAATTTCCATTCTTTAATACAATAATGTAATTTTTCTCAAAAATTATTTAATTTTCGATTTTAAAATTAAAATGCTGATTTGGCAAAATTTAATTGGTTTCTTAAAAGCTGATGTGAATGCTCTCAAAAGTTTATAGCTTTTCTATAGTATGGGTTGCCCGCCTGTTCCCCCCCAACTAAAATGTTTCCATCGTGATCCACACAGACTATTGAGCCCTTTTATTTCCCCCCAAACTTATAATCTCTGTCGGTTTCCCCATTTGCGTTTTAAAAAACAAAATCCAGTTTTCGGAACAGTGATTGCCCGTTTTAACTCAATTGACCCGGGTTTTAAAACGCAAACCCGCGGTTTGTCTAACAAATCAGACCCGATTACATCTAACCCTAACCCGCAACCTTTTTCCCAAAAAATTAAAATCGATTTGGGGGAAATCGAAAGGGGATTAGGGTTCGTCGATTTGGGGAAATCAAAAGGGGATAGATTCGGGGTTAAATCCTCTGTTCGGTGTTCTCCCCCGTGTTGCTCCGTCGTTCTCATCTGGTCGGTTCTCCTGTTTCGTCGTCGTTCTCCGGTAGTCACGAAAGGAAACTGCATTTCCGATGAGGTATTGTTTCTTCGTTTTAGCGTTTAAATTCGTTCTGCTGACACTTAGAGTAGTTGTTTAGGGTGATTGTGGGAGTGATTGTCTCATGGTTTTGCTTATTTGCAGTCATTTCGACACTTTGAAATTGAACTTGCATTATGGAGGACTTATGGAGATAATCGGTGGTAGATTCAGTTACAATGGAGGAGCTTCGAAGCAGGGCATTGTTGTTGATCCTGATTTGATGACCTGGTCGTGTTTTGATGGCTACTGTGAGGAGTTTTCGATAGAAGGTGGTTTAGTGGAGCGAGTTTGGTGGAAGCTCCATCACGAGAGCATGGATACACTGAAGTGTATTGGTGTCGTGGCAAGTGACTCAGAGCTTATGAGAATGTGTAGTCAGGCTATGTCAACTTGTCGTGAAGTTGATGTGTTCATCGAGCAAGAGGAAAAGGGAAAAGATGGTGAGGAGGCTGATGTCAATTTGGAACAGTCTGCTGCTGTTGAAACTGAGAGCGAGAAGGCTCTTTCTGCTGAGAGCGAGAAGGCTCCTTCTGCTGAGGAGAATGAAAGCGAGATTGGTGAGGGTGAAAGCGAGGAGGCTGAGGAGAATCAAAGCCAGGAGGCTGAGGAGAATCAAAGTCAAAGCGAGGAGGCTGAGGAGAATCAAAGCGAGGCTGCTGCAGATGAAAGCGATAAGGATGCTGGAAATGAAAGCGAGATTGATAGCGAGAAAGAGGAAGCTTTGAGGGAAGCTAAGAGGAAAAAGGATAAAAAAGGTAAATCTAAGGTTTTGGAAGATGAAGAAGACATTGGTGCGCGATATGATATGGAGATTGAGGATGCTGTAGCTAGTTTTGTTGATGAGGAAGTAGATTTCAGAAGGACAATTCTAGAGAGTTCAGATAGTGAAGAAGAAGATGATTTGGCTTTGAGAAAGAGACGAATGAAGAGAGATGCTCAGGTTGATAAGTTAGCTCTAGGAGCTACTTTTTGGTCAGGTTATGAGTTCAAGGAAGCCGTTTTGGATTATGCTTTGGCGAATGCAAAGAATATTGAGCAAAATAGATGGGACAAGACGAAGATTGGATACAAATGTGGTGAAGGAGGAAAATGCAAGTGGAAGCTTTATTGCTCGTATGATGAGCCGCATGGGAAGTGGGTTATAAAGACAAAGTGTGGATATCACAGCTGCACGCCTAAAGGAGATGCAAGATGCTTAAAGCTCCAGTCATTGCAAAGCTTTTCTTGCACAAGTTGAGGCAAAAGCCTAACTTTTGGCCTATCAAAATGCAGAAGTACATCAAAGAAACTTGGAGGCTTGTAAGCACAACGAATCAATGCCAGAATGGAAGGTTGCTAGCTCTGAAATGGCTCGACAGAGAGTATGAGCAACAATTTGCACATATTCGTGGATATGTCGAAGAGATACTCACGCATCACGAGAGAACAACGGCCATTGTTGAAACATATCCGAATGCAAAAAACCAAGATGTCTTCAGTCGGTTTTATGTGTGTTTTGAGAAGCTTAGGACCAGATGGAAAAGCTCTTGTCGTCCTATCATCGGGTTAGATGGAACCTTCTTCAAAGGCATAGTGAAAGGTTGTTTGTTGACAGCGGTTGGACATGACCCTAACAATCAAATTTATCCGATTGCTTGGGCTGTGGTACAAGCTGAGACAGGGGACAATTGGTTATGGTTTATGAAGAACCTAAAGGCTGATTTGGGGCTTGAAGATGGCAGTGGATATGTCATCATTTCAGACAGATGCAAGGTAAGTTAGACTTAACAACTTTGATTTTTTGACAGTTTCATTCGCTTTATACAGTTTTGTCCTAACAACTTTGATTTTTTTTTTGAAGGGACTACTTAGTTCTGTTAAAGCCGAGTTGCCAAAGGCAGAGCATAGGTTTTGCGTGAAGCACATCTATGAGAACTTGAAGAAGAACCATGCCGGGAAAGACTTATTGAAGAAGTATGTGTGGAATGTTGCTTGGAGCTGTACTATGACTGCATACCGAAAGAATCTTCAGAAGCTAAAAGAGTATGATGTGCCTCTGTTTGAAGATGTTTTGAAAATGGAGCCAAGGAATTGGACATTAGCTTTTTTCAAGCTTGGTAGCTTCTGCGACAAGGTGGAAAACAACTCAACAGAATCTTTCAATGCAACTATTACAAAGGCAAGAGGTAAGGCCATAATACCAATGCTTGAGACCATTAGGAGGCAAGCAATGGTTCGAAATGCAAAGAGACAGAAGAAGGCTGAAAGATGGGATGGTAGGTGTACAAAGTATGTCAAATTGGTCCTCAAGGAGCTGAAGGAACACGCTGACAAATGCGTGGTCAGTCGTGAGAGTCATGGGAACTTTGAGGTGGATCTTTATGATGATAGATGTCATGTAGACACGAAAAATAAGACATGCTCGTGCTTTAAATGGCAATCTCAGGCATCCCATGTGAGCATGCGTATGGAGCGATGTTAGATGCTGGTTTAGACACAGATGATTATGTCTACGAGTGCTTCTATACAGGTAAACAGCGAGACTGTTATAGTGATAATGTCAAGCCAATGAGAGGACCAGGTTTCTGGATGGCTGGTTCTCATAGGCTGGTGGTAGCTCCTCCGGAACAAGATCCTCCAGAGGGAGAGGGATCTGAAAAAAAGAAAAAGAAGAAGTCCAAAAAAGGCGAAAAAAGAATCAAGGGTAAGTTTGAGTCACCAAAAAAGAAAAAAAGGCAGGTTCAGAAAACCAAAAGGACTGGTCGAATTATGCATTGCTCCAAGTGTGGTGAAGCTGGTCACAATGCAGCTAGATGTAAGATACACCCAAAGAAGAAACGAAAGATGACAGAAGAAGCAAGTGACCAGGTATCTTCCCTAGTTTATGTGTATGAGTTTATGAGTTTGATAGTTCGAGTGGTTATGAGTTTGATAATATGATTGGTTTTGAGTTTTGAGAGTTTATGTGTATGTTTGATTGGTTCTGAGTTTGCTTGTCTCTGGTTTTGATTGGTTGTGAGTTTGCTTCTCTCTGATTTTGATTGGTTTTGAGTTTGCTTGTCTCTGATTTTATGTGTATGTTTCGGTTTTCAGGCCAATACTTCATCTCAAGGAGCTGGAAATGGGGCTTTTCAAGGTCCAGAAACCATGTCACTCACTCAACCATCTCAAATGTCAGACTAAAACTTGGAATTCGGTTTCCTCTTATTAGGAATTGTTCTTCTTTTGTTGTGATTCCTTCTTGTGATTCCTCTTTTGTTGTTCTTTCTTGGATTATGAATGCTCACTCTTGTCTTTCTTTGGAATTATGTGGATGTTCTTTTGTTGTTCATTTTGGATTATTAATGCTATTTTCAATTGAGATAGAAAGATATTGGTGAACACATTTACTTCAAACAACTTAGAAATATTAAAAGTGGGTAAGACAAAACATTTCCAAAGATGCAAATTGAGTTTACATAATAAGGTTTTCACACCAATCCAACAAAATGAAACGAATCCAACAAAGTAGTACATGTGTTTCCATCCAACAACAATGTCACAAAATGAAACAAACACACATTAAGCTTCCCACAAATCTAGCCCATAAGCTTCCCACAAATGCAAGCAATGGTTCCTACAACCAACAATGTAATCCCAACCTTTTGCATGCTCGTTTTTGCCATCTCTCGAGCCATCTTCTGCAAAGTTTCAGCAGCCATCATCATTTCTTCTTTCATTTTTGCTTTCACCTCTTCTAGCTCTTCTTTCACTCTTTCGTCAACCATCTTACGGATCATCCTCTCTTCTAGCTCCAGTTTCTCCACCATTTTTCCTCTCAATTCCTTTACCTCGTCAACAAGACTCAAATGCTTTCTCTCCACCATTATAGTCTCATCGACCAAAGCTTCCTCAATCCACTTGAAAAGATGCTCTTCTGTTTGCCTCTACACACACAATTTACATAAAATTACATAACTCTTTCATATATGTGTACATTGTTTTCGATTGGTTTGTACCTGTAATGCAACTGCACATCTGTAGAATCGACGGAAAGGATTGTCTTTGGTCTGAGCCGCATAAGTCACAAGGTTCCTACCACACCAACATCTTGATGGAACACCATACACTGATCTTCTGTTGGTCAGACGAGATGAAGCTGAAGATGAACTACTCATTGTTTTGTTCCCTATTCGAAAAAGAAACCAGCAACAATGATGACAATCACTTGAACCAAAAAACGAAATCACCCAAGAATTCGACAAAGAAACCAATTCGGAATTATAGTTAGCTTACCTTCCTGTCTCTGTCGGAATAAAAGATGTCTAATTCTCCTCTCCACGGAACAATATTCAACCCCAGAATCGACGAACCCTAATCCCCTTTCGATTTCCCCAAATCAAAGGTTGCGGGTTAGGGTTAGATGTAATCGGGTCTGATTTGTTAGACAAACCGCGGGTTTGCGTTTTAAAACCCGGGTCAATTGAGTTAAAACGGGCAATCACTGTTCCGAAAACTGGATTTTGTTTTTTAAAACGCAAATGGGGGAACCGACAGAGATTATAAGTTTGGGGGAAATAAAAGGGGCTCAAAAGTTTGTGGATCACGATGGAAACATTTTAGTTGGGGGGAATAGGCGGGCAACCCCTATAGTATAGATTGTGGATTCTTCTAGAACATGTAAAATATGTAAAATTTCGATTAGGGGAAATACTAAACATGTCTTCAAATAAATCTGTGCATATTTGCCGTTAAGACAGTAAGACGACGACGACGACGACCAGAACAAAGACTAAACTATACAGCGACATGTCTTTGACTTTGACTCTTTGTAGTCCGATAACCAAAACCAAAAAACCTACGAACCGCTTGCTGTCTCGAAGCCTTAGATCAATGAGCGGCTAAGATAACACAAGACTTCCCGAACTGATTCTGTGCCTTAGCTTCCACGTTTCATTTAGAATATCCTCACTGTTAGGTCGCTTCAGATACTCACCCACATCTATCTTCAGTCTTCTTACGTGATCCACAGGCTTTGTGGCTGACTCATATGGGCTCCAACTTCCTCTGCTACTTACGGTACCAATGCTCGTCGTCTCTCGCCCACTCGATGCATCCTACCAAGACGACATTCAGTGTCAGAAACTTTCTCTTTGTCATCTAATCAGTTCGAACCGGTTTAGTGCTATTACCTGAGCTGGACCGGATTCCCAGAGATTCAGTTTTGTATTTGGCGTGTGTGGGGCCATGTCAAGTCGTGTTAGAGCAGCACAAGTGTCGTCTGGAGTGTCCCATTGCAGCCATGGAAGCATAACGCCGTCCATTTCAACAGGAACACTCTTTGGAAGAGTGGTCTGTGATTTTGTCAGGCCGAAGCTTGAGCTACTCTCGCTCCTCTCGTCCTCAAACGATGAGAAGTCTGTGTCTTCAATGTTTGAGATGAATTCGTCAATGTATTGCTCTGCTTCATCTGTCAAACACATAGACAGCCTCCGGTCCTTGCTCCTCTGCGGAAAAGAAGATCTTTTATCTCTTTAATTGGAAAAGAGCAAACGCAATTATATGTGCCAGCGAATGGAGTAGTTACCTTGCGCATCCGCGCAGTCGTTTCGTTAGACTCAGAACTGTTTTCAGTGAGTAAGTTCTTTAAGTTTAAAGAGAGCTCTCTGCCACGCTCCTCTTCCAACATGATCTCAGCCAGCAATTCTCTCTTGCGCTCCTCAGACTGTCAATTCAAGGTGAAACGAAGCGTCGTGTATTTTTTTGGTTCACTGATTCCTTGATGAAAAAACAAGTACCATATATATGCAAAGAGAAGTTTTTACCTCTTGCAGTTTTGTTGCATAACCTTTCGTAGATGTGGAATTAGCATGATGATGTTCGTAGGATTTCCGCTGGGAACCGACACCGTAATCAGAGTTCCCCAAAGACTCTCTCTTCTTCGGTGTTACCTACATTAACATAGTTTATCAAGATAGGAGAGAAGCAAGTTATTGTCGTCATCTCTAATAAAATCATTCTAACTTCTTATTCACTCAGATTTTTTCAGTTTAAAGCAACATCCAGAAAGATTTTTCCCTTTTCAGAGGCCTGGATTGGTTTCGAACAGAGAGAGGACACTCATATATATAAGTAAGCTATTATTGTTGGTTGAGAATACACACAAACCTTATTTTGGGCATATACTGTTCGAATTATCCTCTCAGTTCCATGCTTGCTAGACCTCGACTCCTTTCCTTCATCATCTGTGACTGCAGAAGATTGACTCTGAAACATCCCCAAACAATTTCTTCCCATCAGTTAACGAGAAAAATATAACATTTTCAGCATATGGAGCTAAACCAGATATGAGATATATACATATACAGAATATTTAACCAAGCCTCTAAGAAGAAACATCCAGGATCATAAAGTTAAAAATAAAGGATATCTTAGACTTACAGAGTAGCCATCATGGTATTTGACTGGATTTTGGCTGAAAGACCTCCTAAGACCTTGTCTCTGATCTGAAGCAGTAGGTTTACGAGACCCACTGATTTGACTTTGTCCACTCTTCACATCCCTTGAATTGCTTGAATACTCAACTTGATCTACATCACTCTGCAAATGAAAAAATGCATGCTCATCACGCTCCTCCATTATTCCTATAAACAAGCCAAAATGTATACAACGTTGCACACAAGGTGAAACTGCTCATAACCCACTCTATGCAATTGTTTCTGTGACTCAAAATATGTCCCATAAATTGAAGATTTCATGAAAAATCATGGTCCTACTAATTATAGCTTCCTATAAAAGTTCACTTTGTAACTAAAAAAGTTGAAAAAGTTCTTAATAAATCGGATCATCACATCACATAAGAGGGCCCAGAGAAAACTATAAGATATCAAGCAGAAAAAAGAAATCAAACAATTTTATACATAAAGTGGTTTTACCTCGGAATTGTCAATCCGGCGACGGACAACAGAAAGCGAGCGTCGCCGCCGTGCATTCTCCTTTTCACGATCGGCCCCAATTGCCCTACCCCTACTTACACTACCACTGTTCTCGCCGGAATTCACCCTCTCCCGCGGTTGTCTAGACAACGACCTTCGCCGGCTCGAATTGCTGCTTCCCTGATCAATTCCACCACTCTTACCGGTAATTTCTCTCGCCGACGGCTGTCTTGACAGCGACCGTCTCCGGCTCGAATTGCTGCTTCCCTGATCTATTCCACCACTCTTACCGGTAATTTCTCTCGCCGACGGCTGTCTAGACAACGACCTTCGCCGGCTCGAATTGCTGCTTCCCGTATCAATTCCACCACTCTTACCGGTGATTTCTCTCGTCGACGGCTGTCTAGACAACGACCTACGCCGTCTCGAGCTTTCGGTTTCCGCATCTAACCTCCGTAAGCCACCGGAACCACCAGAACCAACCCTAGAAACAGACCTTCCACGCCTCTGGGAATTTGCCATCTCTCCTTCGCCTCCTCTGCCGCCGGAATTTCTCGAGCCAGATCGTTCTCTTTCTCCGCTGCTAACCCCGCTCTCGCCGGAGAACGATTCGAAAAACTCGACGGCCAAGTCATCGAGGCTAATTTCAGCGAATCCAGAACCTCTAACGGTGTTTACGAACTTCCCTTTCCTCATTGGAGTCAATTCGGCGTCTGGATCCGGCATGCGGTGGGAGAAACGGCTCAAACTCCGGTACCTCCTGGGGATAGACCTCCGTGTGGAGTAAGAAGAGTCGTCGCCACTCTCGGAAGATTTAGCCAGTGGCGTTGTTCGCCTGATGGTTGAATTCAGAGCAGAAGTTGCCATGGAGGACACCAAGGACCCAGCTACTGGAGGAGGAGCGGATGGTTCGACATTTTGAAATTTGTTGAGCTGTTCGAGGAATCAATTGCATATGCCTAATTAATTCAATTTTGACCTTTCAGTTTTGATTTTTGATTTTTGATTTTTTATTCTACAGATTTATTTGGACTATATAGTAAAACCTAACTAATAATATTGGAATTTGAAAATTTATTGTCTTAGAAATGTACTCCCTCCGTTTCAAATTAGTTGTCGTTCTGGCAAAATGTATCTGCAAATATTTGGACGTATCTGGACGTGTTTTGCATAGCAAATACATCCAAATAATTGCAGAAAATAAGTGTCGTTTTGACAAAACGAATCTGGACAATTTATTGATGTATCGGAATGTGTTTTGAGTCTTAATACATCCATATACATCTAGATACATTGGGTAAGTCAAGAGTCAAAACGACACTTATTATAAAATGAAAAGAGTAGTGATTATTACTTTATTGAGTATTATTATAGAGGTTCTAATGTATGTTTTTTTAGCTAAAAGAATCATTTTTGGAAGTTTTGGACTATGTCATGTTTTATGAGATTTTAAATTTATATTTGTTTATCACATACTTGAGTTAGTTAAGCATGATTTGAATTTAGGGGGTTTATTAGTTCATGTATATTAATTGATTTGAAAACTAGGCATATGAACTTTTAAAACTTTAAAATCAGAAATTGGGGTTCTGATTTCTGAAAGTATCATAGTTTTCAACTTTTCATGCAGATTTGATTTTTTTGTATCTTACCGTAAAAAAACACCTCCAAAATCTAAAGTGGATTTTGAAAATCATTAGTGAATCATGAAACTAATCATATCGGATTTTAAATAGATATTATAAATCATTGAATGAATAACAGGGAATTTTATAGTGATTATTAAATATTCCTACACAGTTACACATTTTCCCTACAGAGGCACTGTTTACTAATATGGCACACTTGTTTTAATATTTACCGGACATTGACCACATGTCGATATACCCATGGCTAATATAGTGCATCTAGAAAGCTCGAAACGATAAATTATTTTCGAATCTGGATAGAATTCATGGCGACGTAGTAAATCTTGCTGAACCAGAAGCAACAGCATGGAAAACAGCGCAAGATATGCAGGAAGTGTCCACTCCAATAAGGAACAGGTTGGCCGAACCAAGGATGTATGGGGAATTTCGTCAGGTCGATGGAGCGTGGAAGGAAACGGAACACCGTGCTGACTTAGGTTGGTTCTACCACAATCAGGAAACGAGAGAGACATTGATGGGTTCTAGTAATTTGCGCCGGGGATTGACAACCCTCCAAATGGAGGTCGAAGCATTAGTCTAGACTATACAATGCATGCTCCAATATAACAAACAAATCATGGTTTTTGAGACATGTTGCTTAGATGTGGTTAAAAAGGTATCTAATCCAGGGGAGTAGCCGAATTTCTCAATCTTTCTAGAAGAAATAGACAGATGCAGAAGAAGGTTACCTCCTTCTCCATTCACCATATTTCACGGACGAAGAACACGAAGGCATACAAGTTAGCAAGTAGTGCACAAGATCTCCTTCACGATGTGTATTACATAAACATTGTTCCACCAGTTTGACTCTTTGAACCTTTTAGGAACAAAGCCTGTCGATAAAAAAAAAAAACAGGAAATTTCATTAGAGATTTAGAAACCACTAATCCATTAACATATGATTTTTACTTGGATTTCCAAATCATTAAAGTATATGAACCAGTAAACCCCTTTAGTTTTTTATGAACAATTATGAAACAGAAAACAAATTTTTTAAAAACAAAATATTTATCACATAATTTTCATACATTAGCATTCACTTCTCTGTTTAAATAAATATTAAATTTGCACACAATTTTCTGTTTAAACCAAAATATTTGCATGCAGTTTTACCCAAATATTTATCACAGAATTTTATATTTCAAAGTAAAACAACCAAATGTTTTTCGTTCTAACATTCTCTAAACTTGTGTTACTTTTACCTTATGAGCTTTATTTTAGCATTTTCAGACATTTGCAGTCACTTTTTTTTCAAATGTAGCTGAATTAGTAAATAAAATACCAAGCACATAGGAAAATTTGTTTTATTTGATTTGGTTGCACTAAATTTGACTTGCTTAGTTTTAGACTTTAAGTAGTTCATCCATCTGCTTAAAAATAAATAGCTGGAAGTCACATTTGGGAAAAATACATTAGCTGCTCAAATATGTTATTTAGTGGCTAAGGTGAGACAGTGATCTCTTAATTCACATAACTCCGTTTATTTTCTAATATTTCGTGACTCTATAGGCATATAAATATGTGATTGTTTGATGTTAACCTCTTGATAACATTTGATGATGTTAACTTGTGATAATATGCATAAGATGGTACGTGTTGGTGCATAAACCTAGATCTAAGAAAAGAGGCCCGTAAATAAGATAACAGAACATTGATTAGTTGACAGATCACAAAGTCAATCAAAACAAAACATTCTAGCTTCGAGTTAATTTAACACTGTCTTGGCTGTTAGTTTTTACAGATTTTAGATTATTTATTCACCTCATGTATACGCTTGTTTGTAGCTTCGGGATTCCAGTTTCCCTTTTGTGGGGTTTAATTCTTGGTTTCGAATCCAAATTGGGGTTTTTGTTACTAATTTTGAGTTTTTTGAGATGTAGGAGATTCGTTTGTAGAGTCGAACCAAAAATGTTGAAAGATGAAGTAAGACCTAAATGGAGTACCAAATAATTTTTACAAAACCGAAAAACATAGAAGCTCTAAAACAGAAACAAAACTGCAAAAATATCTACACTCTCCAAAGTAAAGATCAAAGATCTCAAACTGCATGGCTATTACGTAATTAACTAAAGCACCTCCTCATCATGTCAAATCTAACGGTAGACATTTCGATTCATCACCCCTAATCCAACGGCTAAAACTTCACCGTCCGAGACAGAGCGCAGCGTTAACGTCAAGCCGCCACGCAAAACAACCGTCATTCATCCTCCAAACGTCACAAGGCGAAGTAATCGAGCTCACTTCCTTGTTATCACGACACGTGTATTGCAGTCTCATTCTACATGTGAACGTCCGTTGCGTTAGCAAAGGCTTCTTCTTCATCACAAGCCACACACTCATCTTCTTACTCTTGTTCTCTTCTTTCCCAATCACTAACTCTCTGTACGAACCGTTCGTCCATATAACTCTCCCTGAACCGTCCGATATAAAACCAGGACACGTGTCTCTCTCCAGATTCATCTTCCTCTCTTCGTCCGTACACGCCAACTCGTACTCCCCTTCCGTTACACACTCTACCGTCAACAAAGACGACACGACACTTTCCGTCTCCGCCGTCAGATCTGAAGTCTTGCTCGCCGTTTGATAACGTCCGTCATCTCCGAAGCTCAGCCACAATGGAACCGGAGCCGAAACCCTAGCCTGCGACTGAGACGGCGAGACTTCACTCTCGGGAGTCTCCGGGAGAAGAGGCAGCGTTACCATTTCAGATCCGTTTTCGTTTCTCCGTCGATTACACCGTTTGCTGTTACCGTTACTGTTAACAGATCCGCCGCTACTGCTACTGTTCTCCTTTGAATATTTTCTCTTCCCTCCTCTCCGGGATTTCGAAGAAACGGAATCCACCGGCGGCGAAGAAGATCCACCGGAAACTGGTCTAGGTGCAATCGGACGGTACCGTAGCATTATCCGATCCACCTTCGACATATCATGACCACCACCAGCACCACCACCGTATCTCGCAATACAACAACCTCCCCGGAAATTCATATTTGATTTTTAAATTTCTCTGCAAACAAACGGAGATGATAGAATGAAATAATGAAGCGTGAGAGTTATACACATATAAAGAAAATCTGTTACGTCGACACGTTTGGAGAAATAGCCACGTGCGAGACCAAACGATGAACAGCGCAACGACGTGATTGGACGAAAGAAGAGAGACGTGGCGTTTTGCTGTTGAAAAAAGGTGGGTCCTACACTGACTCGTCGTACGAGGGGGTGAGGACCAATAGGAGGGCGAGGAGTGGCTATAATGTGCGGTGCGATTAAAGGTAGACACATAAGGCTGCGACTTTGGTGTTTACGTGTAACCTAACGCGAGGGTTTTGGTTCATGGTGATGGGACACATGGCCCAATCTTGTTTGTTCTTTTGTTGGTTCAAAGTTTAGGAATTGTGTTTTTCAATTTCTGAAGGATTTGGTTTCTATTATTAGTATGTAGAAGAATCGGGGAAGATTGTGCCACGTCGAGAGGGAGATGGTGACACGAGTCACCATTGGATGTGGATTCTCGCATTCATTTCCAAAAATAAAGATACTTTTAGTATGCATATAATTGGTGCAAATCCAAAAATCTATTATAAAATATTTATAATTTCTGAAGTATAGGAAGTTAGAATTATTTTTAGTTGAAACTTAAAAGTTATTTTTTCGTCCGGTATGGAGAAATGTATTTTTTAGTAATAATATTTTCATAATATTATTCAAATACTTCTTTTCATTTTCTAATCAACCACTATGTAGGACTTGTCGAAGATAAACTATATTTCCAAAAGAACATTTTCATTATTTGAAGTCTTGCAGTGATACTGAGGATAAGTTTATCGATACCAAATGTGAAATCTACAAGGTCAAAGAGATGTCATCGTGTCTAAACAGAGCTTTTATGGCTATCTCACAAGAGGATTAAGATGAACCCTTTGATATCCGAGACCATGGGGTACTACTGTTCTAGCGAGAAAAAGTTCATCGATATATAATTGATTCTTAATTCTTAAATCTCTCAGTTAATGTTTTAAAAACCAAACATTTATGAAAATATCAGACAAAATCATCAATCATAAATATATTCTTGAAATTTTAACACACACACATATTGAAATATACTGGTGGAATATTCTTATAGCTAAAAATTCAAGTCTCATGGTGTAGAAAGAGTTACATAAAATTCATCCACGAAGAAAAAGAACCTCAAAACACCTTCGTCTTTATAGTGGTGATGGTGCCGGTGCCGAGTTTGATTTTTTTGCTAGGTCCCATTGGTAGAATCGGAACGTGCTTAGGTAACATTCCAAAAGCCAGACGTTGTGATGGTGACCACATATCTATATTGGCCTTGGTTGGAACTGGAGGAGATGGTTTTTGCTGACTAGGTCCAGAGGGTGGGATGGGCCGTCCTGCTTCAAGAACACCAAAGAAGAGGATAATTACTACAAGAAACAAAATTGATTTTGTCATTTTGAAAATACTTTTGATAATTGCAATATATCAGGTTTAGATTTCATATTACTGTTCAAAGACCCAAAATATACAATATATAAAGGTTTCAGTATGGTAGTACCACGCATTACCAATAATGGTATTGGAATTATACATTTAACGTTTTTTTGCCAAAGTTAAATACATTAACAAGAAAAAAATATATTATGGTAATATTATGAATGTGTTACTTAAATAGTCTCGATATTACATTTATACAAAGGACACATTTTGGTCAGCCAACAAAAAAGATATGTCTCAACAAGTCAAGACGTCGTTTAGCCAATAAAATCTTTATTTTCTGTCTTTCAGAAAATCTTTGACTTGAATAAAAAATAGAGATTTTGTCCCATAAATTGAATTCGTCTAAAACACAAACCCTATAAATTATTATACGCTATAAATCAATTAATGTGATTATATAATAAATTTGTCCATCTTAACTTGGACCGATTCAAAATATAGCAGAATTCGGTAAGATAATGTGACAATAATTCGTTTATAGAAATCTATAAAAATTATAGTTCCATCTAATATTATAAATTAACAAATACTATATAAATATATAACCTATGATAATAAACTAAAATTATAAGTATAGTATTATTTATTATAAAAATACAACTTTAGAAAAACTGTACTGTTTTAAAAATAAAATTATTATTATTATTTCTTTAAACAAAGTTTTTTAGCCAAAACTGATAAATTAATAACTTTATATATTAGGAAAAATGGGCCGGCCCGTACTGTTTTGGCGCCTAAAGCCAATTTTTTTTTTGAGCTCATTAAAAATTCGATTTTTTTTTAAAAGGCAAGAAAATGTTGGCTGCAAGCCTCGAACACCTTCCCTGAAGGTCAAATTGAGAAGACATAACCACTACACTACCATAAGCTCTCTGTAATTTTACGCCCCTAAAATGATATTATCTTTTGGCGCCTAAAACACTTGCCTTACCTGCCTTAGGTCAGGGACGGCCCTGAGGAAAATATCAAAGTTTGGACAATATCTTATTATATAAAGCTGGATGCGCACGACGTGGTTGCGACACGTAGGATTTTTATAAAATTCAGGATCACGACATGTGTCACTTTTAAGTTTATGTCCGTTAAGATCGTGACACGTGTCTTAAAAAAAAGGAGAACTTAAAAAAAAAAGAATTCCAGATAAATGTTAATTAAAAAAAAAACGAAATTTAATTTAATCTATTATATCAAAAAGAAAAAATAATATTTGCCATATCCAAACAGAAAAAGGTTTCCCATTCATCAAAATTTTTTATTATATAAAGTTGGATGCTTTTAGATAAAGGAATTAAAAAAAAAATTAATCCATTACAGTTAAAAGAAATAAAAATATATTTGTCATATCCTAATAGAGAAAGGTTTTCCATTCATCAAATTAATATTATCCAAACAAATAATAAAATCAAAATAATGTAATAAATAAAATCATATTTGTATAATGAAATAAATAATGTTATGTAAACTAAATTTCATATAACTGCATGTAATAGGTTACTTGAATCCCTATAAAAGAGAGTCAAAGTTTCTCAATCATAAATTCATCAAAGCAAATTCATCAGATCCCTTTGATTCTATTTCTCCAATTTAAAAATCATGTTTTTGAAGTTTTGCGATACATATGATTTTTATAACTCACAAAATTGTGACATTTGTTTTAGAATTTATGAAAGTATGAAGATCGTAACATGTGTCATAGAATAAAAATAATAAAAAATTAATATGTATAAGACTAAATAAAAATTAGAAAATCAGATAAAAATAATTAAAATGAAAAAAATAATAAATCCATTAAAAGTAATAAAAAAACAGAAAACAAATAATTTAAATTCTTTTGTTACATCTATTAAGAAAAGGAAAAAAATGCATTTCGAAAAGGAAAAATATCAATATATATTATTTATAATGGTATGAGGCAAAAACAAAATTGAGAAAGAAAAAATATAAATAGAAAACTAACAAAATAATATTCAAGCAATTAACTAAAATTAAAAAATTATAATCGATATTCTAATTTTAAATAGTTTGATTTTCAATTTTTGTTAGGTAAAAAAATTGAAATAAAGATTTCATCAATTAAAATCTCTTGAATGGAATAATAAAAGTTTGATTAATTAATCAGTTGATCAGATTTAGACATGTGTAAGTGTTTATGTATTGGATAAAAATAATAGTAAAACAAATTAATTCATTTTGTCATATCATAAATTCAAAAGAAAAATCAATTATAATAAAAATGTAAAAGTATTACCAATTTTATTTTATTTAAATATTTTTTATCGGGTTTTCAATATTATTTTGTTTACGTTTAAAAATGATCAAATTTTGTTTAATATTTTCCATGTTTTTATTATAAAATCTTAAAATATACCCGCGTATACGCGGGCCTTAATCTAGTTGACTTATAGAGTTACTATTGTATTACCACTTATTTTATCTAATTGGTAAACCGACCCTTGTGTTTCTAAGTTTTGTCGAAAATAAACAATATCCTAATTTTTAACGTCTCGCATTCATGTGCACATCCTATTTTGTATCAAAAACAGAAAGTTAAAAGGTATTTGGTGGAATATTGGATAGTATTTGATCTTAGCCAAAACATGAAGAAGGTTTGAAAACAGGTCCTACCGTATAATAGAAACTTTATTCAATGAAAATTCAAAACAGTATAATATTTATAAAAAAAATAAGTTTTAAAGGTGTTAAATTTTCTTTTTTGAAAACTTGTTAATCATAAAAGGTTTAAAGAAATTATGTTAATATGATCGTACAAGATCGTTTTTAACCCTAACTAAAACGTTCATGTGCTTTGGTTCCTGTAAAACTCATTATACAAGTACTGCTGTATTTCATTAGATTCAGGCACAGGAAATTTGGCAAAATAACTTACATAGATCCGTTGGATTCCGACTCCTCTAAATTGTGATAAGTTTATTCTAAATTACTAAATCCCTCAATAAATATCTTAGAACCCATATTTTATGAACATATCCGAGAAGATCAAAATCATCAATGATTCCAAGGAAAATATATTATTAACTTTTAACACATACACAGAAAATGCTGGCCGGGTATTATTATAGCTAGGAGGTTTTATGGTACATCAACTATTACACGAAATTTCATCCACGAAGAGAAAGAAATTTAGAACATATTATTTGGTGGTGTTGGCGCCCAAGGGGTTTCTTTTCTGCTAGGTCCCGATGGTGGAATCGGAACGTTCTTAGGTAGCATTCCAAAAACCAGACGTTGTGATGGTGACCACAAATTTATGTTGGCCTTGGTTCGGACTGGAGGCCATGGTTCTTTGTGACTAGGACCAGAGGGTGGGATTCGCCGACGTCCAGTGACTCGCAGAGGCGAACTTTCTGACCGCATAAAATCTTGAAGTTGGTGCATGCGGTTCTTCTCGGTGGCTTCAAGAACACTAGAGAAGAGGAAGAGGAGAACTAACAATGTTACATGAAACAAATTTGATTTTGTCATTTTGAAGATACCCTTGATAATTCAATATCTGTTTATTAGGTTCAGGTTTTATAGTACTGTCGAAAGACCTGTTAATCTTATTTGATCTGAAGAGGAATCTTTTCATACACAAGTATGGTGGTACCACGTATCATTGATACGTGTTAGAATTCATTATTTATTTTTATTTTTGTGAAAGCAAAAAAAAACAAAACTATGGTAATATTATTGTATCACTTAAATAGTCTTTATACTACCTTTTTTTCTTTTTCAAATTGAATGTACACTATAAAAAAATACAAGCTTTTACAAATGCTACTCTGTATCTGAGATCTTCTCTAAGTTATTCAATCCTATATTTGATTATTTGAAGACAATTCTCTATGCTTTATCTGTGTTTTAAATTTTGATATTTTAAGAATCCATTTGTTTGGATTATGAAATCTCGAAATATCTTGGATTTTTTTTTTAAAAAATTTTACTTATTAAAAGTTAATAAAATTCATTTCAAAGGAATCTCCATACATAATGAATTTAAAAGTCATTAGAGGTGTTATTAAATTATGTATTTGAAATCAATTCTGTAGGTTTTATAATCATTAAGATTTAAAAATAGTGTTTTATTTTAAGAATCAATGTCAGTTGATTCTAAAATCTGTGCAATATCTTATAAATTCTGTTTTTAATAATTTACTCGTAAAACTCCATTGGAATTCATTTCAAATGGCTCAATTAACAAAGATTTTAAAAGTCATTTAGTTTTGAATAACACTGGATTTTAAAACTGGATTTGAAATCTTGATTGAATAACACTGGATTTGAAACTCTATTAATGATAGCTTACAAATCATATATTGAAATAACATAGAATTTTAAAACCAAATTTAAATTCTTGATTGAATAACATTGGAGTGTAGTTCAATTTCAGTTCATTTCAAATACAACATCCATTAACACTCCTAATAGTTTGTTCTTTAGTAGCATGGTCATTGTGATTGTAGTTTTCTTTTATATCATGTTTATTTTTTAGTTTATTCTTTTTTTTTATAGGTTTATTCTTCATGTTCCTCTTATGTTTGCAATTACTTATTCCATTATTAGCATGCTTCTTCGTCTTTGGTTTACTTTTTTTCGTTCGTTCTTTGATATCTTCGTATTCATTTTTTTATTTATATTTCTTCTTATTATTTGTGCTTGTCTTGATTACTGTTCCTTTATTTATTTTATGATTACTTATTACTGTCGAAATTATTTGGGTTTTGCTATAACTTTTTCTGTTTAGTTTCTTTTTTTTCTTGATTATTCCATGGTGGAATTTTTCACGACTTTATCCCTTTTATAAATAATACTATTATAATCCTCTTTAAAATTATTTTTATTTAGAGTAAAATTTTGGTTATATGATGCATTTAACCAAAATTAAAAATTAAAAAGATTTATAGAGATAAAATTAACTTAGAAATGGTACAACAACATATTCACACATGTAATAAGCAATTGAACAATAATATAAATAAGGGGAAAAGGTTAATTTAGCCCTAATTCATAGTTTAATTACTAGATTAGCTCTTATTTTAATTTTATTACTAATAAGTTTTTTATACCTATTTTACCCTCAAATCATTTGTTAACAAAAAACATAAATTGCAGAAATGCCATTACAATTTTTTTTTTTGGAATAAGCTACAGACTTATTTTACAGACACAATAAACTTATTTTCTATAGACTTATTTTTGTTTAGCCATAGACTTGCTTAATTTTGACAGATCTATTAAGGAATCCACAGATTTTTGTTTTGTTTAGCCATAGAATTGCTTAAATTTGATAGACTTATTAAATTTATATACATTTATTTTTCTTTGGGCACAGACTTACATAATTTTGATAGATTTATTTAGTTTCTATAGATTTGATTTTCTTTGATCACAGACTTAGTTAATTTTCATAGACTTATTTAGTTTCTATAGATTTAATTTTCTTTGCACATATATAGACTTAGGTGATGATTGGTTCTCCCGCTACCACCCGCAAACGCAGCGTTTGCGGTTCGTAGCGGTTCTTAGCGTTTTATAACAATCACGACAACCGCTTTCAACCGCTCTATACCACTCTGTACCGCTCTATATCGCTGAAAATCAAAAGCTCCTTTCCGCAAGCGTTTGCGGTTGCGGGCGGTTGCGGTTTGAAAAAAAAAAAAAAAAAACATAATATCTCCAAATTTGGAATAAGGGTATATTTTTTTGAAAAATACCATAATTATGTTTAAAAATTTCGAAAATACCCTAAATTTTTTCTGTTTTGAAAAATACACTTTTAAAATGTAAAAAGTATGTTTTGACGTGATTTAAACAAAAAAATAATAAATAATTACAAATTATAAACGAAAATTTAAAAAAATAATAAACTAATAAGTTTTTTTTCAAATAAATATAGTATATGTTAAACTGAAACAAATTTTAATATTTTGGATCTTTATATAAACAACTTAACCTCATACACATTCAAACCAAATGAAACTTTAAATAAATTAAAACTTTACATATATTTAAAGTTTATAAATTATTAAAAATTTAAAAGTGGAGAAATATATCTTTCATTTTTAATGTTTATCTTTTGAAAAATTTAAATATTTTTGAAACTTTGCATAAACAACTTTAATCTCACCCCATTTAAACTTTATATAAACAATCTTATATTTTTATTAAATTGTTTAAAAAAAACTAAACAGGTAATTAGGATGTTAAAATGATACAAAATTATTATCAAATATTAATATTTTATATTTCTTATTTGAATTTCGTTTTTATTAAATTAGGAATAATCATTTTACATATAAAAAGTGTATTTTTCAAAACCAAAAAAAAAGGGTAGTTTTCAAATTAAAAATTCATCAAAAAATATATTTCAAAAAAAAAATTATTAATATGGTTATAAATGTTTTGAATAATTATATATTATTTTTATTTTAGTAACTTTTGGTTAAACCGCTCTTGCACCCGCTGGCTAACCAGTCAAAAATATCCCGCAAACGCAACCGCTATGAATTGCTATACCAGTCGTACAAACAGCTTTTAATCGCAAACTCCCGCTTCCGCAAACTCCCGCAGCCGCAAACTCCCGCAACCGCAACCGCAGCGGTTAAACCAGTCAGACCCTTACTTAATTTTGACAAACTTAAATCAGCAATACCTACAGATTTATTTTCCTTTGGCAATAGATTTAACTAAATGTGACAAACTTATTGGTTTTCCACAGATTTATTTATTTCGGCCATAGATTTACTCGAAAAGTTTGTTCCCTTTGAACATAGATTTATTTTGGGGAAATTGGCAAAGTACCCCAAAAAAAGGCCACTGTTGTCCCTTTATCCCTTTTTTGACTTTGGCCATTTTTGCCTTAATTGCCCTTCAATATTGTTAAAACCTCATAATGAATATTTTTTTAGTGAAAAAAATTTCTAAAATTCCTAAAAATGATGTCAAGAATGTGTAAAATAGTTGAACATTTTTTAAAATGTTTTGGATGGTTAGAAAATTCTTTGAAGTTTTTGTTCTACAAAGTAAATTATCAAAGCAGAATACGTTTTCTACAAGATATTTGCACGTCTAACCGCCGTAGAATATGATATCTACAACTTCTTCATTCATCTTCCGGATTAGACTTCGATATCTACCATATACAATACACTCTACCATTTTGTAGAATTGCTCCAAATATATTCTACAGAATACACCATCCGCTACTAATCGTAGATTTCAAATTCTATGGTAAACACTGCTATCTACCAGTCCTAGTTTTCGTGTACTACATATTTCATGTTTTTCTGCATGGCGTAGAACCAGTGATCTACTAAAAAAAGACTTCTACAATCCGCAGTAATCGTGTTTCCACTGGATGTTCTACTAAATAGGTGAGTTCTACATTTTGTAGAGTTCAACTTCTGCCAAAATCGAGAGAATATTGCAACCAAATATTTTTCAAATCTTTGTTTCCTTATTTTCCTCCAACTATCCGAAAATATACCACGACTAATCCTCCATGTTCTTCCTCGTCTTCTTCATCCCCTTCCTCCTTTGTAGTCCTCTATCTCTCTATCATTTCTTAACTAATATGGTTCAAATCTATATAGCTTATGGTTCATGGAAAAATGTTTTAATTTATTTTAAAATAAATAAGGTTCAAATCTATGTAGCTTATACTTTGATATTTTAGAATTGTATAACAAAAATTCAAAGAATTTCCTAACTATCCAAAATAATTTTAAAAATATTCAAATATTTTACACATTCTTTAGATCATTTATAGGACTTTTAGAAATTTTATTTATTTTAATTTTAATTTTTGATTTTGTTTTATTTATTTTAATTTTAATTTTTTAAATCGAAAATGTTTTAATTTCTAAAAAACATTATCAACTCAATTTAAGGTTAAAAATGGACAAATTGCCAAAAAAAAGTGTATTAGGACAAAGATCAAATGCAAAAGTGTAATGGGACAAGGAAGCCTTTTTTGGAGTATTTTGGCAATTTTCTCATTTATTTTCTACTAGCTACATACATTTAAAAATTCTGATTTCGATTTTAAACTAAACCAGTCATAACCCAAATTTTGATTTATAATGGTTAACCAAACCGAACCAAATCCTATTAAATCAGACATAACAATTTAAAATTTTATACCAAGTAACTACAGTATTCTACGACAATAGAAAAAAAAAAAAACCCTAATCTAAACAATTGTGTCGTCCTTTCCATAAGTCATCTTCTTCCTCTCTTGTCACGAGGCAAAAAAAAAGAGTAACTGGAGCAGCATGCCATCACATATAATCTATAAAACATATATAAAAAAAAAACAGCACACATACATGATCTTCTGGCTTTTCATGGTTTCAGTTGAATCATGTAATAAATGTTGTATTTTCTGTATCATGTGAGATTGTGAGACAAATCACCAACCATTGTTATAACTTGTAGCATTGAATTATTTGAATTTACAGCTATATTAAATCCAAAGAAAGATTGCATCTTTTCAGTACCAATGCATCAAGAAACATAACACATTACACATTAAGTGGTAGAAGCAAAACATTAAGACCACTAGGTCTGGAAAGAAAGAGAGTATGAGCCAGTGCTGGGATCTTTAAAAGCCTTGTAACAGCCTTGACGCTGTCCACACTCATCCCAAATCGAGTTTCTCTCCTTCAGCTTTGCTACAAACACAAAACATATTCGGCATATTAACAGTAATTAACGACATCATTCTCAAAGCAAATATTATGAGAACATTTTAATCTTCTATGAAAGAATTTGTGATCACAATGAACAACTTCACACTAACGGCATATCCAGAACTTATAGCCTCTTCTTACATATTTTCTTGCTTCTCTGCAGCAAGAGGTTTCCTCAAGTCTGTATAGGATTTAGCTATACTGCCTTTGTGCATTCCTAGACCGTTTCTTCATATTTACATTGAACCACATGTCAGAGGAATCTTCAGCACTTTCGGTTACTATTCCTAATCTACAATCGAAAATTCAAGAAACCAAAAAGTACGCTCACATAACAGTTTGAGGAAACATATGCCTCTCTTTAAATGGCACATATATCAAAGATCTATTGGTTCAGAGACGTCCTGAACAAGTTCTAAAGCAAAAACATAATTTGACAATGCCACTTCGTAAAGGCCATTTACGAACAACTTAGTTTCCTTCCGCTTTAGCCTCGTTTGCTTCTGCCATTGCTTTCTCCTTTTAGATCAAAAGACAAATATCAAGTTCAAAATTTTACAGGAATCTGAAGGTTTGTCACTAGGTTCGATTCTAAAGAGAAATCGCTAATGAAACCATAGACCCTGTACACGAAAACCCTAAAGATGAGTGTAACAACTCATTTCTCGTTCAATCTATGTGAAATTCACCTGGTTTGATCCGTCGACAGTAATGGCCACTGCTTCTCCCATTAGCAATCTGCTCTTCCTTCTTCTCCGGTTTATCCGACTGATGTACTTCCTCTTGGCTCGATACGGCATCGATTTTACTTTTTACTATCATCATCATTCATCATCATCTCCTTCTTCATCACTGATTTTCCGTTCGCTGCATCCATTTGTTTCGGGTTTGGGTGAAGACGGTTTAGATTAAAGTAGAGTAGACACAGCGGAGCCTCAATGGAGACGACGGATTAATCCAGCTCCGGCGGAAATCGACGGAGAGACAAATCGCCACTGGAGTATTCTGAGTTTTGTTGGGTTAAAGTAAAAAACATTTTTAAGAAAAAGAAACTCTGCCGTTCCTGTCCTCAGATCACTCGGCCTTGTATCTACAGCTTGAGCCAAAGGGACATGGGGATGCTCGTAGACGCCCATTCCGGTTTGAAGCAGCTTGGTTGACCCATCCTAGCTTCAAAGAGCTCCTCATAGCTTCGTGGGACCCCGCAATAGATACTAGAAGAGCTCTAAACAAGCTTGAGGCGGTATTGAGGAAATGGAACAGAGAGGTGTTTGGTGATGTCCAAAAACGTAAGGAGAGTTTGGTAAAGGAGATAGAAGCAGTGCAAAGAGAGATTTGAAACCACTCCTCGGATACGTTGTTAGAGCGAGAAGCCGAGATGCTCAAAGAGTTCGATACAGTGCGGGAGCAGGAAGAGTTAATCTGGGCGCAGAAGGCGAGGGAAACGTGGATAGCGCATGGTGATCGTAACACCACATTCTTCCACACGTCGACGATAATCAGGCGGCGGAGAAACAGAATTGAAATGTTAAAAAATGATGAAGGTACATGGCTTTCGGACAAGTCGGAACTGGAGGGCCTAGCGGTAGAATATTATCGGAGGTTGTACTCAATGGAGGACGTCGATCAGGTCGTGGAACCGCTGCCGGGGGAAGGCTTTGTAGACCTATCTCAGGAGGATGTCAGAGCTCTTAGCAACCCCTTCTCCGAGGATGAGATAGTGACAGCGGTTCGAAGTATGGGTAGTCTAAAAGCTCCGGGACCGGATGGGTACCAACCCATGTTCTACCAGAAATGCTGGACGGAAGTAGGGGAGTCCGTCACACGCTTTGTGCTCGATTTCTTTCGTACCGGCTTACTACCACAAGGTACGAATGATGTCATCTTGGTGCTATTGGCCAAAGTTGCAGGTCCGGAGAAGATCCAACAATTCCGTCCCATCAGCTTATGCAATGTCATTTTCAAGTTGATAACAAAAGTTATGGTGAGTCGTATGAAACCAATCATGACCAAGTTGATTGGACCAGCTCAGTCGAGTTTCATCCCGGGACGACTCAGCACCGATAATATCATAATAGTTCAGGAGGCTGTGCACTCAATGAGGAGGAAGAAAGGGAAGAGAGGCTGGATGCTCCTCAAGTTGGATCTAGAGAAGGCGTACAATAGAATCAGATGGGATTTTCTCGAAGATTCTCTTCGTGCAGCAGGGTTCTCAGAACAGTGGGTTGCTTGGATCATGCAATGCGTCTCAGGGCCATCCATGTGTGAACTTTGGAACGGCGAGAAGACGTCCTCCTTCAAGCCATCTAGAGGTCTGCGTCAGGGGGATCCGCTCTCCCCGTACTTGTTTGTGTTGTGCATGGAAAGACTTTGCCATTTGATTGAGATGGCAATTGATGAGAAGAGGTGGAAGCCAATAAGTTTATCGCGAGGTGGTCCAAAGCTCTCCCATATTTGCTTTGCTGACGACCTAATCCTGTTCGCTGAGGCATCAGTAGCTCAAATCCGAGTGGTGCGAGGTGTATTGGAGAGATTTTGCAGAGCCTCGGGTCAGAAAGTGAGCCTCGAAAAGTCAAAGATTTTTTTCTCTGATAATGTGTCGAGGGAGTTGAGAAGTGCAATCAGCGTGGAAAGCGGGATTCAATCTACGAGGGAGCTAGGAAGGTATCTAGGGATGCCCATCCTCCAGAAAAGAATTAACAAGGAGACATTTGGTACCGTGGTGGAGAGAGTATCATCGAAATTGGCTGGGTGGAAAGGTCGCGTTTTGAGTATGGCGGGCCACATAACCCTTTCAAAATCAGTCCTAGGGTCCATTCCTGTACACTCTATGAGTTCCTGTAAATTGCCAGAAGCGACCCTGAACAGTTTGGAGCGGCTCTCACGTGATTTCATATGGGGCTCAACGGCGGAGAAGAGAAAGCAACACCTGCTTGGCTGGGACAAGGTTTGTCGGCCAAAATGTGATGGAGGGTTAGGAATTCGCAAACTCAGTCTCATGAACAAAGCTTTGCTGGCGAAAGTGGGATGGAGAGTCCTTCAGGACGTCTCTAGTCTTTGGGCTCGAGTTCTTCGTAGTAAGTATCGTGTTGGGGATATTCATGACGTTACCTGGTTGGTCTCCAAAAGGCCCATGGTCGTCCACATGGAGGAGTGTGGCGTTGGGGATTCGAGATGTCATTGTCCCGGGCCATAGTTGGGCTATGGGTGATGGTCGGAGTATAGCCTTCTGGACAGACAAATGGCTAATGGGTAAGGCCCTGTGCGAGTCACCTCACACGGACATTCCAGGGGAGATGATGTTGTTAAAAGCGAGAGACTTATGGATCAATGGCACAGGATGGGATATGCAGAGGATCTTACCGTATGTCACGGAGGAAACCAGACTCGAACTGGCGGCAGTAGTGGTCAATACGGTGACTGAGAGGCGCGATAGTTTATCCTGGAGTATGGTAACGGATGGAAGCTTTACAGTGTCATCAGCATACCGCCTATTAACATGCGATGTGGCACACAAACCGGACATGAGCCTATTCTTTAAACGCATCTGGCGAGTGAGAGCGCCGGAAAGAGTTCGGTCCTTCCTCTGGTTAGTTGGGAACTACGGAATCATGACGAATGAGGAGAGGTCTCGTCGGCATATGGGAGATACGGCGATCTGCCAAGTGTGTAAGGCGGGAGTGGAATCCATCACTCATGTGTTGCGAGATTGCCCTGCGATAGCAGGGATTATGACACGCATCGTCCCGAGGGGCAAGCAACAAATCTTTTTTGCTCTACCTCTCATGGAATGGTTATTTGAGAATTTGGGTGAAAATGCTGAAACGGGATTTGGGCCATGGTCAACTATGTTTGCTATCGTGACATGGTGGGCGTGGAAATGGAGGTGTGGCAATATCTTTGGGGATGGCAAACTGTGGAGAGACAGGGTGAAGTTCGTGAAGGAATACGCCAAAGAAATGTCCAGGGTTCTGTCCAAGTGTGGTGGAGGGACAAATGTGAACAGAGCGGAAAGATTAATCTCGTGGACACCTCCACTGGTGAGCTGGGTTAAGTTGAACACGGACGAAGCGTCGCGCGGGAACCCTGGTTTAGCTTCAGCCGGAGGAGTTTTGCGGAATGGTGAGGGACAGTGGTGTGGTGGATTCGCGCTGAATATTGGACGATGCACTGCTCCAATGGCGGAGTTATGGGGAGTATACTATGGGCTATGCATTGCGTGGGAAAAAGGGATCACAAGGCTGGAGCTCGAGGTGGACTCCTTGATTGTGGTGGGGTTTTTGAAGACAGGGATGACAGACTCGCATCCGCTGTCGTTCCTGGTACACCTGTGCCATGGCTTCATATCGAAGGACTGGGAAGTCCGGGTTACACATGTGCTTAGGGAGGCTAATCGTCTGGCAGACGGATTGGCTAACTACGCTTTTTCTTTGCCTTTAGGCTTACATTTTTTAGATTCAGTCCCATCGGACTTACTTGTTGTTTTGAGTGACGATGAACGTGGTGTGTCGCGTTCTCGGCAAGTTGTGGTGTAAAACGTTTTTATTTTTTTCAATAAAACTGGGAGCTAGCTCCCGGTGATCCACCAAAAAAAAAGTTTGTGTTAATTAGAAGGGTTAACCGTCTTTTAACACAATTTTTAGTTAGAATATTTGTATGGATGCTAGATTAGTAATAAACCGTTGAATGAGTGATAGTCTGACTAATTTTCTCTATAAATAATTAAATTTATGTGATCATAAAGAGATAGCTTAGCATAGCTTTCAATTTCATATTCTTATGTTTCGTCTTTTTAATTGGTTTCTTGGTTTAGGGGTATAAAAAGTATTTGAAGAAAAGCTAATGTAGTGCACAAAATTATGATGATTATATTCAAGTTTCTTATCTATGATAAAATATAATAATTTTGAAGATTATATCCGTCTTTTTCATGTCATCTACAACATATCCATCATTTTATTTTCTTTCAAAAACTATATCCATTTTTGTTTTTCTTCTTCTTTTTTTCAAATTTTTTTCTTAATATATTCTCAATATTTTTATTGATCATCTTCATATTCTCAGTTAACATTTTCTTATTTTTCTTTATCTTTTTTATTCTCAAATTCTCCCCTCTTTTTTTTTTCTTTGTCTTCTCTTAACTTAATAAGCATCTTTATTTTATTTGTTTTTTTTCTCTTATTTTTGGTTTTTATTCGTCATCTTCTTCTATGTTCTTTTAGTTTTCATATTTCTTCTATGTTTTATTTCTCGCTTTTGTTTTTAAATACTTTATTTTATATGTAATTTAATTAGAGTAAACAAATAATTTTTCACAAAATTATTGGTCAACTACAACATATAATTGTACAATCTATCTGAATTTAACTTGTCAGTGATTTGGATTAGTACTAATTTAGTTATTTCCTTTATCCTTATTTTTTTCAAGAATTAAGGATTTAAAAAACGCACATAAAACTAAACCCTACACCCACCAATAAAAACCCTAACCCTACAATATACACCCCCTCCCATACATACAGTACACCATAATCACATAATAGACAACTCTTTTCAATTTTAATGTAATAATTTTTTGCTTAATTTGTTGTTATTGTTGTTGTACAAATTTTCACATGATATTTTAAGAATACTCAATGTTTTTATTTTATCGATATGATTTGAAAAAAGAAGATTAAATAATTTAGTTGTTTATCTATTTCTTTATCCTTAAATTTTTTCAAGAACTAAAGATTTTAAAAACGCACAAAAAACTAAACTCTACATCCACCAATATAAACCCTATCTTCTTAAACCTAACCCTACAATAAACTCCCTCCCCCATACATACAATACATCATAACCACATAAAAGACAACTCTTTTCCATTTTAATGGAATATTTTTTTGCTTAATTTATTGTAATTGTTGTTGTTGTACAAAATTTCACATGATATTTTAAGAATACGCAATGTTTTTAATTTATTGATATGATTTGAACAAAATAATAAATAATTTAGTTGTTTAGTTATTTCCTTTATCCTTAATTTTTTCAAGAACTAAGGATCTTATATATAATAAGAGAGTGCTCTCTCTATCTAGCCTATCCACATCAGCCAAAAATCCATTAAATTATATTTAAGAAATCTAATGTATGACTATTCATATTTCTTTATATATATATAATCCAAATAAATACATAAAATAAAATAAGAAAAATACACAAAAAATAATTAAGAAATATAAAGTATGTAATAACTTAGTATCAAAATTTAACAGATATTTGAATATCAATTAGAGAAACAGAAATGAAATATCTTATATATAATTAGGAAGTTGCTCTCTCCTCTTAGAGTGTCCACATCAGGAAAAAAAAATACAAATTAATTAAATCAAAATTAATGATCCAATTGATACCTACACTTTCATAATATCACTGAAAGATTTATTATTCAAACAAAAATATAAAAATGTATTAAAAAATGATTAACAAAAATATAAAAGACAAAATTAAATAAAGATTAGTTGAACTTAATATTTAAAATATTAAAAGTTCATTTTTAACAGTAGTAGATACAAGAGATTTTTTTTTTAAGAAAAAAATTTACTGAAAATTTAAAATGTCTAAAATTCATAATAATATATATTATGTAAAAAGATAGTGTATGTAATAAAATTTTATGGAAAATGTTTAACAAATGAAAGCTAGCAGTTAAATTTAAGTAATCAAAATAAGTTATATATAAAACTAAATTATTGATTTTGATGTTACAAAAAAATTAAGTATTGACTATATCTAACATTAAAAAAAAAAGCACTCAATTTTATTTTTTTTGTATAAATATTTAATAAATAAAGGTGACTATCATATATACAGAACAACACATAAATGAAAAACATTAAAATGACAGTTTGTAAAGTATATAAATGATAATGAACAACCAAAAATATATGCAAACAAATCCGCGCTTGCGCGGGGGTATAAATCCTAGTTTAAAAAATGCACAAAAAACTAAACCCTACACCCACCAATATAAACCCTACTTACTAAACCCTAACCCTATCATAAACACCCCTCCCCCAACCATTCAGTACACCATCACCACAAAATAGAAAACATTTTTTCAATTTGAATTTTTTTTTAACCATACTTTTTAAACCCTAACCCTATAATTTTATAATAAACACCCCTTCCGCAACCATTCAGTACATCATAACCACAAAATAGAAAACACTTTTTCAGAATTGAATTAATTTTGTTTGGCTTAATTTGGTGTAATTGTTGTTGTTGTACAAAATTTATAATATTTTAAGAATTCACAATGTTTTTTTATTCGATATGATTTGAACCAAAGATTAAATAATTTCGTATTTAATATCGTATATCTCGTAGGGTGATTAAATACAAAATATTTTGTATTTAATATTCAATAACTCATATTATTAAAACAAAAAAAGAAAAAAGTGTAGAAGAAAATCTTCAATATTTAATAAGGAAATTATGACAATTATAAAAAAAAAAATCGTGAATTAATAAAAAGGAAATTCAGAAGATTTAATAATAGATTTTCATTAAGGGTATGTGGGTAATCAACCAGCTCAGAGTTAACGTGGTGGCTGGAAACGAAATTTTCACTTCGCAAATAATATATTAGATTTTATTGTTATATTTGTTATAAATTTTAAGTGATTATTTATATAACTGAACCTTTATTTTAAATTAAGAAAATTTCCTAGTTAAATTATAAGTAGTTTTTTTGTATTAATAAAATCTTATACATGTCTCCTTATCTTTATATTATTAATTGAGAAGTACATGAAAATTTTCTGACCAGAAAACCAATATAATTATAAAGAGAAAATGTTTGACAACAAGTTTAATGGGGTCAATTTAGTACATTATAATGTTTGGATACAGGAATAAGAGAAACATATATTTGGATAGAAAAATAAATGGAAAAATTGGTTTGGATACAAGAATAATAACTTAAAACAAACTGTGGTTTAGAAAAATTCCTTTTTAACTTCAAATTCTGCAAAAAAGAAAATTGAACATAATATATCAGGTGAAAATCCCATACCTAATTTTATAGAGATATAGAAATTATTCGGGTTTTTTTTTTGAAAATTTATGTTCGGTTTGGGTTCAAGTTTTTTTGAGTTCAGTTCAGGGTTTTTCAGATTTTTTTGGATTTCTGGTGTAACATCCATAAACCAAAAATAAAAATTGGGAATTTTGTCGGTTCAATTTAAGTGAATTGGTTTGGGTCGGTTTAGTGGAGAAAGCCCTAAAATCAAGTTTAAAGAGTGCAGCCGTCTTCTCTTTGGAGAATTTTCGAGTTCAGAGGCTAGAGGAGAAAAGTGGAGTTTTTGGAGAGATTTTCGAGTTTTACTGTTCATCGGGTTACTGTTCATCGGGGGGTACTGTTCATCGGTCGGGATTTCCGCACTGTTCATTGTCTTTCCTTCAGTTTCAATCATTGTCAAGGTGAGTGCATGACTGTGGGTCCGCGATTTGCTAGATTAGATTTGGTTTGTGGTTGTTCTTGATGAGTTTTTTGTTTAATTGTTATTTCATGATATTTTGGTTGTTTATGTGATGAATTGTGTGTTTGTGTGGTTTAATCTGGTTTAATTGAATTTAATTGATTTGATTCTGGTTTATCTTGGTTCAATTGAATTTAATTGGTTTATATTGGTTTAATTGAATTTAATTGGTTTAATGGAATTAAATAGATTAATTCGGATTTAATTAATTAATTGGTTTAAAATAATTATTTTAAAATATGGAAAATTATTATTTAATTATGAGAATTATTTAATAATTGAGAAATTGAGTTTTAATTATTAAAAATTATTTAATAATTGGAAAATGGTATTTAATAATTATTGGAGTTTATAAATATTATTAAATATCTAGTAAATTGCGTAAATGGCTCGTAGGCAGAGTGATTGCCTCACTAAGTATTTATTAAATACTTACGCAACTCCATTCCAATGTGTTGCAGGTAAAAGATTTGTGTGATCGCGGAATCAAGGCTGAAGAGGGGGATGATAGGATGTTTACTGTTTTATTGTTTTGCATTATTTTGCTAGACTTGTTTAATTATTATTTGCTTCCGCTGAAGCTGATTTATTTGTTATTGATATTTTATTTATTTAATTTATTTTAAAGACCTTCGCTAGAATTGATTAATATTTATTAAAAAAAAATGTTGGTTGTTTCATCTGGTTTTCAGGTTTAGACATATTAAAGTTTTTTAGGTATTTTAAAATTTGATTAGGATTTTTAGGTCGGGTTCGTGTTTCGGGTCAAAAAATTTTTTGAGTTTTTTTATTCGGTTCAGGGTTTTTTGAATTTTTTTGGATTTCAGATTTTCGGGTTTAGACATATTAAAAAATTTGGGTTTTTTTCACATTTTGATTAGGGTTTTTGGGTCAGGTTTAGGTTTAGGATTTAGATTTTCTTTACAAAACCGCAACGTCACATTGCATATTTGCGCGGATTCTTTACTAGTCTCTTACATGTCTCTATCACATTACAATTTTTTAAAATTTGGAAAAATTCTTATTATTAGATAAGCTTATATGTTCTAATTTTATTAATTGTTTAAATCTCAATATAAGTTATTTACTATAACACAATTTTAATTTTGTGAACATCTTTACTATTTTATTGTTACTCTTTTTTTTTTTTTTTTTTTTTTTTTTTCCTTTTTCCTTTCCTACAAATACTTTAGTATCCGAGTGAACAAGGAAGATCATAAAAAAAAGTGAGTGACATGGCAATGCCATGTGACGAGAACGTCCCATCGCCTTTCTTTGAGGAGACTTTGACACGGTTCGACATGTGTTCATCATCCAATTGGGTCGATTTTTTCATTTTTTGTTTTTCGAAAATCATTTTTTTCTCAAATATCATTTTTTTATTGTTAAAAATTGTTAAAGAGTTCATCTCAATCTTTGGAATACGGATGTAGGGGCCATTTTCGTTGTACGTGAGTACGTCACTTGTATTGTACCCAATATTTATTTATGATAATGATGATAAATGCAACTACGACGGATCTTTCAGAGGGGAGGATCACAATGCCAAAGCGGGTTTGATTGTCCGAGATGACAGAGGAACGTATTTGGGATCAGGTCAAGCTGAAGCAAAAAAGGTATCGAGTGCCATTGAGGCAGAATTTCAAGCGTTCATTATCTCAATGCAGAATTGTTGGTGTCAAGGTTATCTGTCATATCATATTTGAGGGTGATAGCAGGAATGTGGTGAATTTGGTTAACAACTCATCACTAAACTTCGTCTTATTCAATTGGATAAGGGAGGTTTGGAGCTGGATGGCCAAATTTAAAGATATCGCATTTACTTGCGTCCCAAGAGAAGGAAACCAGGCCGCTGAGACGTGCTGGCGACAAGAAATCTTCCAAACCATACAAGCTTTGTTTATCATTCTTCCCTTCTTATGTTCCTGAATTTATGTCGAATGTACTTCACAATGACTTCTTTTCGTCAAGTTAATAAAGGAACCATTAAAAAAAAAAAAAAAAAAAAAAAGAAAAGGAACCATTAGAGGGAAAAAAAAAGAAATATTATAATTTGAAATGTTTAATGTAAATGCGTTAGTTTATTATGAACACAAATAAATGAATCCAACTAAATAATTAGGAAAAATATTCATTAAAATGTTAATAATAATTTTATAATTTGAAATGTTTAATGTATATGCATTAGTTTATTATGAACACAAAATCAATAATAGAAAACAAAGTATTGTAAAAAACCAAATTGTATACACACAATCCAAAGACCACAAGTATTTGGAAAATATTTTATTGCAACTATTTCATTTTCTAGTTATATAAAAACGAGACTGACCAATCAGGTTATCTCTATACACACAATCCAAAGACCACAAAAATGTCCTATCAATCTCCGATCTCCGATCCTTACGCTTATCTCAACATTGTAAAGAATCCAGATGGCTCCATCACTCGCGACCTCACCAACTTCCGGTGCGTCCCAGCTACACCGGATCCTTCCCCACTAAACCCCGTCGTCTCCAAAGACGTCTCCGTGAACGGGTCAAAGTCAACGTGGATGCGTCTCTACCTTCCCGACGGCGTTTCGTCTGAAAAACTCCCTCTCGTGGTCTATTACCACGGCGGAGGTTTCATCCTGTGCAGCGTCGACCTCCAAGTCTTCGACGACTTCTGCTCCGTGATGGCGCGTGACCTCAACGTCATCGTCGCATCGCCTTCGTACCGGCTAGCTCCTGAGCACAGATTACCGGCGGCGTACGACGACGGAGTGGAGGCGCTGGAATGGATTAGAAACTCCGACGACGAGTGGATCAAATCTCACGCCGATTTCTCCAATGTGTTCCTCATGGGAACGAGCGCCGGCGGGAACTTGGCTTACAACGTCGGGTTAAGATCCGCCGATTCCGTCGTTGATCTGATTCCGTTACAGATCCGTGGATTGATTCTCCACCATCCGTTCTTCGGCGGTGAAGAGCGATGCGGATCTGAGATTAAACTTGTGAACGATCAGGTTTGTCCGCCTGTAGTCACAGACGTTTTCTGGGATCTCTGTCTCCCCGTCGGCGTTGATCGGGATCATGAGTATTCGAATCCGACGGTGGCGGATGGATCGGAGAAATTAGGACGGTTGAGATGGAAGGTGCTGGTGAGTGGAGGAGATGGAGATCCGATGATAGATCGGCAGAGAGATGTTGCGAAGTTGATGAAGAAGAAGGGAGTGGAAGTGGTGGAGCGATTTACCGACGGCGATGTTCACGGTGCTGAGATCTTCGATCCTTCTAAGCGTAACACTCTGTTTGTTTCTATCAGAAATTTCATTTCCTCGTCCTCTGCTGTGTAACGTTTCCCATTTCTTCCAAATTTTCAAAAAATATTCCCAATAAATAAATAAAAAGTTTTATTGGAGGCCCAATATATAAAAGGCCCATTAATTATCATCTGTATGCATCGCTTCACTCGAAATGCAAAACACTGTTAGTTAAAAGATAATGGGTCCGATTAGATTAGTTTAGTTACGTTGTGAATAGTGGTGTTACAGAATTTTCAGTCTTACGAAAGATAGTTGTACGAAAAACAGTGGTACTAAATATAGCAGTACAAATAGGAATAGTACACAATGATAATATATAGTTAAAATCCAATGGGTAACATTATGACGATACAAATAGTGTATTTTTAAATAAAATATAAATTATTTAAGTATTCAAAATTAAAATAATATCTATAAATATAACACAACTTTTATTTTGCTATAAAATTACCAACACCTTCACTTAGTAAAAAAAATATTACATATAAACTACAAATTCTTTAAATACATAATATTTTAAATGTACAAAAAAATTGATAATTAATATTGTTTGAAACCATCACATATTAATACTATTCATTGTTTTTTTTTTCTTCTTATTATGTAATTACAATTATTCATAGTTTATTTAAATGTCTAAAAATTCTAAATTAGACCTACATAATAGTATTTTAAATGTTTCTAGCTAAAAAAATAATGAAATTTAAAAATATTAAATTAAATGTTGTTATATAATGTGTGGATACATTTGATGTTAACAAATTCAATATTCAACAATTATCATTAGTTCACCCATTATTTAAATAATTAATACATATTATTAACAACTTCAGCTTTAAAATATTGTTACTTTACCATTAAAATTAACCATTCTCAAAGGAAATCATGAGAGGATATCACTCTCCAGTTGAATGACAGGTGGTATCTCCTTATTAAAAAAAATTGAATTTTTTTTATTCACCTTTAATCCCTAATGCCTCTTCACCTTCATCTGCCTTGGCAAAGAAAAACCGACCCTCCTCTGCTTTCCAAATGGCTCTTCATCTTTCATCTTTCATCTTCCTTGGCTCTATCACTCTGCAAAATGTAGATGTTATATATCTGTGTGGATATCGAAACATGGACACATAGTGATGGACAAAAGACTAATGAAACGTTCCTGCATAAAAAAATGCATAGAAATATTCGTGTGGACATAAGTTCATGGATACTAAAACAAAGCAAGCTGGTATGGATGCATGTGTGATAATATCAGACTCAGATGAAATAAAAATGGAATACTATACAAATGGAGAGAGCCATATGGTCAGACCCGTTTAGATACATAAAACACTTAACTAATATGGATATAGCATCTGGACATTATTTGGATATTTATCCATATGGATACAACATTGTGGAGATAGATGACTACCAATGAGTTAGAATGAATTCCCATCTTCGAAAGTCAATCACATTAGCAAACTTGTCCAAAAAAATCTTAATACTCTCCCTGAAAATCTGAACACACAAACAAATAAAGCATATAACTCTAAGTCAGAATAAAAATTTCTCAAGATTAAGAACTATAATAAACCTACAGAGGAAAGCATTAGAAATATGCCTACTCCATCAGGAGGCAAATGTCAAATAATTACGAAACTCACCAAATTGATTTTGTTACTCAAACACACAATATACATAACCCAAAACCAGTTTACATTACTCCATTATGAAACTTGGCTAAATAACTAGGAGAGAATTGGGTCAATCAGAGTTGTTTGTGAAGGGAAAAGGAGATAAATGACTGACTCTGGATTGGCTGGGTCGTGCGTGATGTAGAGCCGGCGGGAACCACGTACCGCCGCGAGGTTTCTTCTTCGTCGAAGCACTTAATTGCGGTTTAGGTTGAGAAAGGAAAGAGATTCGACCTGAGCAGAAACTGGAGGTGAAGTACGATGGGTGATGATTGATGGTTTCGAGGAGAGGAATAATAGGCTCGTCGAGAAAACCTTTCGGAGATTTGTCGATGAACGAATCGACGCTAGCGTCGCAGCTTTCCTCTTCTCGAACTCCATCTCTCCCAGTTCTCTGTAAAAACTAAAAACCCTAAGCTAAAATTCATAATCCCCTTGACGAAACGGTCACAGCGGCTGCCGTTTAGATGTAATTAATACGACATCGTTATGTGGAAAAAGTTTTAAGAGTGTGCAAACCACACGATGGCTATTACTATGAATGGAACCGCATCAAATCCAACGGACTGGAAAAAAAAACGTTCTATACTTGACGACTAATATTATGATAATCACAAAAAATAACACGTGCATTGGGTTCATAGTTGATTCATTTTGACTTCTGGTTGATCCGTTGATACTTCCGTAGTTCTGTATCTCGTATAATATTTCATATAGAATTGTTTAACTATCGACTCTTCTTTGGAAAAAACGAGTAACTAATCATAGGATGAGTATAATGCAATTCATTTGTGCATGCCATTGTTGTTATTACTTGTCTCTTAGTATCTCTTTTAGTATAGAAAAGATGCTAAAAGAGACATTTTGCGTGCTACGTACGTATTAAGTCACAAGTTCACAAACCGAGTCAAATTAGAATCTTCAGAAAGGGATTGAAGAAAGGTTATCTTAGAACTCTTTGTTATTGATTTACGGGATTGGCTCAACGTAGTAAATAGTAATCCATTATTTGGTGGTGTTTACGTGTGTTTAGAGAGGAGAAACACAAGAATGAAATAATCTAGAGGATAAAGAAAAGAATTCATCAGAAGATTTTGCAATTGTTGAAAATAATGGCAACGAGGAACAATGAGGCATAAAGATGAGGATCGACAAATCGTGAAAGTTTGGTTACCAATACACATATGCTCAAGAGATCCAATACTGGGAAATTTTGTTAAATGATTATGTTGAGAATTATGTTCGATTGAGATTACTAATTCGATTTACTTGTTAATTGCAGAAATGTAAAAGGCAAAGAGATTTTTGCAACCATCTCTTTCTCATTTCTTCTTCCTTCTCGTCACAGAAACAAACTGATGCAGCGCATCTTTGGAATCAGATTCGTCATATTCCGAATCTGATAAGTTTGAACCTTTTTCTGATATTCGATTTATTCTTTCATTTTATTTGTTCTTATCTTAGATACACTTAGATTTTCATATTCGTCTTCTATTTAAAGAGCTCTATTCATCTTTGTAAAGTTATCAGTTTTAATAAAGGAATTATTCAGAGATAATTTGGCTTCTTGTTCCCTATTTGACGATTTCTAGCTTGAGATCTTGATAGGAAGAGCTTCTTGTTCGGGTATTCGCAGAATCAACGACATTAGGCTTCGGCGACGCTTACGCTACGCCAGTTTTGGTATCAGAGCAGTGACGTTCTGGTGTCGGGAGAGAGAATTTTTTTTTCTGTCTCAAACTATGCCTCCTCGTTCGAAGACTGGTGGCAACAACCGTGACGATTGGACAGAGCTTCGATCCGCACTTCTGGCCATGCAGGAGAACATCCAAATGACCATCTCCAATTCGATCCAGGAGCTGACTGAGGCGATTGTCAACCGTAGGGATCGTCAGGAGAGAGAGTCGGAGGAAGAGGAAGAGGAGGAAGTGAACCACAACCCATTTGCTCGTCGTTATCATGATGATCGAAGCGAGCATGACCAGGAGAAAGTAGATCGGCGTTGGGAAGCGGGATTCAAAGTCGATTTACCGGAGTATCATGGAAGTTTGAAGGCCGATGAGTTGTTGGATTGGATTGTTGCGGTGAATGAGACTCTGGAATTCAAGGAGGTACCTGAGGAGAGACGAGTGGCCTTGGTTGCAACCAAATTTCGTGGCAAGGCAGCAGCTTGGTGGATGCATTTGAAGAACTCTCGGATTCGTAGTGGGAAAAGTAAGATCCGATCGTGGGAGAAGCTCCAAAAGCATCTTCGCCAAACGTTTTTGCCTTTCAACTACGACCGTATGATGTACACAAGGTTGCAGAATCTGCGTCAAGGGTCGCGCTCAGTGGAGGATTATGCAGAGGAGTTCTCGTTGTTGCTAACCCGCAATGAGATCAATGACAGCGAAACCCAGCTTGTATCCCGGTTTATTGGTGGTCTCCGACCACAAATTCAATCGGCTTTATCGCAGTTTGATCCATTAACGGTGCCGGAAGCGCACAGGCGTGCAACGGCGTTCGAGAGTCAATTTCGTTCGTCAGCAAGCTGGAGCGGAGGATCGTTGCGAAGCAGGAGTGTGGCTCAGGGGACTGTCGAAACTCCACATTCGGGAGCTCCGAAGGAAAGTGTCGATCTCACTACGTCGCGGCTCCAACCGCGTGAGGAGAAACCAATGGAGGATCCAGGGTTGCGGCGCTCCCTTAGGCCAAATTCCCTGTGATGTTTTTCATGTGGTGAGGAAGGGCACATTCAAACAGCTTGTCCAAACAAGTCGAGGAGGGGATTGTTGGCGGACAAGAGTCATTGGGAATCCAATGCACTGTTTGATGATGACGAGTTGGAGGAGGAAGACGAGATACAGGTGGACCAATTGGAGGGTGACAAAGGAAGACTTTTGGTAGCTCGCCGTGTTTGCTTGGCTCCGACCAAAACAGAGGAACCGTGGCTCAAGTCAAATCTGTTTCAGTCGACCTGTACAATCAATGGGAAGATTTGTCGATTTGTCATTGATTCAGGGAGCTCTAACAATGTCATCTCCGAGGAAGCAATGCGTAAGTTGGGCTTGAAGCGTGAAGACCATCCCACTCCTTACAATTTGCAGTGGATCAAGGAGGAGATTGACATGCGAATCAAACACAGAGCGTTAGTCAATTTCTCCATTAGGAATCATTACAAGGACCGCGTGTACTGTGATGTAGCTCCAATGGATGTGGGACACCTTATTTTGGGTCGACCTTGGCAGTATGATAGAGAGACGGTGCACGATGGGAGGAGAAACACTTACAGTTTCCTGTTTGAAAACAGGAAAATTGTCCTGATACCATCACCACCGGAGGCTTTGACGACAACACTGCCAACGAGAGACAAAGTTTGTGCAGCTGCAGAGAAGAAAGCGGCACAACGTTCAACCTTGTTCTGTTCTCGTTCTGTCTTCGAGTCAGAATTTTGTGAAGAGGGAGTGGTGTGGGCCTTGATTGCAACAACGCCAACAACTAGCGACACGACAGAAGCTCCACCTCGCCTTGCGATGCTATTGGAGGAGTTTTCTGACGTCTTTCCGGCAGAGCTACCACAAAGCCTCCTGCCGCTGCGTGATATACAACACCAAATCGACTTGGTGCCTGGAGCGTCACTACCAAACCGGCCTCATTATCGGATGAGCCCGAAGGAGCACGAGGAACTGCGACGTCAAGTGGAGGAGTTGGTGTCGAAGGGACATGTCCGCGAGAGTCTCAGTCCATGCGCAGTACCAGCATTGCTCATACCGAAGAAGGATGGTTCCTGGAGAATGTGCATCGACAGCAGGGCCATAAACAAAATCACGGTACGATACAGATTTCCTATACCGCGTCTTGATGATTTGCTTGATCAAATTGGAACAGCGAAGGTGTTTTCCAAGCTCGATCTCAAAAGCGGATACCACCAAATTCGTATCAAACCTAGAGATGAGTGGAAAACGGCGTTCAAGACGAGGGAAGGTCTTTTTGAGTGGTTGGTGATGCCATTTGGGCTTTCGAATGCACCAAGTACCTTCATGAGAGTGATGAATCAGGCGTTGAGGCCTTACATTGGAAAGTTTCTGGTGGTATATTTTGACGATATCTTGGTCTTTAGCAGCAACACAGAGGAGCATATTGATCACTTGCGCCTTATCTTGCTTGTGCTCAGGCGAGAAACGTTATTTGTTGCTCGGCAAAAGTGTGATTTTGCTACGGACCGTGTTCTGTTTTTGGGCTATGTTGTTTCTAGCAAGGGACTATCTATGGATGAATCAAAAGTAGATGCAGTGCGTTCTTGGCCGACTCCTCATACAGTCTCAGACGTTCGTAGCTTTCATGGATTGGCGTCTTTCTACAGACGATTTGTTCCGAATTTTAGTGCTATCATGGCTCCTTTGACTGACTGCATGAAAGAAGGGAAACTGCAGTGGACAGAGGAAGCAGCTGCAGCGTTTGAGGTAATCAAACATAAACTCACTACGGCTCCCATTCTTGTTCTGCCTGATTTTGAAGTCCCGTTTGAGCTACACTGTGATGCATCAAAATTGGGATTTGGAGCTGTTTTGAGCCAACAGTCAAAGCCAGTCACGTTTTACAGTGAAAAGCTAGCTGGTGCAAGGAGTAGGTACAGTACATATGACATAGAGTTCTATGCGATTGTACAAGCGATTAAGCACTGGAAGCACTACTTGTTTCAGAGGGAGTTTATTCTGTTCACAGACCATGATGCTTTAAAACACTTGGATAGTCAGGCAAAAGTCTCTTCTCGTCACGCCTCATGGATCGCGTTTTTGCAGCAATTTACGTTTGCAATCCGCCATAAGTCCGGGAAGTTGAACAGAGTCGCTGATGCATTGAGCCGGAGGCATTGTTTGGTGTCTACTATGCATACATCCGTTTCAGGTTTTGCCTCGTTCTCTGATCTATATGAGTCTGATTCTTTCTTTGGTCCAGTGCTGAGAGACATTAAAGACGGTCACCCATCTGCGTTCACCTTGCATGAGGGATTCCTCTTTAAAGGGGTCAGGCTTTGTGTTCCAACTTGTAGCCTGCGGTTGAAGATTATTGAGGAGCTACACCGAGAAGGTCATGTAGGTCGAGATAGAAGTCTCCACCTTGTTGCTGCGTCGTATTTTTGGCCAACGCTGCGAAGAGATGTTGAGAGATTCGTGGAGCGTTGTCGCGCTTGTCAACAGGCAAAGGGTCAAGCAACTAACGCAGGTCTATACCTTCCCCTACCTGTACCAACACAGCCATGGACTGATGTGAGCATGGATTTCGTTTTGGGCCTTCCTCGGACTCAAAAAGGAAACGATTCGATTTTCGTGGTGGTGGACAGATTCTCGAAGATGTCACACTTTATTCCTTGCAAACGCACGACTGATGCAGTGTTAGTGGCGTAGTTGTTCTTCAGAGAGGTGTATCGTCTTCACGGCCTTCCTACCTCCATCGTCTCGGACCGTGATACAAGGTTTTTGAGTCATTTTTGGCGCTCGGTGTGGAAGCTGCTCAACACAGGATTGGACATGAGCACCGCTTACCACCCACAAACCGATGGACAAACAGAGGTCATGAATCGTTTGTTGGGTAATATGTTCCGTAGTGTCGTCGGAGATAATATCAAGTCATGGGATTCGAAACTTCCACAGGTGGAATTTGCGCACAATCACGCAAAGAATAGGAGTTTGGGGTTTTCTCCATTTCAGGTTATCTATGGGATCGTTCCTCGGGGTCCGTTGGATCTTACAGTGGTTCCTGACTTGACACGGATGCATGGCGCAGCGAAGGATTTTGTGGAAAGCTTGCAGGAAACACACTCTGCAGCTAGAGAGAACCTGCAACTCTCAGCCGTGCGTTACAAGACAGCGGCAGATAGACATCGCAGGGAGGTGCTTTTTGCTCCAGGAGATATGGTTTGGGTGTACTTGACTCGCGATCGCCTTCCCGCTCATGAGTACAACAAGCTGAAGTCGCGAAAGATAGGTCCGGTGAAGATTTTGGAGGTCATCAATCCTAATGCTTATCGTTTAGACCTCCCGGCGAGCATCAAGACGGCAAATGTTTTCAATGTCAAGTATCTGAGTCCGTTCCACGGTGACAACGACAATCAAGATTCAGAGGCGAATCTTCTCCTACATGGGGAGACCTGATGCAGCGCATCTTTGGAATTAGATTCGTTATCATCCTATTCCGAATCTGATAAGTTTGAACCTTTTTCTGATATTCGATTTATTCTTTCATTTTATTTGTTCTTATCTTAGATACACTTAGATTTTCATATTCGTCTTCTATTTAAAGAGCTCTATTCATCTTTGTAAAGTTATCAGTTTTAATAAAGGAATTATTTAGAGCTAATTTGGCTGCTTGTTCCCTATTTGACGATTTCTAGCTTGAGATCTTGATAGGAAGAGCTTCTTGTTCGGGTATTCGCAGAATCAACGACATTAGACTTCGGCGACGCTTACGCTACGCCACAAACTCATTTCTTAAAAGACTTTTTCCTTTTTTGTGGGCAGAGGTAAAAAGGAGGTCTTAAGTGGGGACTGTAATGGAGCTGGTTTCCTTGGTGGTTTCTTGAGCACCTTTAATGAGTAGTAGAAGAAAGAAAAGCTGCTTCAAAGAAGAATAGGTTTTGATAAAGAATGGGATCTTGTGCTGTTATCACTCAAAAAACATTCCTTATAAACCTTAGAAGAAGTGATATTTCTGTCTTATCATTACTCTTCTAAAACGAACATGTATTACTATTTGTTATGTGCATACCATCTTTTTGTTACACTGTTGTTTATTTTATATGCCAATGTCACATTCCATGGTCTTCCTTTCTCAAACTCTTTCTACAAATCTAACTATTGTTTGGTTTACAATGCTAGACCTGCTACTTAAAGTTATCTGGTCGAGTTGGAGTAGATCCCATTTGTGTCTGGATTTTTTGGTTAGGTGATCCATATACTCATATAGGTACTTTATGTATTGCAGTTTGGTAAAGGTTTGGATCTTTAGGGTTCCAATATAGCTTTAGAATACCGAAATATACCCAAAATATTTCGGTTATAACTTGGGTTTGGGTATTTCGGTTCTTTACCACCCGGAAATCTAACAGTATATCCAAAACCCAAAAAATACTCATGAAAATCCGGGAAAATATTTGTAAATCCGATTTAAAAAAAAAAAAACTGAAATATATCTGAAAATCCAAAAATAATTCGAAAAACATAAAATATTATATTTATGATATCAAAAATAATTTACAGTACCCATAATTCGAGTAATTCGGGTATTGGTTAGGTTCAGGTATTATCCAATACCCATGGGTATTAAATATTTATCCAATAGGTGATTTGTTATATACCCAAAATCAATCGGGTACGGGTATATCTGGTCGGTACAGTTTAGGTGTTCAGGTATAAGTTAAAAATTTCGGACTTAAAGCAAACAATTTACAAAATTTGATTTTAGATGAAATAGAGAGCAATATAAACTACAAGTTAACATATCTGAAAATATATAAGATACAAAATATTTACAAATTTAAAATGACAATTAAAATACAAGTAACAAAACTTTGTAATAGTCATAACCCGCGTATCGCGCGGACTTAGCCCTATCAACACAGTAAAAATCTCTGTGTCTCTCCAGGTGTTGACAACTCAGCTTTTTTAAGCTTCCTGACACCTCATTAAAATCGTCCAGTCAATAGAAACATTTCGTTTAATACCAGTCGTCAGCAAATTTTCGGTTTAACCCTGCCAAATTTTCCTTTCGGTTTGGCCCGGTTCTCACTTGGTTAATTGATTTACCCCCCATTCTCAATCTCTTATCGTTCTTCTTCCGAAGAAATTTGTGTTCTTCATCTTATTGATCTGAAAGTCTTATTCTATCCACTGTTCTTCTTCCTACGAAATTTATGTTCTTCTCAGATGATCCGAAAGTCGTATACCCATTTATTTACTCTATTAAATCTCCTCAGTGGTCTCTCACATGATTCGTTTTTGAAATTCGATCGGCGCCGGAGATTTCAAGCTCCAGACATGGGTGCTTCGTGCTCTCCGCCGATTGAACAACTACTGTCTACAAAATCGGCGTGGAGATCCCGATTGAGAACCTTCTCTGTTCGTGCGACCACAGACCGCAGCTTCTTCACCTCCGGCTTGATTTCCTCGATTTCTGATTTGTCGCAATGTTAATTTTAAAGCTGCAATTAAATCTCCTTCAAGCTCCTCTCGAAATGGTAAAGTTTTCCCATTTGTCGCAGTGTTCTTCTTCATCTGATTATTCTGAAACAAATTCAAATAAAAGTCTGAATCTTTGTTTTCAATTTTTTTTTCTGTTTATGCAAATCTGCAGTATCTCTATTAAAGTGGTGCTCATTGGCTGCTTTTCTCCTTTTGGCTCTCTAACTTTATAGGTAATCAGTAATCTATGAGCTAGATTGAATCAGTTTTACAATTTTTGATCTTTAGCTCATGATAATGTCTTAAGATCTTATGCTTTAACCATATTCCCATTGATCGATCGAATTGTTTTAACCATTTTCACATCTTTAGTTCATGATTTTGTCTGATTGTGGAAATGGTCTTATGCTGAAAAAGTCTCCAATATACGTTAGTGATTATTCTTTCTGAAATAATGATATGGATCAAGATTCATTCTAAATTGGATCCATTCGACCAGAGATTTTATATTCAGCCAAGAAAGCTGTGTAAAATCATGTGTTAGATTAAACTTTCATGAATATACAGCCATTGAATCTTTCTTTGCATTTATTTAATCAAGTTAAGCGTTCTTCACTTTAAAAGAGAAGCATATAAGATATCGAATCTTTCTACATGTTGTAGCATATAAGATATTAAATGATTCAAGTTAAGCGTTCTTGATTATTGAATCTTTCTTTGCTACGAAGGCTGCAAGCAGCTCATCTGATGAGGTTAGATTCTACACATTAATGATATTATAAAGCAGCTTCTGATTTCTTAGATTTGATTTATTGACCATGTGTTTCTGTGGTTGATTTTGCAGAAAAGTGAAGATGAAAATCCTGCATGAAAGAAGGCTAAAGCTGCTAAAAGGATAGCAGCAGCGATGAATCTGAATCTGAGAGTGAAGATGAGAAAGAAACCCCTAAGAAGAAGGTGCCAGAAATGCTTTACTTTTCCTTTATTCTGAGAAATTGATATAGCTACAACAAGTTTTATTATGATCATACAATATAGAAGTTGAATTGCATATTGTTTATACATGCTGTTTGCTGATGAAAAATTACTCATTTCTACTGTTGTAATCAGAGTACTGATGTTAAGATGGTTGATGCTGAGCTAAAACAGTTGAGAATCCCTTCCCTTAACATGCCGTTGCTCTAATCTCTTTATGTATCATGCTTTGTTGTTAACTTTTTGTGCATCATGTTTTGTCTTTCAGCCTAAGACAACTTCTACAGGAGGATGCAAGACTCTCTTCATTGATAATCTCTCATTCCATGTTGAGCAAAAAGATGTGTAAGAAGAAAACAGAGCATGGGAGTTGACCCATTACTCCAGTTACTCCGATTACTGAAATGGGAGTTAAAATGACAGGAAATATATTCAGCTTCACCCAGTTTGAAATGTTTAGACAAACATAAATGTTTATCCATCTAATCACAAACATACTAGAACTGAAAAAGATGAAACTATAGTAGCAAAGCAAATAACATGTTTTTTGGTGAAAAAGAAAAAATTGAATTTTGTGGTTTTTTCTTATACTTAGAAATTTTATTAATATCTCAACTACCTATAAAAAGTTGGATTAATTCAAAACATAATCTCTGAAATAAAATTTAAGGTTGGAAACAAATTAGTTAGAAAATTTATCTGTCATAGAAAAGTTATTAGAAACAAATTGACATAACCTATATTCTAAAATATTTGATTAATCTCATTTTTAACTTATTTCATTTTTTTGACAAACTTTTAAAAAAAAAGATTTAAAGACAGTATTATAGAAGAATTTTCATATTAGTGCGCAAAAAGCCTCCCACTGTGGAGCGCGGGTACCAACCTAGTATATATAAAAAGAGGTCAACTTTCTTGACATGTGGACACATGAGAAATTGACAAGTGTTATATAATTTTCAGTTTGAAAAAAAAAATCCAAAACTTTAATAGAACATTAATGCAACTTTTGGTCTTTTTTTATACTTAATGTAACTTATAAAATAAAATTTCATATAATTTTCACTTTAAAAAAAATATCCAAAAATTTAATGGAACTTCAATGCAACTTTTGGTTTTATTTTGTACACTTTGTAACTTACAAAATAAAATAAAACTAATATATCACTCCAAAATTATTATCTTTCGGGTTCAATCATAATATACAGAGAATTGGATTCATCGAAAAACGATAGCATGGAAGCGGAGTGTGTTCCATATAGCGGTGAATAAATAAAGAGTGTCAAGGGTATAAAGACATATGATATTATGCAAAACTATATATTTGAAAATCTAACTAAGCAAATAAAAATTAAAATAAGGGTGTTATTTAAATTAAAATATTAATAATAAATCTATAATTGTTTTATAACATTTTTTTCAAAGTATAACAACAAGAAAACCCACCGAGAGAGTTGGCCACGTGGCAACTTCTCCGATTTTCACAACTTTTTTTTTTGTTCGCTCGCTTTTTTTACTTTTGTTTTGCCAACCTCGATCTTTCTTTTCGACTTCTGATACAGACGCCTTCGCCTCTCTCTTTGCGCCGCCGGTCGTTCCGTGCGATTCGCAGCACTCTCTCAGATGACGGAAAGTCACCGGCAAAATTCACCCATTTCTCCGTTTCTCCGCTGTGCACATACGATACACAGACTCGACAATCTCTCCGCCCTGTCCCATCTTATGCTCCACGCTGCTCACCCCCGCACAACCAATAGGCAACCGTCCCACTCGCTCGCCGCCAGGTGTCGGAATCCAAGACTCTTCAGCATCTCCGCAGCGCTGATCCGCTATTCACATCGGCCATGTACCGATCTGATTTCCAAATTCGGTTTTAAACATCGCCCTGTTCTCGAACTACACCAAACTCATATTATTGCTACCCTGAGTCTCCAAATATTTACTTTCCTCCTTCTCCGCGTTTTATTTCTCTCTTCCACCATATAAATCTCGGAACATTTCCGCCGCCATATCCGAATCCTCACCGCCGAAGTTTTTCTCTCCCTAAACAGTCGACTCCTCTATTCCGACTCACCCGTCACTTTCAAGGTTCTCGAGCAAATCGAAGGTGTGTTCTTTTTCTTCCCTTCGGTTTCTCATCAGCAATGGTCATTGAATTTATGACTGCTTCGATTCCACTTTTCTCTCTTACAGTCTATAAATTCAGCCCTCTTTCAATCCACCAAATTCATCCAGATATACATTTCTCTTCTCTGTTTTCTTGGCACTTTAACTACAGTCGACAAAATCATGGCCACCTGACGATCGATGCTTACAAAAGTATGCTTTTCAAGGCTTTTACAGGTTTTTTTTTTTGTTGATGATTGAACTTGATTTCAACTATATTATAAAATAGTAATCTCAGACTTTATGATTGTTTTGTTTAACTCTGGTTTTTTTTCAAAGCTTCTGTTTTTTTTAGGATTTTAGTTTCACATGTACGTTTTCCTTACAGTGTCCCAAACTAATTTCAGATAATATATTGGCGTTGATGAATGTGTAGGTGGTTCGGACGTTCTCAGGCTGTGAAATTGTTAGGGAAAAGCTTTCCTATTTGTCGCCAATATCGGAACGACCAAAATCAGAATCTTTCTTACAAAGGTTTGTCCTCAAACTATACAGATAGCAAATCGGGTTTTCCAACAAAAACGTCATCTGTCTTGTTTGTCTTAGGCTGAGGCTCAAAGTTGCATGTTATTCTTCACCAGCCATATGATTTCCTTGCTCTGGTGCCTGTAATACAAGGCGCTGGAGATACTATAACCGATTGGAACAGTAAGCCACTTTTGTGGGAAGCTTCATCCACTGCAGTTGCTACAAGTACGTTGTAAGTATATACGTAAAGCTTAGTTCTTTTGCACTTTCATCTGATCTTCTCATATCGACTAAAATACCAAATATATCACTTATTAGAAAGAAACACCCCACGTATGCTTATAATATCAGTGACCTATACCGTTTTCTCTTATGCTTATCCGGGTTCTAGACAGGTTTTTCTTCTTGGATGAGTCTTTCTTGGTTGCCAACAAGCTGGTGTTGAGAGTAATGTGAATGGGTTCGTTCTAGAGTTAAATTTTATATATTAGAAGGTGAGTTCTCTTGATCTCTTTCTGTTCCTTTACTTCATTTACGATGCATAATGGTAAATCAGCATTCAACAACGGAAAAGCCATCATGTTTATGGAAAGTCATCAAACCTGAGAAGTGGAAAATCTGGATGCAGGTTTGTTTTTGCTCTTTCATGTTTGTGGATTTCCTTTGAGATGAAATATCTATGATCAAGACGGTGAAAAAATCAGAAGTTAAGGTACTAAGTTGCCTTTTGTTTTTAACCTTATCTTGCATTTTTAGAAGTGCTTAAATAGCAGCTGGGAAACCTTGAGGTTGTTTCTTATTTGCTTTCTCAATCTTAAACTCAACTAAACTGAGATTAGAGAATAAATTATACCTAAAACTGTGGTTTCTTTATCCAGGTGCTTCCAAGAACGCTTCTAAATTGCTACAACCATGTCTGCCATTGCATAAGTTTATTCAATCTTCACAGTGTCAAACTTTGGTGGCGATAAGGTATATGTTGCTCATCTAAATCTGTGTGGGTTTTTTAGTTTACAAAAACAAATACTATTCTTTCAGACTCGGTATAACTTGATTTAAAATGTTTGATTTCCTAGCTTCTTAAAACCTATGAACAGTATGGTGTTGGGGTATAGAATTTTTGGGACGAAATGATAGCATACTGATTTTCTTAACAAAATCTGTCAGTGAACAATTCTTAATACATCAGAAAATTATTTAGGGAAATGTGCTAGCAAGGTACAAGGCTTAAGAAGAATCTCTAAAAAAGACTTCTCAATGGCTTTATCATCATATAAAGTATTAACAGTATGGAACAGTTTAGAAAATCGTGTATACACATGTTCCCATTTAAATTAATCGTATAAATTAATCGTGTATACACATGTTCCCATTTAAATTAAAACAGTTTAGAAAATCGTATAAGTGAACGAGGAATCACCTAAAGGCTTATGCGGTGGATCTTTATGTTCACTTTATACACATGGCCCTATTATTTTATTTGTCGCAGTGTTAGCGGCTGAGACGGAGAAAAACAGGTTTCGGGGAGAGAAGAAAACACGTCGCTGGTAGGAAAATATAATGGTCACGAACACGCTAATAAGATTGGGGAGTCGCTGCTGTTTGTCAGATAAAAGAAGACTTGCCACATGTAAGTCCAAACATTTAAGTGATGTTGTTGAGATGCAAGGTAGCTTTAATAACTGTTCGATTATATTAATTTCAGGAACGATGGGGGATAGAAGACAAGATCTACCGGTAGCATACTAACTAAATTATGGAAACAACATGGCATCTTAGCACTGGTGTTACCGCATGTCTGTTTGCATAGTAACATAAACTGTTACAGGGATTTTCAACTGTAGGAATTGTTTTTCCAATGCATTAATTTGTTTTTCCTTCTTGCATGGAAGTTTCGTTTAACTAATAGTATATGTTTGTTTATTCCATGTTTGAACTCATAAATGTTTCTTAGTTTCATGCAGAAGATAGATAACTTATTATTTGAATGATATATCATCTCAAATGAAAACTTATTATTTTATCCAACAACTTAAGTTTTAGACTTTTTCATATGCGATTGATCAAGTAAAACTCATCAATATTTCCTAGATTGACAATTTGGTTATGTTTCTTTTAAAATTAGGGTGCAGGTAATGGGTCTCTAGAATGTTAATGTAAGAGCTAAGTTTGAAACATTCCGTGCGGGTAATGGGTCTCTAAAATCACCTTTTAAAACATTTAATTTCTCATGTAAGAGTTAAGTTTCTTATGTGATTGTAAGCTTCATAATGACTACCGGAGGCGAATTCTCTAGGTGTTCGTAGAGGCTCGCCTACTGACAAATGTATAGTAGTGTCTTGATATAATATTGTTTGTGTTAGTTTTCCGAGAAGGTATAGACATTGCTAATTATATGGTTTAAGGGTTATGAATTTAAACTTTTAGAATCTTCAGCAAAACTACATAAAAATAAAAGTTGATGATACATTTGACCGTTATGTTATTTTTATTATCTTAATTCAACTGTAAGATAATTGATTAGTTAACTGAACATGTCAACGTTTCACTTACTTTACAAAGTACACACACGATCAACTTTATTTACAAAGTTCTACTAAATCTATGTATAATGTCGGAATTGCGAGTGATTTAAAGAAAGAAAATGATTGAATGGTGGAAAATTTAACTTGAAAAACTAAAAAAAATATTGCGTCGGAGAGATTATCATATTATTAACTTTACAAACATTAATTTTAAAAATATTTAATGAGAAAACGTAACAACACCACTCGCGGGCTTTAACCTAGTTAAAATAAAACACAGATTAATGATCAACCAGACATTTATATATTTTTTGGAATAAACAAAATAGATTAGACTTTTTCTTTATATAAACAATAAATAAAAGTATAAAAATAGTGGTACTGGTACATGATGGATGTTTTGTAACGTTGCTTCTTGGTGGTAAAAACTTGTACCATTGTTATACACATTGTACTATCTATTTAAGTAGTATAAACACTGTTCGGTGATGTTTTGTTTGTAATGCTGTTTTACATAATGCTTCTCCAACTACTCTAGTGATTGGTTACAACACATATGTTACAACTTGTACCACTATGTTTATCAGTCATCAATCAGAGCCAATACCATGATAAAGTCCGTTAGGTCTGGGTATAAAAACCGACCCGGAACCGACCCGAAAATAAACATAATGGCTTTGATTGGTAACAATGTAATGGAGTGTTATAAATTGTAATGCACAAAGTGTAACCAATCATATGAACATTACACTTATGATAGTACAAAATGTGTGTTACAAAAAAAGGAGCATTACAATCAAAAAGTGATGATACAAAAGGCAAAACAATGGTTCAATTGTAATGCTACTTTTTAATAGTAGTACAAAAATTAATGATGGTACAAAGAGTAAACAACAAGGCCATGCTCTCTTTTTTTCATCTTCCTTTTCTTCATGTTCCTTTTTGTTCACGTGAGTTGATTTTTTTTAGGGTAAAATTATTATTAAAAGTGTCTGTATTTTATAACTAACAATAAATATTTAATATATCACTGAAAACTGTTAAAAACAAAAACATAATTCTCATTTATTAGCTATATATGTTCAATTTTATTTGAATGGTTAGTTTCATTAGTAAAGTGACAATATTTTTAGAGCTGATGTTTGTTAATAATGTGTAATAATCATTTAAATGTGAATTCATGATAATTGTGGAATATCATTAATTTGTTAACATCAAATATATTCACAAATTCTATAACAACATTTAGTTTAATATATCTTAATTTCATTTCTTTTTAACTGAAAGCATTTAAAATATTATATGTAGTTCTAATTTAAGATTCTTAGACATTTAAATAGACTTTGAATAATTGTAATTACACAACAAAAAGAAGAAAAAATAATGAGTAAAGGACATAGATACAAAAAAGATTAAAATAGTACAACTTTTCTTTGATTTTCACATTTAATTTTAAGACATGAGATTGGTGTATTGTATTTTAGTATATATATGAAAGTATATTATACAAAAGAAAAATAAGAAAAAATTCTTATTGGACCTTAGTAAAAATCTTATAGTTTATGAATAAATAACTGGTACAAGCCAAAAAAACTTTTATTGATAACAACAATGGATGCATTTATCTCTTCTTTATCAGTAAATAAGAAATACAAAAAAAAATTATTGGACCTCCCACAAAAAGTTGAGAAACAAAAAAAAAAAGAAATCTAAAACATTTTTTCAAACCTTTACTATATATGTAAGACGTGCCCACACACATTGATACATAAATCAAAATTCCTCTCTCAAATAGTTTCAATACACTTTCAAATCTATTCACATCTAAGTTAAGTTAAGAGTTTTATCTCTTCTCTAGATCCATTCAAGTCAAGGTATTTTCATTACTTTTGTAACTAGTGTTTCTTTTTTATCGTAATTTGTCAAACTACTTTATTTGTCAAACTAATAAGGTTTGTTTATATTAGATTTGTATTATATATATATATATATATTTGATTCTATATAAGTTTATATAACTTCTTGCATAGTTTTATGTTATAAACTATTGAGTAATATTAATATTATCATGTAAAATTGGCATTCACACTCACTTATTTTTGGTAATTATTTTCTAAATAAAATCTTATATATAATAGGAGAGTTTCTCTCTCCATCTAGGCTATCCACATCAGCAAAAAATTCATTAAATTGTTTTTAAAATATTTAATACATGACTATTCATATTTCTTTACCTATATTTATATTTTTAAATATAAATAAAACTAAGAAAAATACACAACTAAATTACTTAATTAATATAAAGTATGTGATAACTTGATGTTAAAAGTTATCAAAAAGTTTGGATATAAGTAAAAATATATTTATCTTGAAATGGTATATATTTACCTTTTTATTAAAAGATTTATCCTACTTCAAAATGTTATAATGTGTTTACAAGTTAAAAAGTTGAATATAAATTAATTAAGATAATAAAAAACCAATGAGAAATTAGAGTTAGAGTTTGCTTTTTTAAACAAATAGAAGTCAAGTTTTTATATGTAAATTTAATTGCAGTGAAAAACATGAAAATTTTAAGGATTGTGATATGTTTGTTTCCAAATATATTCAATTACAAAACTAACATAATAGAAAATAATCAATGGTCATGAGGCTCATATGCTACCACAACAAAGTAGATATGTATAAAAGTATATATATATTTTTTTCATCCTATTTCGGTGCAAATGCGATTTTACAATATACTTACAAATTTTAACGCTGAGTCAAATTATACATATATTTATCTTGAAATGGTATATATTTACCTTTTTATTAAAAAGATTTATCCTACTTCAAAATGTTATAATGTGTTCACAAGTTAAAAAGTTGAATATAAATTAATTAAGATAATAAAAAACCAATGAGAAATTAGAGTTAGAGTTTGCTTTTTTAAACAAATAGAAGTCAAGTTTTTATATGTAAATTTAATTGCAGTGAAAAACATGAAAGTTTTAAGGATTGTGATATGTTTGTTTCCAAATATATTCAATTACAAAACTAACATAATAGAAAACAATCAATGGTCATGAGGCTCATATGCTACCACAACAAAGTAGATATGTATAAAAGTATATATATTTTTTTTCATCCTATTTCGGTGCAAATGCGATTTTACAATATACTTACAAATTTTAACGCTGAGTCAAATTATACATATGCATGTTTATAGTCTAACAAAAGTAAACAAACATAATATTTATAATATGCTAAAATGTTAGAAATAGAAAATTCGAGATAAAGTGGGGTGTTAACATCCTAATAAAATAAAATAAAAGGACGCACGATGTGAGATAAAATATAAACAAAACCATTGCAAACAATCTCGCGCTTGCGCGGGGCTTCAAACCTAGTATAGAAGTAATTAAAGTTTAGTGTCATAATTTCTAATAATGGAATAATTACATGTACAAATATTTCATGTAAAAGTGACTTTTGATGTGATAACAAATTTAGAATAGTGTAAAAATTATGAAATATAGACATGCTTTACCATAATAATAATGGTATCAGTTACATATATATATATATTTATTAGGATGTTCAAAACACAGATTATTGTAATTATATCTATGTATTGGCTATGATAGTAAAATTGTATATAAAATTCATATTTTATTCTAATTTTTATTGTTATTACATTTAATTTAATTTAGATCAATAATTATATTTTCTTAAACTTTTTTTTGTATCATATTGCAGTATGTCTGCTAACCAAGATCATGCATCTTCAATTGTGCCCAAACCCGTAAGTTCATCAAATTATTGTGCCTTTAATAAAACTAACCTATTTTACGTTGTTAGTAGTAACATATATATATATATATATATACATATTTTTTAGAAGGAAGTGTGGACTCCTTATGAAGAAGAAGCTGTAGTTGAACTCTATGAGACACAATTAAAATTAGTCAATTATGATGCAAAAGCAATAAAGCCACCTCAACGAAAAATTATCATGAACGAATTGCTACGAAAAACGGGCAAAAAAGTTGACGCATGGAAAAAGATCAAAAGCAAAATGAATAATATTCAGAAAAACCATAAGTTATGGTTAGACCTTATGGGTAGGACAGGTGTAAGCTCAGATCAAAGAACAGGAATGATTCAAATGGACGAAGCCTGGTGGAGAGAACGTGAGGCGGTATGTTTATTTCTATTGATTTCTTGGAAAATTTGTGTTTTCCTTCAAACTAGATTATTTTATATACAAAACTAATGTTTTTATTCAACTTTTATTTAGGAAAACAGATTAATAAGATCTTTTCATCGTCGGCCACCGAGACAGTGGGAGGCTGCAGAACGTATATTTAAATGGAGTGATGTTTCAACTCAGCATATGTATGACGTAGATGGAGTACGTAGAGAACTCGATGACGAAAGACTTGATCTAAGCGATGGTGATGGAGATGGTAATGGTGATGGTGATGGTGATGGTAATGATAGTGGCAATGGTACACATGAGACACCTATCAATGAGTACATCCCACAACCCCAAGATGAAAACCCACCGTATCCAGATCTCTCTTTTATTGACTCTCAAGAACCACGTGGTGAAACGCCATTTGAAAGCGGACAAGAGTTCTCACATGCATCCGAACAGGAAATTCCAGTGACAAGTGGACAAGTAAATCCAGATCGGATGGGGAGACAAAACACACGTACAGCTCCGTACAGTGTTGGGCGAGGAGAATCTAATCGTCGAAGAGGTGCATCACGAGGACGTCTTTCAACTAAAACAGAGCGAGGTCCACGTAGAAGACGTGAATTTGAAGGGTCTATGAGTGCTGCATTTCATGAAATGGCAAGTGCACGGCGTGCAACTGTTTCGGCTTTACGACCTGATCGATATAATCAAGAAGATTATGAGAAGTTCAAAGAAGCGTTAGCTATACTCAACTCACTCCCAATTGAGAAGTATAATCCATTTTGGAAAGCTGCTTCTCAACTTCTAAAGGAAGATGCATGGTGGCGTAATACATTTCTGGACACCCATTATGAATCTGACGATGAAAGGATCAAATTCTTAGAAAGTATTACTGGAGTGGATCGAGCCGGAACCAACACTAACGTAAATCTTCAGAACTTCCAACCTTTTTTAAGTGGTTCTAGCAGTGGTAGTGTTAGATCATCTTCAAGTTCGGTTGGACACTCTTCAGGAAACTCCGATCATAGCCAAGGTGGAATTCCATAGTATTCTCCCTATGCTGGTATGGGACAAGGTTATGCACCATCGGGAATAGGGTGTAACATGCCCGGACAGATGATGGGACCACCTTTTGTTCCCATGATGTATCCTCAAGGATTTGGTGGTTATCCATATATGCATCCAACGACATCTGGTCACATGATGCATACTCCAGGACATAATGGGCTCTTTAATGTGGGGACATCTTCGTCAATGGGTGGTAGTACTCCACAACAATCTGGACAAGTTAATGTCAATCCTTCAAACGAAAATCCAACACCAACTAGACATTCAGCAGGATTTCGGGGTCAACCCCGACATTTGAATTTTATGGATGATTCTACGGGAAATCAATCTGTAAACTATGCAAACGAATAACTTTAGATTTTAGTTTTTTTTTTTAAAAATGTTTTTCTATGTTTTTTTAATGAATTTTATTTTTTAATGGTTTTAATTTAAGTTTAATCAATTATATTTATCAATTTCAGGTAAATCGGATTGAAGAATTATATTCTCAAGGAGTAAACAATCTCTCACGTGAAGAATTATTTGAGTTGTTCATGTTAGAAGATGAAGAAACCGATGAAGTTCTTGTTAAACCTACAGTTCAATATTATGAACGGTATTTATGCCCAGAGCCCATGCAACCAGGAGGCGGGTTTGGTTGGCTGAATATCCAACATCACATCGAACGTGATGATGAGTCATGCTTACATGCGGTTAGGATGCGACGAGAAGCATTTCGAATGTTGTGCCAGTCTCTCGAAAATGACTATGGGTTAGCCGCGACTGAAAATATTAGTATAGAAGAAAGTGTTGCAATGTTTCTCACGACATGTGGTCATAATGAGGTTCAACGCACTGTCGCCAGAAATTTTGGACGTAACCAAGAGACGGTGAACCGAAAGTTTCACGAGGTGCTTACGGCAATGGAACGACTAGCATGTGATCAAATGAAGACTCCAACCGTACAACAGCGTAAAGAATTTCCACGAAAATTACGAGCTAATAAAAATTATTGGCCGTATTTTCAAGGTTTTATTGGTGCTATAGATGGAACACATGTTCCTGTTATTGCGCCAGAAGAAAACCGGCGTGCATTTTGGGATCGTTTTGGAGAAGCAAGCCTAAACATTATGGCGATATGTGATATAGACTTGCTTTTCACATACATATGGAATGGCGCACCAGGTTCTGTTCATGACTCCAGGGTATTGGCAATAGCACAACAGACGAGTCGGACATTTCCCAAACCGCCTCCAGGTAAATACTACCTTGTGGACTCTGGTTATGCGAACAAAAAAGGTTATTTGGCGCCTTACAGAGGAAATCGAAGAGAAAGTGTGAGGTACCATTTATGACAGTTTCAAGAAGGACCACCACCTAGAAATAAACAAGAATTGTTTAACTGATGGCATGCATCACTTCGTTCCGTCATTGAACGCACTTTTGGAATTTGGAAGAAGAAGTGGAGAGTCGTCAAAGAATTACCAAGATATAAATTAGAAACACAAAAAAGATTAGTATTTGTTACTATGGGACTTCATAACTTCATTCGACGCTCAAATATTTTAGATGATGATTTCAATGATATTGCACCAGAAAGTGAAATAGCACAAGATCAACAAATAGAAGATGCAAAGTGCAATTAACGAGATAGAAGAAGCAGAGACAACAACAGATGGTGCTCATATGGCTGTCGTGCGAAACCAAATAGCTGATATGTTATGGGCTGGTCGTTAATTAGTGTTTTTACTTTTATTATTTGTTATGCGATGTATTTGAAAATTTATAATACATTTAAATATATATATATATATATATATATCAAGTTTTTAAACATTTAAAATATTATGTCCGAAGAATTTGTAATTTACATGTAATATTTTTTTTTGCTAAGTGAAGGTGTTAGTAATTTTATAACAAAAAATAATTATGTTATATTGTTAGATACTATTTTAATTTTGAATACTTCAGTAATTTATATTTCCATTTTAAAATACAACAGTTTGCCCAAAAAAAAAAAATACAACTATTTGTACTATCATATTGTCACCAATCAGATTTTAAATACGTACTATTATTTTATACTATCTCTTTTTGTACTGCTGTTTTTCTTACATCACTATTTACAACGTCACCAATCGGACCCAGTATATTAGATCTACACGAATCGAGTAAAATCCGTAAGCCTTTTCGTATATTCTAGCTTAAAAGTTGTACACCGATATAGTCAAAGACGACCTCGAACGAAAATCAAATAGCAGTGAGAGATCCACAACAATGGCGAAGGAACAACCTAGGACCGATTTGACCTCCCTCGTCTCCGATTTCCTCTCATTCCTCAATGCTTCTCCCACCGCTTTTCATGCCGTCGGTAAACGATCAATAATCCATTTCCTCTTTTTTTTGGCTTCCTTTTATACCTCTTTCAGTTATGCTTTGGGGAAAACAATCGTTGGTCTATGAAATCAATTCTGGGTTTATCGACATGATTGTTTTGATCAAACAAACTAATTTGCAGATGAGTCAAAGAGGCGGCTTCGAATCGCAGGGTACGAACAAGTTTCCGAGAGAGATGATTGGAAACTCGAAGCAGGCAAAAAATACTTCTTCACAAGAAACTACTCCACTATTGTTGCTTTCGCTATCGGCAAAAAGTATGAATCTTTCTTTGAACAAATGACTGAGATTAGTGTTAAACCTCTGATCTGATCCATGGATTTGTGTGAATAGATATGTTGCTGGAAATGGATTCCACATAATAGGTGCTCATACTGATAGTCCTTGCTTGAAGTTGAAGCCTGTTTCAAAGGTGAACTTTTTGATTCGTGGATTTTTCGGTTAGCATTTCTGAAATCTTGGGACTGAATTTTTGGTTTGGAAATGGTTCTTTAGATTATCAAAGGTGGATACTTGGAGGTTGGTGTTCAATTATATGGAGGTGGCTTATGGTACACGTGGTTTGATCGTGACTTGACAGTCGCGGGACGTGTTATCTTGAAAGAAGACAAGGCTGGTTCCGTCTCATATTCTCATCGGCTGGTGAGGATTGAAGATCCTATCATGAGGATTCCTACTTTGGCCATCCACTTGGACAGGTTTAGCCTTGAAATCACTGCTTTCTAGTTGTGAATAGCTCTTGAAACTTCTTATTCTGTTTGTGAATGAGCAGACTTTTTTTGTATGTTTTGTTGTGCCTTGTGTACAGGAATGTGAACAGTGAAGGTTTTAAGCCAAACACTCAGACACAGCTCGTTCCAATACTGGCAACAGCTATCAAGGTACAGGACATGGAAGCCATATTTTCATCTATTTATTATATTCATTCTGCTACTCATTTTCTTGTTTCAATTTGCTAAAGTCTTTGTTTGCATATCAACCATTTTCAGAGATCTTTGTGAACCTCTTAACTATACTATTGGTAGTTTTTATCTATGAAGTCAAAACCCTTGTTATAAAGTTTGCACCAGACGTAGAATTCTACTTCATTTGCATTTTCATTTACATTGTGTGATATTATATATTTGAAGGCGGAGCTCAATAAGGTGCCAGCAGAAGGTGGTGAGCATGATGGAGGTACTGAAACTAGCTCAAAATCAAAGCATCACCCACTTCTAATGGAGGTGCGTTTGAAACATAAACCTTATGATTCCACCTTGAATTTTAGATCTTGTTCTGGTTTAGTAATCTTTTTTTTTCTTAATTGCTTAGATCATTGCAAAGGCTCTGGGTTGTAAACCTGATGCGATATGCGATTTTGAGCTGCAAGCATGTGACACCCAGCCAAGCATTCTAGCTGGTGCAGCTAAAGAATTTATTTTCTCAGGAAGGCTTGATAATCTCTGCATGTCATTTTGCTCTCTACAGGTACCTCCTCCTTTACTTTTAAGAGGAGCATATGAGTCCATGTTTCTAGACTTCCTTATCTTAGTTGTGTCTTAGATGATTTCCACTTCCTGCATGTTCTTCAAAAACTTATGTTTACCAATTTCTATTTATTTGTCTACCTTATAGATGTTTCTGTACAAGTATGTTGTTAACTCGCATTAAGTGTAAGCTTTGTTGATCACATCCATTATGCTCGATTTATCTGTTTGCAAATGCATAATTCTTCTTTTCATCTCATGCCGAACTATATGATTACAAGAAATATTTGATCTTTTGTGCATAGGCACTTATAGATGCAACATCTTCTGCAAGTGACCTAGAGGAAGAAACCGGAATAAGAATGGTGGCACTATTCGATCACGAGGAAGTCGGTTCCAGTTCAGCGCAAGGAGCTGGATCACCTGTCATGATTGATGCTATGTCACACATCACAAGCTGCTTCAGCTCTGACTCTAAGGTAGTAGCGAGTAGAAAACATATTCAAGTAAATATAACCTTAAACTGGTATTGTGTTCTCTTCTTGTCACTCATTTATCTTTTAATCGTTAACAGGTTCTCAAGAAAGCGATTCAGAAAAGTCTGCTTGTATCCGCTGATATGGCTCATGCTTTACATCCAAACTTTATGGTAGTAATCATTTCCTTCTGCATATCTTTCTCCTTCTCTCATGCACATATGTAAAGCTAATGCATCTCTTTCATTTTGTAGGACAAACACGAAGAGAATCATCAGCCGAAGATGCACGGAGGCCTTGTCATCAAACACAATGCGAATCAACGCTACGCGACTAATGCTGTAACTTCTTTTGTATTCAGAGAGATAGCAGAGAAACATAATCTTCCTGTTCAGGTATGAGAGAGATACAGAAGTTGTTTCTTACTTGCTAGGTACTATAGATATCATCAAATGAGTATTGACATGAAGATCATTTGCAGGATTTTGTGGTACGTAATGATATGGGTTGCGGATCGACCATTGGTCCGATCTTAGCGAGCAGTGTAGGGATAAGGACGGTCGATGTTGGAGCGCCTCAGCTCTCAATGCATAGCATCCGCGAGATGTGTGCTGCGGATGATGTGAAGCATTCGTATGAACACTTCAAAGCTTTCTTCAGAGAGTTCACTCACCTTGACGCCAAACTCACTGTCGACGTTTGAGAGAGCTTCTTCTCAAGTCTGAACCTTTTAAAACTGAACAAATCTTTTATCCTTTGTGTTTGGAATTGGTGTTTTACAGTAGTAATAAAAAGGCGAAAAATTATAGCCATGTTATGACATTTTGTTCGTTTTTTATTCATCTGTCACAAACAATAACATTGCTGAAACACTGCACAAAAGATGCAGCAAATTGTTGCTCTCAAGATAAAAAGACATTCCGGTGAATCAAAAACCTCAAGAAAGAGTTATTAAGTAAGAAAACAAAAGAGACTCTTAAACTCAATGCTCATGTGCCAATTTCATTTGCAGTTTTCATGTAGACAAAACCTTCTTCACCTCTTTAGTAACCTCTTCCGGAGCCTTCTCTGCCGGAATGTTGGCCAGATTTCCCTTCTTAGCATAGTAGTCAATTACCTAAAAACAACAAGAACAAGAATCGATCCACATATCAAATCTCTGATACTCGCCAAAGGTTCAAATACTTTTTTCTTCAGAGGTAACATACCGGTTGAGTCTGCTTGTGGAATGCATCCAGCCTTGACCTAAGAACATCAGCATTGTCGTCTTTACGTTGAATCAACGGCTCTCCAGTCACCTACCAACCACAAGAAATGAAGTTAATACAGAGATTAGACAACAATGTAGAGAATGGTGTTTTTGATGAATGAGAGAATGAGATGTTTATTTTCTTTACATCATCGACTCCGGTAACTTTCGGAGGTGCGAATTTAGTATGGTAGCTTCTTCCACTTGAAGGGTGAATCCACCTTCCAGTGATTCTTTCTTCAAGAACCGAATCATCGATCGCAAAGTTGAGCACTTTGTCAATCTGAGCTCCTCTTCTTTTTAGCATCTCATCAAGCTACAAGATTTGTAAGGTCACAATACAAGAACACATAGGCGCAAAACCCCTCAAGAGTACTTAAAACAAATCAAGATTACCTTCTCGGCTTGTGTCACGGTCCTAGGGAACCCATCAAGAATGAAACCTTTTTGACATTTTGGTTTGTTCATTGCTTCGTCCATGATACCAACAACCAAGTCATCAGAAACAAGCTCTCCCTGTGAATATAACACTAACACTTAAACATGAATGCTTCATAGAAACTAATCAAGTGTGTTGTTTTTCTTTTTCTTTACCTTGTCCATTGCCTCCTTTGCTTTTACACCAAGAGGAGACTTAGCAGCTACAGCCGCTCTAAGCATGTCTCCGGTAGACAAATGGCACAAGCAAAACTCATCCTTTATGACCGGAGACTGCGTACCTTTGCCCGAACCGGGTGGTCCTGCAAATCCAATCATATCCTGAGCTCAATTGTTCGATTACAAACATGTAACAAAAATTCCATGTTCCTTTTCACCAATTCTGCAACCATGGTGGCCACTTTCAAGATAACTTCATTAGGTATGAGCATTAATTAGTGATAGTTGCAATGCAATTTTCACAAAAAAAAATCGTAAAGATACAGATAGTAAGACAAGTAAATCACATTCCTTTTAGACAAATTCTCCAACCATGGAGTCATAGTCACTAGACTCAACATATTTCTCAAGTTAAAACAAGAATTGAGCATGCAAATTCAACAATTTCATCATACCATATCATTAGATAAGTAAATTACAATTTTTTCACATACTCAAATCGGCCGTGAACAATTCTTGGTTGCCCCAACATGAGAGATCTAGACAGAAGAAACATAAAATCAAAAATCAATTGAATGAATTTTTACCGATGAAAACGAGACGTTTGTCAGGCTTAGAAGCACATTTCATGCGGCGAAGGAGCTCAGACATGAGATCGACGGTCTGAACGTCTTCCATATCTACAGAAGCCGAACTGTTTGTCGCCATGTTCGTCGTCTTCGAGGGTGTTGCAGAGTTTAGATTTTCTTCTCTTGCTGGTTTGGGTCGGTTTTGAAGTGCGTGTAGATTCGATGCTTCCAATGCCCTCCAAAGCTGCGTTTGTCTCACCTTCTTTTACACCACTTTTTACGATATTAACCTTTTTGTGCCAAGAAATTACAAGACATGTCCCTTGTCTTTTTATTTATTCCATTTTCACCTAACGTGAATAACCTGGGGTTGGTGACACACCAACTTTTTTTTTTTTTTTGGGCTCAACTTTCAAATTCATTTAGTCCAAACTTTTGATTACATCATTTTATCTGCCTCTACTAAAGCCTCAATCCATGATGGCATAAGAGAATACAATTTAGAGTCATAATTCAACAAGGAAAGGGACTCTTTTGCAATCCTATCTGCCTTTGAAAACTAATATGCCTCACTTTCTATGTCGAATCGAATTTTGGGTTATTTTTTAAAAAAAACTTAAAAAATGATTAATTTTAGAAAATTGTCCAATCTTTTAATACATGATAACAAATTAATTCCATATATTACATGTTATAGTTTATATTTTTTGATTATATAGTTCTTACTTTTTCTCTTATTTTAATTTCAGTTTTTTAGTATTTTACACGGTGCGCTTATTAGCTAATAAGATTTTTTAATGATTTTGTATGAAGTGGTAAGTGATTTATTTCTTTATACAAGAAATCATATTGATTTGGACTACTTATAAATTTCATTTCATTTTATGCAACTCTTCATAACGCCACAAGAGTCATCGAAAAGCAAGGTTAGGAATATAATCCACAAAAGTCACCTACTGTTGTTACAGTTGGGGGATATACAAGAGACCTACAAGTCCATGTTTGAGGCTTTTCATGCAATCATAGTTGTTGCAGCACTAATGATAAATGGAGAGCTGATTTTGGATTGTAATATAAGGTGAAGAGGTAAGAAAATATAACAATGAGTATATAAAAGTATCTGCAACAAGAACTATGGTGATGGTGTGAATTTTGGTGGAGGTCCAGATGCAAGGTGTGGCCTGAAACGTGATGATAATCAAGATCATCTGATGAACTAACTCCTCTAGTTTCAGATTTATATGCCACATATTCAATTCATCAGAATTTGTTTGTAGCATGTGATGAAAATGTAAGTTATCCTATTTTTCTTTCATATTTCGTTCTTTTTCGAAGAGCAAAATTAGTAAGAGAAAGATGGAAATTTATGATTTTGACATTATTTTTACTTCTTGTCGTGCTTATTACACCTTGGCTTTCTCATGCTAACCAAACTCTCTAGTTAATAAAAAAATGGTTCACAAAGTAACATTTTATACAATACTAGCTAGGTGATTATCCCGCGCTTTACATGGAGATAAATTAGTTTTTAAGTCAAGAATCATTTAGAAAAATCCCTGATGGCCTTCTCTTGATTGTGCTCTCCCTTGAAGCTCACCTTTTAACTCGTTTTTTACTTCTTCAAGAAACTCTTAAATACTACTTTCTCTACTTCCTTCCATGGTCATCCTCAACAAAGTAATTAACGAATTTTTTAATCAAGCTGAGTTTGTAGGCTGTGTTACCTATGATCTGTTACAGGGCTCATTCAATTTTTATCAATTTACTTTTGTATTTTAAAGCCTAATTATTTGATATATTTGGCCTTTTAAAAATTTGGATTGGCAAAACGAATTAACTAAGCTTTTTCATTAAAGATAATTAAGTCATTTCATAGTTGTTAAAGATAATATGTTGTTCTACCTAAATCAGACCGAGAGTCTTTTTCCTATCAAGATCTGGTTTCAGAGGCACGATCATCACGAAGGTTTGGATTCCTATCTTTTTTGGTGTTAATCACAAGGATGAATCATCGTGATAATAATCGCAATCATCACAAAGGTTATTTTTTCCCCACAAAATTATATGAGGTGGTGGATGATCCTTAAACTAATTCAATATATTTCACGGAGCCAAAGCGGGAAGAGTCTCATCGTTTGGAATGAATCTGAGTTTGCAAGAGATGTTCTTCCGAAATGCTTACGAATCAAGGACATGCCATGTTTCACATTCCAGCTTGAATACTTTGGATTCAAGAAAGTTGAATCATCTGAGCAATGGGATTACGCAAGCGATTGTTTAGTGAGAGGTAAACCTGAGCTTTTGACACTAGAATCTATTATGGCTAAGAGGTGGCAAGAAGTAGATAGTGTGTTGGAGAGATATAAGAAGAGGCTGTTTGATATAAAGAATAGGATTTGGCCTGATCGGACCTTTTGCTCAGTTAACATATTCTAACAGGAATGAATTAACACCACATGCTAAAACGTCATAGTGCCTTGTAAATATTCGGTGTGCTAACTAAAATACATTGTTTAGGCTAATGTTTCCCTTTTGTGGGATTTGTCTTCGGGGATTTCTCTTTTTCTGCCGGCCTTGTACTCTGTTATGTGTTCTTCCTTTGTTTTGTAAGGTTAATAAAATTTTAGATGATAAAAAAAAAACTTAAATACAAAAAAAATAAAAAGTCAAAATTCAAAACATTAGCTAATAATATTGTATGCCAGCAGTGCCAGGCCCAGCCCAATAAGATCCTTTATAAATAGAGACGCAGAGAGAGTGAGTACGATCCTAAATTCACACAAGTCTCTCTCATCCACAGTCTTGGGACGAAAGCTTTTGTAATTGTGATCGTAATCATCGGCAGTTACGAAACCATGTGCGACCAAAGCGTGTGGAGTGACCAGCAATTTCCGCTGACTTTTTACAAGGGTAAGTAAGATCTCTACATGTCTCTATAAGCCCTTGTTTGTGCATGATCTAATAATGTATTGGTAATTGTTGTAGAAGAAGGTGAGACTAAGACATGTGTGTTTTGGGATTTGGGGGACTACCCGATCTCAAAAGGTGTCGATCTTACTTTGATTTGTCAGAGTATCAAAGAGGCTATCAAGAAGCAAGGTTGTGCTGGGGAGGTGACAATTCATGCTTATGGTGAGAGTCAGGGCCGGCCCTGACCTAAAGCAGGTGAAGCATAATGCTTTAGGCGCCAAACGTTTATTAATATTTTGTGGCGCCAATTTTCTGAATGTTACTAGTAGTTCAGTGGTTTTACCCCTTCCCAAACTTGTCTCAGGTAACGGGTTCGAACCTACAGAAGGGGAACTTCTTTTTTTTTATTTTTTAAATGGGCGCCAGAATTTTTTTTTGCTTTAGGCGGAGTTTCTTATTGGGCCGGCCCTGGTGAGAGTGACAAGAATACAATTTCTGATGGTAAATATTCGGATGCTGGATTCGAAGTTGAAGTTTTTCCCCAAGGTTAATTCCTTTTTTTACACTCTTTAAAACTCTTTTTCTCTTATCTTACTAATGTTGATTATATTTACTTATTTTCTCCACTTTCCTCTTTTGCAGGGGATAAACATGCGAGAAATGCTTCCATGCTTGTTGACATGACGTTTTGGCCTTTGGGGCAGTCGAGAATCGCACTACACCATCAAATGTGATTCTACTTGCAAAAATAACGGACAAAATCTTGGCTCAACGTTTTAGGGGTTTGTGTATGATGGTCAAGTATAGACTAAAAAAATAAATGAGCCGTTGGACCGTGGCTAGTCTCTGAACTTAACAGGAAAGTAGAAAATCAAGCCATTGACCTTTTCATTAATAAACTTGAATTGAATAACTTATGGCTCCGAATGGAGAAAGCGGATCAAGCGTTGCGGATCAAACGGATCGAGCGTAACAAAAGCGGAACTAGTAGAATGAGCGGATCAAGCGGATCAAGCGGATCTAGCATATCTAACAATTCAAAAATATGTTTGAATGGGAAAAGCGGATATAAAGCGGTTCAAAACACTGTACATATTTATTATGATTATATAAGATAATTTTTTATTATTTTATTTTGTATAACTAAAATAATAAAATTAGATTATTTTATAATTTCATTTTCAAAATCATCATTTGAAATAAATATGCATATAAATTAACTTCAAGTCAGATATAAATGATATCAAATATTAATATAATACTTATTAGGATTTGTCATTATTTTTAATAAAGGGAAATACATGTACAAAAAAAGAAACACAAGTTTGATGTGTTCCACTGCAAATGTGAGGTGTGAGTACTGTTACTTGCGGATCAAATGTTTGTTAAATTTGATCCACTTGTGGATCAAATGTTTGTTAAATTTGATCCACTTGTGGTTCACACTCTTTTCAATAAAATTATAACTTAAATTTGCAATTGTTGTAAATGGGAACAACATTGTGGTTCTCCCTCTTTACGTTGTATCCACCACCTTTTATCCACTCTCCATTCATTGTTTATATAACTTAAATCCTTAACCGTTTCATTCTTTCAGCACAATGGACATTTTTTTATCTTACTTGACTAAATGGGATTTACTTATACATTAACTAGGTTAGGTCCCGCGTATATGCGGGTTTATCATACAATTTTTGAAATAAATCATAGAAAATATTAAATAAATTTGACACTTTAAAAGTAAGTAGATTAATATTAAAACCCGATAAAAGACCTCTAAATAATATTAGATTGGTAATCTTTTTACATTTTTATTATAATTGACATATTTTCTGAATTCATGATACGAAAAATGAATTAATTTGTTATCTTTTTACTTTTATCTAAAATTGAAAGACTTACACATGTGTAAGTTTGATTGATTGATTAATTCGTGAAAATTTTATTATTCTTGAAGAGATTTCGGTTGATGAAATCTTTTTTTTTAATATTTTTTACCTAACAAAAAAATTAAACTATTAAAATTAGAATATCAGTTCATTATAATTTTTCCTGTTAATATTAGTTAGTTGCTCGATAATCTATTTATATTGTTTTTTCAGCTTTGTTTTTGACTCAGGCCATTATAAAATTTCCTTTCCATTATTAGTTAGTTGTTTTCTAATTATTTTGTTAGTTTTTTTTTATACATTTTTCCAATTTTCTTGTGTTAACACTTGTTTTCAAAATATTAGACACAAGTAGCAACAATAATTTATTTTCGTTTTTTTTTTCTTTTTTCTTAATGAGAGTTATTTTTCCTCCTTTTCTTAATAAGGTATATATCAATATAATATGTTACCAACCTTTTCATCAAGTAATAGAAGTTTTTTTATAAGCAGACTGCAAATTAAAATTACAAATTTTGATGATGTTTCCTTCGGCCATCTGATCTCAAAATTTTTGAAGTAGTGAATGATGCACAAAAACTTGAATTGTGTTTTTCTGTTTCAAACAAAGTAAAACTTTAATGTTAATCAATGTTATAAGACGTCAAAAAAAAATCAATGTTATAATAAGATTATCTATATCAATATAATAAGATGTTACTAACCTTTTCATCAAGTAATAGAAGCTCAACTCCCATAAAAATAGTACATCGATAATTTCGATTTTGATCCAATTGACCTAGAGTCAAATAATTTTCTTTGTTCTCTTGAACTTTCAAAGACATGATTTTAAAATTAGAGAAAAGGAATCAAAGAGATTTTCTGAATTTCCTTTGATGAGTTTGTGAATGAGAAAAAGAGAATACAATAGCTCTCTTTTTATAGGGGGTTCATGTAACCAATTTCATACCGTATTATGATATTTAGTTTACATACCTATTCCATGTACTAATAGGATTTTTAAAAATAGGGGTTTATGTAACCTAATTCATATAGTTTTAGAATATTTAGTTTACATACCTATTTCATGTACTAATAGGTATTTTTATTACATTATTTTTAATTTATTATATAAATTTTCGTTTTTATTATAAAAGATTAAAATTTTCCCTTTATTTTTTTCCCTTTTTCCCAAGACATACATTTTTTCAATTTATTATATAATTTTTCGTTTTTATTATAAAAGATTAAAGTTTTCCCTTTATTTTTTTTTCCTTTTTCCTAAGACATGTGTCACGATCTTAACGGACGTAACATTAAAAGTGACACATGTCGCAATCCTATATTTTATAAAAATCTTACGTGTCGCAACCACGTTGTGCGCATCCAACTTTATATAATAAGATAATTGATTTTTTTTCCAAAGCAAACTTGTGAGATCATCATCATATCTTTAATATATTAAAAAAGAAAACACTAATTAAAAGTTAACAAAAAAAAACACTCACTAAATAACCTTTGTCCAATGTGTTCTATATATATCAACTTTGGTTAGAACGCAATACCGAGTTTTTTTCATGCCAATAAATCACAATCTCACAAAATTTAATTTATATTTATTTTTCAGAAATCTATAATTTTATAGAGAATATGTAACAAAAGAAAAAAACAAAAAAAACAAAGAGATGAAAGAAAAAACTATAAATAGTAGTCCAAAAATCCAAATGTAGTGAGTGATGTCATAAAATGATTAATCTTAACGAGAAGGTGGATCCGCGGATCTAGTTTCCGTCAAAACTCACCAGAGTACACCCGCCACGTCAGCTTAACCAGGAATTTTTGTTTTGTCGTACGTACCAAAATAAAAAACGAACCACCACCTTCTTGCTCACTCCGCACCAGTCAAAGTCAAACCATCGTTTCTCTTTCCCAAACAAACCAATCTCAGATTCTCCGGTGGCGGAGCGATATCGTCACAGTCGTTAGATTACAACCGTCACAGGATCATGCCAGGTTACCGCCGATTTCTTCTTCTGTTTCCGATTCCAATCTGGTCCGATTTATCCCATTTAACTAATGAGTTTTTTTCCGGCGGGTGATAATAGGACCGAGTGGTGGTGGTTCAGGTTCTCGGAGCTTGTGGCTAGCAGCGAATCCGAGCAAGAGATGGGGCGAGCTTTTCTTCCTCTTCTACACTCCTTTCTGGCTCACTCTCTCCTTGGGAATCGTCATTCCTTACAAACTTTACGAGGTCGGATCTATGAAGTATAGCTTCTTTCACTTATCAGCTTAAGACTCATATCGATAATAATGTCTTCTTGATGATTCTGCTTCTTCTTAGTGTTAAGAGCTTAAAGAAAATGATGAGAAAGTATCTCTCTGTAAACAGATTTGTTTCAGTGATTTAAGAGATCCGAAAATTTGCTTCTTTGGGGCGAGCTTTTCTTCCTCTTCTACACTCCTTTCTGGCTCACTCTCTCCTTGGGAATCGTCATTCCTTACAAACTTTACGAGGTCGGATCTATGAAGTATAGCTTCTTTCACTTATCAGCTTAAGACTCATATCGATAATAATGTCTTCTTGATGATTCTGCTTCTTCTTAGTGTTAAGAGCTTAAAGAAAATGATGAGAAAGTATCTCTCTGTAAACAGATTTGTTTCAGTGATTTAAGAGATCCGAAAATTTGCTTCTTTGTCAAATTTCTCTTTTTCAAGTGTTTGATTTACTTTGCAGACATTTACGGAGCTGGAGTATCTTCTTCTATCCTTGGTTTCTGCTGTTCCTGCGTTCTTGATTCCGATGTTTCTCGTTGGAAAGGTTCTACTACTTATCACTGCTACAATCTCTGCTTTCACTCTGATCTAACATGTTGGTGTGCTTTTACCTGTTTTGATTGTGACTATAATCATCTACTAGCAGTTTGATTAAAAGCATACCTCTATTGTCTTCAATAACACTCAAAGTCTGCATTTTTTTTTAGGCTGACACAAGTTTAAGCTGGAAGGACCGCTATTGGGTTAAGGCAAGCTATTTTTCTCTTTTTTCTTCCCAGTTTTAGTTTCAAACTGTATGCTTTTTTGGATCATGCTGAGAAATTCTCTCTGAAAGCTCTTTGGATTTAGTTTAGTTCGATTTTAGAGTTCTGAATCTCATCCATAGGAACTAATTTTCTTCCACAGGCAAATCTCTGGATAATCATTTTCAGCTATGTGGGGAACTACTTTTGGACTCACTATTTCTTTAGAGTTCTTGGAGCGTCGTATACTTTCCCATCATGGAAAATGAATAACGTAAGCAAAACAGAGTTACTTTACTGTGTTTTTCTTGTTTGCATTGAGCAATGGAACTCATCATGGCATGTTTTGTGTGTGTGTTGTTGTTGAACAGGTGCCACACACAACATTCTTCATGACACATGCTTGCTTCCTCTTTTACCACGTCGCATCCAACATCACTCTTCGAAGGCTTCGACACTCCATTGCTGATTTACCGGATTCTCTGAGATGGTGTTTTGAAGCTGCGTGGATACTGGCGCTTTCTTATTTCATTGCATACTTGGAGACTGTTGCTATTGCAAACGTACGTTTTTTCGGTAATTGGTCGTTTAGTCTGCTTAATGACTATGCTTATCTACTTATATCATTCATGTAATCTTGTTTTTGTTTTGAACATGTGCAGTTTCCTTATTATGAGTTTGTGGACCGAAATGCCATGTATAGAGTTGGATGTTTGTTCTATGCCATTTACTTCATTGTGAGCTTCCCAATGTTCTTCAGGTAATGGAAACTCCTCAAACTCTGTAGTTTTCTGTATTTTGAGTCTCTTGATCCTCATTTGGAAAACACTTTAACTCCTTTTGCAGGATGGAAGAGAAATCAAGTGAGAAATGGGATCTATCACGTGTGGCTGTTGATGCTTTAGGTGCTGCTATGTTGGTAACAATCATTCTTGATCTATGGCGTCTCTTCTTGGGACCTATAGTTCCCTTACCGGAGGGACAAAACTGCGATCAGTCTGGATTGCCATGGTTAACCAGTTGAATGTTGAAAGACTCTGCTTCGACCAATTCAGGGAATTGACATTTGGACTGGATTTCAAGAGAAACCGGCACAAGAGTTTCCGTGAGAACTCTGCGGAATTGGGAAGCAATGGATGGCATGTTTTGTGAGGTTCCAAAGATGACTCTGCTGCTGATTTTGTTAAAATGTGTTTCAGTTTTCTCCTTGATAGACGTACTTCACAAATGAAACCTTCACAAATCTTCTTCTTCAGCTGCAAGTAGCTAAGTGCTTTTTCAACTTCATTAGAATACAATTCATTTGAACTGTATTTGGATTTTTCAACTTCTATTCCTATTTCAAAAAAAAGAGTGGTAGAAATCGTATTTACTAGATTCTTCTTTAAACAAAAAAGTTCAATGTAGTAAAAGTAAAATAATCTCAGTAACGATGTTAAAGCCAAGTATTGTTGAACATTTCAACATTTCAATGTTCGTCAACGTTGGACCCGGATTCCACACCTGGAATCAGCCCGTAAGGGCCCATTACCTTGATCCAAGATTGAAGTCCAGGCCCACTAAGCTCAAAGAAGACCTCGAGCCCACCAAGCAACTCCATCGTAGCCAGCTAACTGCCATCCGAGCTATTCCGGTCGACGTAAAGACGAGCTCCAGCTCGATCAAGGACCAGGTCGGCACAACAAAGAAAGACGAAGTCAAAGAAGATCTCCTTCAAATCCGGTCTGGTCCGAGATCACCGGGATCGTTAGCTGCACGTGGCGAGATACGCGGAGGTGGATCGTAGCTGCTTCTGGAGCTATAAAAGGAGCTGAGCAGTCGGATCAGGGGACATCCTTCTGATCATTTAGACCTAATTACTATCATTTTCCTTGTATTTTCCTTTGACTTAGTTCTTTCTCTCTTCTGAGAATTCATTGTAACCATTTTCATTCGTTTAATATAAATCCGTTTAGCCAAATCCTTGCTTACGATTCATTCGACTTACATCAAAATCTAGCCCTAAATCTCCCTAAGTTTCTTCCTTACAAAACCTATAAATTTCGAGTGTGGTTTTCAGCACCCACAGTCAACGTTTATAGTATAAGAGATAATAGTCTCATTCATCCTATTAGCTTAAAAACTTACAATATGTAAAAACACAAATATGTTGATACTAAATTCATGTATAACCCCATTGTTATACAGAATTAGTACATTCAAAAATACACAAGGCTAAAAAAAAATACTCAGTGTTGCGTTCTAACCAATGTTGGATATGTAATGTTATCTTGTTAGATATGTAATCTACATAACTAAAAGTTGGTGAGTATTCTCCAGCTGATGACACATCAGTGTCCCCAGAAAGTGCCACGTAAGCCTGTTTTTATTACATCACCCGGCCTAATAGCTACACGACGTCGTTTTTGATCCCTTCCAATGCTTCCAAACGATGTCGTTTTGCTGAAATATGTTTCTCTCCTATTAGTGCAACAAAACAACGTCGCTTTTAGTTTAATATAATTTTTTTACAACGTAACCCCCAAAAATTCTATTTCCGCAGACTTGACGCACCGCCGGTCTCTCTCCTCACGAAGACGGTTGCGTCTCCTCGCCGGGGCTCGCCAGGGTTCACGGTTCATGGTTATCCCTCTCCTCCGCTACCCTCCTCTGTCAATTTTGAAGAATTACTCGTAGCTCCCACTGCGGAGACTATCACGGCTCTCCTCCTGCGTTTATGGTTCTCGGTCTCGGTCTATTGCCAGTTCCGTTTATTTCGCCGGATCTTGGTCTCCGATGATATGTCGCCCTCATCAGAATCGTTAGCACCGTGATTTGTCTTACTCAGAGATCAAGGTAAATAAATTGACCCAAATTTTTTTGTCTTTGGTAAAATCGTTTGGGCTTCTTATGATTGGTTTTTTCTTCTAAACTCTTCGTTCTCTTTCAGGTTGTATTTTTTTTTTTAAGATAGCACCATAGATTTGTCTGCGAGGACTTGGAATCCTCTCGGTGAAAGATGTATGAATCACATAACTTTTTGTGTGTTTTCTCGCCAAAGTTATGTAATTTTTTCTTTGGTTAGGAGCTAAAGATTTCAATTTTTTATTCTTTTTGTAGGTTCCAGGGTACTCTGCTTTACGTTAGAATCTATTTTGTAGGTAAATGTTTTTTTCTTGTATAGCTAATTGATTTCAGTTGAAAGATTATATTTTTTCAATTTTGTCTCAAAGATTGTTTCTTTTTGCAATAGGTTAGCTTCGCTTCCTTGAGAGGTGAAGAGAAAGAGCTTGAAGATGCTCATGGTAGGTGAATAATACGATCTTTCAAGTTTTTTTGTTTGAATTTGTTACATATTGTTTCCTTTTTTTTTTTCTCCTTTTTATCTCTTTTTATTTAATTTCTTCTCAAGGTACAATTTTGGTTGGAGTCATGGGAAACCTTGAATCCGGGATGCTTAACTCCTCTGAAATTAGGAAGATGCTTAAACCCGCAAGTTGTGATTTGGTAGCCAAACAGGTAATGCTCCCAAACTCTAGAATGTTGGTTATTTCTGCTATGGTGTTGTTCTTGTTATGATAATTAAAATGACAGAACAGTTAGTTTCGAGTTTAAGATTTGATGTTTTCGTTTGGTTATGTCTAATTGTTTGTGTAGGTTGCTCCGTACAAGAAGGTACGACGAGTTGCTTTCATAAGCGCAATTCCAAAAAACCCTGCTGGCAAGATTCTGCGTCAAAATCGCCGTGGATGGCAATGCGTCTAAGCTTTGAGACAACCGGCCTGTTCAGATATGATTGTATAGGTAGGTTCTCAGTGAAAATGGGCCCGATCTACTTGTTCAGACGAATTTCTCCATCGATTTCTTTTATCGTTCACTTCAATACCTTCGCGTATGTTTAACATTTTTTCCTAAGCTTGAGTTTCTTACCATGTACTAGAGAACTATTACTATCAACATTTCCTAATAAATACTCCGGAAATGGAGTAGTTAGTATACATCAATCCGCGCATTGCGCGGGTTCACACCTAGTGTCAATGATAAGTCATCAACTCATTAATGTCAATGATAAGTCAGCAACTCCCGTACAATCCCATCCTGTTTTGTCTTGTTCCATTCCGTTCATTCTGTTTCTTTCTGTCTCGTCCCTAAATATAGTTAGGAATAGGCGAAATTCACGTCTTGTCCTGTCCCATTATGTTTCTTTTCATCCTGTCTTTTCGGTCTCGTCCAATCTCATCCTATCTCATTCTGTTTCTTCTTGTCTTGTTTTGTCCCATCTCGATCTTTCTGTTTCTTTCCGTCCCATCTCTAAGTATAATAAGAGGTAGACAAAATTTACCTCATACTCCGTTCTGTTTCTTCTCATCCCGTTCATTCTGGTCTTGTCTCATTTCATCCAAAATCTATATTTGTTTGAAGGTAAAGTACATAATCTGACAAAACTAAAATTACTAAATAATAGTTTTTATAGATCTATAAATAAGATTTTTTTTAAACTAAATATAATTAGGGTTATGTAAAATTTCCGAATCGTCATTTCTCATTCCTCCCGTTTTGTTCTTTTTTACCATGTTCGTTCTTTCCCGTCCCGTCTGTCATGTCTGTCCGGTCATGTGCAATCCCGTCCAGCCATCCTATCTTATTCTGTTCTTTCCTGTTTTGTCCTGTCCCATCCCGTTCCTTTCGTTTCTTTCCGTCCCATCCCTAACTATAATTAGAGATATGCGGAATTCATGTCTTGTCCCGTCCCATTATTTTCCTTTTCATCCCGTCTAGTCTCATCCTATCTCATTCCATTTCTTCGTGTCTTGTCCTGTCCCATCTCGGTCCTTCCGTTTCTTCCCGTCCCATCCCTATATATAATAAGAGATAGGCAACATTTAACCTCATGTCCCGTTCTATTTCTTCTCATCACGTTCATTATGGTCTCTCATTTTATCCAAAAAATTATATTTGTTTGACGGTAAAATATATAATATGACAAATAAAATTTGGAAACTTCTTAATTTTGAAGATGGATATGTGGACCAATAAAATCGCATCTTAAAATCTTATATGGACGACATCAATGGCTTATAGCCTCAACTTTTATATAGTATAGATTCTTGTAACGATAAGTCCTAGAAATTTTTGTGTGTATCCTCGATTTCTTGGTTTGCATATAACAACAAAATGTATATGACATTTTGGCGTGGGACATATTTGTTGAGTAAATCTTGACCAAGTAAAGTCTCCAATAAAGTTCTAGATTCAAGTGCTGCTGTCGGAAAAATCTAAAACGTGAAATCAAAGTTGAAATGGAATTTGATCCCAATATGATTTTTTTTTTTTTTTCAAGAGCTTATGTTCCTAGAATGGATAAGAGATCCAAACCGGCAAATTTTTTTTATATAGTACACATCATGAAGGAGATCTTGTGCACTGCGTGCTACCTTGTCTGCCTTCGTGCTCTTCGTCATGGGGATGTGATGGATGTCGTAGGTGATAAACCTTCGTCTACATCTGTCTACTTCTTCAAGGAGAATCGAAAAAGCTGGCCACTCCGCAAGATTAGAAACCATCTTAACCACATCCGAGCAGTCTGTCTCGAAAACCATTACGTGTTTATTATACTGAAACAGGCATTGCATAGCCCAAACCAGTGCCTCCACTTCCATTTGGAGTGGTGTAAGCCCTCGACGCAAATTGCTCGATCCAATAAATTGTTCTCCAGTTTCTCGGTTGTTGTAAAACCATCCGAGTCCAGCACAGCGTTCTGTTGCTTTCCACGTCCCATCGATCTGACAATATTCACCATATATACGTGGTTCGGACATAGAATTCCCTGGTACGCCTGGTATGCCACCTTGATCTTGCGCTGTTGATCATGCAGTTGCTTCTGCTTCTGCAAGAACTATAATATCCCGAGAATCCTTGTCCAAATTTTAGAAAAGCTTATCATTTCGTGCTTTCCAAATATACCAAATGAGCCATGGGTAAACCGACATATGTTCATCCTTTGGCAGATGCCAAAACAAGTGTGCCAAGTTGGTGAAAACGGCTTCCGTGGGAAAAGTATAGTTTCCTCATGTGTTCCACACCGAGTACATATCCCAGTACGATTACAAATATATATATATATATATATATATATATATATATATAAAGTTGATGTTATTCTATTCTCATACTGACACGTCAGCGAAGAGAAACTCTAAAAACACGACACTTCAGCGCTCTCTACTCTCCATTTATTTGACTTATTTCATTTGTTTTTGTTATACTTTAATTGTCATAGTATTATATATATTAGTTTTAATAAGAATTTGAAAAGGTTGACAAAAAAAAAATTAAAAATTGAAGAGTTTTTATAAAACAAGAATCATATGTATTGATCTACATAAACTAAAATTTAACGATTTTAGTTTTGTCGAAATTAATTATATAATTTTATAATAGAAAATGAAATGAGATAGGATGGGACCTAAAGAAACATGATGGAAAAGAACGAGATAGGACGGGATAGGAAGAATGAGACAGGATGGAGAGGGACAAGAAATAATAGACGGAATGGGAAGAGACGAGACGGAAGGGGAAGGAACGAGAAGGAAGGGAAAATATCAAAATGGAACGGGACGAAATGGGATGAAACCGAATATGATGGGAAAGAACATGATGAAACAAAATGATATGAAAAGGAATGAGATAGGACGGGAAGGAATGAGACAAGACGGGACATGACAAGAAGGAAAGGGACGAGACGGACAAAACCAAATAGGAAGGAATGGAACCAGATTTATTTCCACAATTTTTATTTAATTACTATGTGTAAAATATTTTTGAAATACAAAATTAAATTACAAAACTTGATATTTTTCAAACACGTAATACCGATATAAAATTCCGCGGGAAACTCAGATCGTCCCTAGTTGTATATATATATATATATATATATACATGATTAGCATTGAACACTAAATCGAAATTTTGAAACAGATTATTTTCACCAAAACCCAAAAACTGAATTTTCAAGTTAATTTTTCCAGTACAGGTCACTCTCAAGTACATAAAGTGGATTTTGCACACTATTCCTCCTCCTCAGAAACCCTTAACATCCGCCGAACAAATCTACCCTTCTTTTTCGCTTCCCAGTTTCTTCTATCTCCAGTCTTTCTCTCTACCGCCGCCGCCTTCGACCGTGGTTAATTTCGTTGCAACAATCCATCGGAGGAATTAGATATTCCTCTACCCAAGATCTAGCGTTCTGAGCGATTGGTCGGTCTGCGTTCTTCTTACTCGGGAAAGGCAGAAATCAGAGATCTTTGCACTTGAATCGTTCTCTGCCAAAACACAATGAAACGATGGTATGTTTCTCTGCTTATGTGTACATTTGATTTCCCTCTCTATCCCTTTTATGAACCTTTCTACGGTTTTCACTTTTTTTTTTGGTTTTCTCTTAGTCTGAGAAATGGAGGTCTTGTGAGTACTGAGGACAGGATCAGTCACTTGCCTGAAGCTCTGCTTCTGCAAATATTGTCTTTACTTGCAACTAAAGATGTCGTAGCCACTAGTGTTCTGTCTAAGCAATGGAGATCTGTTTGGAAGATGGTGCCGAAACTCAAGTTTGATTATGCAAGCAATCGGAGCAAGCACGAGACATTTTCAGGGATTGTGTGTAGGATTTTGCTTTCCCACAAAGCTCCGGTTTTACAGAGTTTGCATATCAAATTTAATGTAGACGATGTTGATGCTGCGGAGATCGGAATGTGGATTGGAATCGCATACGCACACCAACTGCGCGAGCTGCTATTCGATGTTGACTCTGTCAAAGAGTCGTCCTTCAAATTCCCTCCAAGCTTGTATAACTGCGAAACACTAGAGAGTTTGACACTCAAGACTTGGGTCATTGTACATGTCCCTTCTCAGGCGCGTCTCAAGTCCCTTAAAGCGCTGGATCTTTCCGTCGACTTCGATGACGATGAATCGGTTGTTAACCTTTTATCTGGCTGCCCTAAGCTTGAAAATTTAGTACTGTATCGAGGAACTCAACTGAATGTGGAGACTTTCACTGTCGCAGTTCCGTCTTTACAGAGACTAACTATTTATGATTACAACGAGGGACAAGAGGTTGGGGGATATGTGATAAAGGCTCCTCGTTTGAAATACTTGGAGATTGATGGATTTGACTCTTATGACTTCTGTCTGATTGATAATGCACCGGAGCTGGTGGAGGCCAACATTATATATGTCTCTGGGACAGTGAAGGAGAACATTCTGGGAGCTCTCACTTCAGCCAAACGGCTTATCTTGGATTTGTCACCCTTGGAGGTAAAAAGGTTCTCTAGTAGTGACTAGTGACATTTTTTGTTTTGTTTATGTACTGATATTTTACCTCATGTATCTATAAATGCAGATTACATTTCCTACTGGTAGTATCTTCTATCGGTTGGTACATCTGAAGCTAAATGCACATAAAGCCGAGTGGTGGAATCTACTTGTGCTCCTGCTCAATGCTTCTCCTAAATTACAAGTCCTCGAGCTCATCAGTGTAAGCATTGCAAGTTCATCTTTCTGTAGTTTTTGCATCTCGGTTTTAAAATTATATGTACATTTTGTTGCTTCCTCGTTGGTCTTCCAGCGATATAGGCCAGAGATTGTAAAAGATGGTGTGAAATGGAGTCAACCGAAGAATGTTCCCGAATGTTTGTTGCTTCATCTCCAGACATTTGTATGGGGAGGCTATAAACGACTACCAGAAGAGGGGAAAGAGGTGGCGAACTACATCCTAAGAAATGCAAATCATTTGAAGAAAGCGATTTTCTATACAAATCCCGTTCTAGGAATTATTGGTAGCCCCTTCGATCAAGATGTGGTGAAGGAATTGGAAAGTGTGGTTAGAGCTTCGAATTCGTGCCAGCTTGTGTTCAAATGAAACTTAGAAGATGAGTCTTTGTGGGACATGATCGGTTTTGAAAGACCATTCAAGGTTTGGTGACGTGGTTTAGTTTGACGTTGGAACATTATATTTATGTTTGATATGTTGCAGTCCACAGAGGACTACTTTTTTTTTTTAACTTATAGCAGCAAATCGCCTCTTTCCACAAAGAGGTCAAAATTCGTTCATTCAAGAGTCAAAAGAAGAAGAAACCCATATAATTTATCTGATAACCGTAACTATAAACATTAAACCGAAGAATGTTCGCTTTTCTTCCGGTTTGTATTGGTTTACTTATAAAAGACGCCAGAGGCTGAATACGCACCAATCCCTCGTCGTTTTTAAGAAACGACAGAGTATTAATTGTGTTCTACGCAACGATCCGCTTCCGCCTCTTTAACAAAACCCTGATTTTGTTGGCTGCGATAGAGAGAATTGAAACAGCGTTTGTAAATGAGATAGCACTTGGGAAGGCACAGATCGGAAGGATTTACCAGAACATCCGTTTTCACTTGGATACTTGACCAATATATGTCTCTATCAAAAACGATGGAACAAGGTAATGTTTCTTCTATCTCAATATGTCCATGTGATTTCTTAAACTGTAAGCTCCAAAACATCTGAATGTTCTTTTCTTGCTTGAATATTTTTGGGGATTTTCTTTCACAGTTGTCAAAGTTTGAGAAATGAATAAAGCCCACGAGTTTCTAAATCACTCTAGTACCATTGATTATCCTCATTCCTTACTAAGTTAATACGTAATTTAGAAAAACTAAAAAACAAGTAATTAAATTAAACACAAGTGGTATAATTAGCATTAACAATATCATCTCTTAAAAATATAAGAGTTTCTCATGACCAAAACTTAAAATTAAAAAATAATAATATATCTTATTATAAGACTCATAAAATCCATATTTAAGTAAAAAAAACAGTATGAATAAAACGTCTAAATAAATAGTAGAAAAACTCTTTGATAGTTGAGAAGACCACTAATATTGGACTATCTTGTGGAGCAAGAATCTTTTATAGCTTTGATCCCACATGAATCCAATTTCATCGCCTCTTTGGTAACAATTGTCTCTAGCAGGGCCGGCCCTGACCTAAAGCACATAAAGCATTGTGCTTTAGGCGCCAAGAGAATATAGATATTTAGGGGTGCTACAATTGGAAAAGTTAGCTGTAGCATAGTGGTTATATCCTCGTTACTATTCCTGCTCACTAGTTCGAGTCACCTCCAATGCAAATGCTTATGTGTCATCACTAGGTTCACTCTTAGAGCAATTTCTAATTAAGACAAGCTTTACTAGACAAATTACAATATATGCCATTGCATATTATGCTTACAACCAAATAATGAAATTAAATTTATCATTCTCTTTCCTTAATTGGCAACTACGAAAATTAGTAAATAAGGAAGATATGAGATTCAATTTAATTCATCATAATAATTTCTTTTAAAATCAGTATACATCTTCTATCATCTTTGTTTAAATTTATTTAATAAAATAATTTGAATCACAATATAAAAAATCTATCAAAAAAAATCTAAAACTTTTTCTGTACATGTTATGATTTGAATTTTTAAAAACAAAATAATATAAATTGTTTCGTATATAACCTCATTTAGTAGGTATCCAAATGTAATTTTTTTTCATTTAATATGGTTTTTTAATTAAAATCTATAATAAATCGAATAAAAAAGTTCTTTTTATAAATATTTTATTTTGATTAAACTTTTGAATATTACTCTATCTGTTTCAACTTTCTATACAAAATTAATTATATTTTTGCTGTTTTGACAATTTGGATTCTGCATATTATTTTCTGATTGGTTGGATTGTTTTGAAATTATAATAAAGCATGTTTTAGTTTTGAAAGAAAGAAAAAAATTAGTTCTAATCCGTGTCCACACAGCTAAAACTTTTTATCTTATGAAATACATGATGTATAATTTTTCTAAAGAATAATGTTTTATTTTCAATTTTTTTCTTTAAACTATCTTATTATATTATAGTTATTTGAGTTTTATGTATCTCGGTTAAATCTATCATATTTAATCTGTGGTTACGATCAATGCTTTAATTTATTTCTTTTTTTAAATGGATTAAAATGCCTAATTTTCATACTATAAACGAATAACAAAGGTTAAAAATCTCTCGCATAAAATGTCGAAATATTTAAATAATTTTTAATAAAAATACAAATTCAGAAACTATCACCCCGTGCTGGGCACGGGTCAAACCCTAGTAATTTTTTAAATGGGCAAAAAATATATATTTTGCCCAAAAGGGATTGGGCCTGCACTGGTCTCTAGCAAAAGCGCTCCATCCTCCCTTCAAAAAGTATCTGTGCCGTCATTGACTCTAACTAGCCTTCATGTGTAGTCATCAGCTTAATTACCTTCCTCTATAACATGGACCTTCACTTCAACACCGTTTGTCGTTCCAATCTGTTGGACCATAGATTGTCTCATCTGCGGAATTATAGAAGCCATTCCTTCTTGCAACAGACAAAGTCTACCATAAGTCGAAGTATCATAATCGCTTAACTTCTTTTTGATAACCCATGGATCATATTGAGATAACCTCAAATTTGTATCCAACTCTTGATCCATCTTTTTAAATTGTGAAAGATGATGATAGCTAATATGAATGTTTTGATTGAGAAATTAAGCTCATTCACTTATGTTTATATAGCTTTTAGTCAAATAAGATTTCCCTTTTTTCTATTGTTACAATGTAGTACTTTTCCTTTTAAGAATACTAGCTCTTTCACCCGGGCAACGCGCGGGTTTGTAATACAAACCGGTTTAATATACATTTTTAATGAATACTTTAAAAACTGCAAAATCAACAATTAAAATTTATCAATCATTCAATACCAAAATTCTCTAGAAAACAAAAGATTTTAGATATATCTATATTCTATTGAGATCAAATCTTAGCATGCAAAAATGTTGTTTAGATCAAATCCCAGTAACGAGTCTAATAACCAAAAATTATTTGAGGTTATCCAAATCCTCATGTTTATTCTTAATAAATCTTTTTCAAATTACATTTTACATTAACCACTATTTTTTCAGTTTTTGTTTTGTATCTATATCAAAATATAACACATATATTGGCATTCCAAATAAATACTCATAGAATCAACATAAATGTGTGTTCTGTTGGAAGAATGTTTTGTTTGATTCGAGTTTTGTTAGTTAGTACACCTAGTAGATTCAACTAAGAACATATATCAAGCAAAAATGTTGTTCATTATCAAATGTCTATAATGAAAACGTATTCACCTATCTAAACACCAAAAATGAGTATAGCTTGCAATAATCCTCATTTTCTCTTTTTATCTTTTTTTTTTTATATAAATTACATTTTACTTTAACCAATTTTTCTTAACAAATCAAGTTTTTTTATTCAAATCAAACATAATACATATTTATCAGTCAAAATACTCATAGAGAGTTGTATTCAACCTAATTTTTCAAGTCATTTTAGGTGATTTGGAAAAAGTGTAATTTTATAAATTAATACACAAGAGGTGTAATTTTGAAAATTATTACACAAGAGGTGTAATTTTAAAAATTGACACCAAAAAGATCTATTTCTTAAAATTTCTCTAGACTCTTCTTTCCCTTTCGCCGAATCTTACAAATTGGCTTTGATTTGAAACAACCAACTTTTTTTTTTTAATTAAATAAATCAATTAAATAACAATTTAGTGGAAGTCTTTAAATAAATAAATAAATAATGAATCAGTTTTAACAAATGAATTCAAAATAATTAAAGAAAATACTAGCAACCTAAACACCAGTACTAGCAAGTCAAACAATCATCCCCTCTTCAGCCTTGATTCCGCGATCACATAAACCTTTTACCTGAAACACATTGGAATTGAGTTGCGTAAGTATTATCATAAATACTTAGTGAGGCAATCACCCTGCCTACATGCCAATTACGCAATTACTAGCAATTTAAATAACATATTAATAATTATTTTAAGCCACAATAATTATTAAAACTTCAATTCTCAATTATTAAATAACTAGATAAGTTCCCGCGTACACGCGGGATTAATTTTAATGAACGAATGAATTGTAGTTGACTAAAATAATCAGTGTTAATGCTTTAGAAATAAGAATGTTCTTATAATAATTTTTGAGTTGATTTCTAGCTTTTTAAATATTTTTTAGTATAGCTCTTTTGATACTCTAGTAGGATCACTCTTTATAAAATAATCATCTTTGTCTCTTTGAAATTACCAAATTCAGAGACAGGTCTCGAATATATTTTAAGGTTATAGAAACTCATTTTAAGAGAAGGCAAAGGATGCACATTGTTGTCATTCAATTTATTCTTCCTTCTTGATCTATGTTTCTAATTTTTCTTTGTTTTATATCTTATTCGATCTCTTTCTCCTTTAATTTCTTCTTTGTTTTCATTCTTAGCAGGTATCTTCTTTTTATTTGCGTCATTCTTATTCGAGTTCCTCTTCATATTCGCTCATCTATACTCTTCTTCTACTTTGCTATTTTCCGTCTTCACTTGTCTTGCTTCCTCTTTTTCTTTTTTGTTTGGTTTCTTCTCTTTCGTTCATATTTGATTTTTTTCCTTTTCAGTTTCATCTTCATGGTTTGTTATTCGTTTTTTTTGTCTTCATCTTTGCTTTTCTTTAGCTTTTTTTGTTCTTCCTACTTTAGTATCTCCGTCTTTGCTGTTCTTCTGTTTCATCCTTTTACTATACTTCTTCTATGTTTTCGTCATGCTTCTTCTTCTTTCATTTCTTTGATGATTAGTTTTTGTGGATGAAGTTGTGAGCTCTTTTAGACGTGTCAATTTTATTGGAAAAAGAAAGTATTTTCTTTATATTTGTATAGAGAAGTCTTTTTTTTTTTTTGTCAACAGCCTCTATCTCTAAAACAGTTCGGAAATCCAAACTGGTGAAACAGAGTTTACATAGTACACATTAGTAGGTAGAGCTCGATCACTCCGTGCTAGCTTGTCTGCCTTCGTGTTTTCCGTCCTTGGTATCTGCATGATGGAGAAAGAATTGAATCTCCTCTTACATCTGTCAACCTCTTCAAGTAGTAATGAGAAAGCCGGCCACTCCTCTGGTTTAGATATCATCTTCACCACATCGGAACAGTCCGTCTGAAACACCATTGTTAATTTCCAGTCCTTAACATACATTGCATAGCCCAAATGAGAGCTTCCAGCTCTGCCTGAAGAGGTGATATCCCCTGCCTCAGATTACACCCTCCCATAAGTTTTTCAAGAGTATTTGAGTTAAAATAATACCATCCTAGACCAGTTCTACACTCTGATTTCTTCCAGACTCCGTCCACCTGACATATATCGCCTAACACGGATATTTCCACGTGGGTTTCTGTGTGGGGATATGCCATCTCCAGACGTTCCTGGGCCTTTTTCCATGCTATTGACTCCGCTTCTGCTTTAACGATTATCTCATTAGGGTCCCAATCCACATTAGACATAACTTTTTCATTACGAGCTTTCCAAATATACCAAATCAACCAAGGGAACATCCTCATTCTATCATCATTTGGCAAGTGCCAAAACAATTGTGTCATGTTTGTAAACAGGCCTCCTGTTGGAAAATGGGCTGGTGGCGTTGGAATCGGAGATAATGCCCAAACTTGTAGTGCTGGCGGACACTCAAATAAAGTGTGATTTACAGTTTCTGGCGCCATCCCAAACTTGTATAGAGAAGTCTTTAAAGTTAAATATCAGCAAATAATTGTATTTATATTTTATATTTTAAATTATTAAAATGATCTTTTATGTGCATTAAAACTTTAAATGCTCTATTGTTTATTTTCTCGAATAAATTTTAACTTAACTCATGTTTTTAGTTTATTAATTTTGATTCAATGTTAATCTTATATATAATTAGGGAGTTGCTCCCTTCATCTAGAGTGTCCACATCAGCACAAAAACATTAAATTGTATTTAAAATATTTAATAAATATATGACTATTCATATTTCTTTACATTTATTCATATTTAATAAAAATATACAAATAAATTAATTAATTAATAGAAAGTATATGATAATTTGATGTTAAAATTTATCAAAAAATTGGAATATAAAATAGAGATGGAGTAATGAAATATTTAACTTCAAATAGTATACATTAACCTTTTTATTCAAATGATTTATCCTATTTAAAAATGTTAGAATGTGTTTTTCAAGTTAAAAATTTGAATATAAATTAATTAAGAGAATAGAAAGATAATGAAACATTAGAGTTAGAGTTTGTTAATATATGACTATTTATATTTATTTACATTTATTCATATTTAATAAAAATATACAAATTAATTAATTAATTAATAGAAAGTATGTGATAATTTGATGTGAAAAGTTATCAAAAAGTTGGAATATAAAATAGAGATGGAGTAAAGAAATATTTAACTTCAAATATTATATATTAACCTTTTTATTCAAAGGATTTATCCTATTTAAAAAATGTTAGAATGTGTTTACAAGTTAAATATAAATTAATTAAGACAATAGAAATCTAATGAAACATTAGAGTTAGAGTTTGTTTTTCTAAACAAATAGAAATGGAGTTTCAAAAGTCAAAACATAACAAAATATGAAAGTTAACACAAAACCATCATAATTCAATCAACGAGTATAAATATATTCAAATAGAAAAACTACCACAAACAACCCCGCGCTTGCGCGAGGCTTCAAACCTAGTAAACATAATAAAAATAATTCATGTTCTTTTCTTATAGCCTTAAGAAACCTTAAACCATTGTTTATTTAATGTTAATATGTATTTGTAAATGACTTTAGTGCGCTCTTTCTATGCCTTATTTTTCTCTTTTCATTAAATCTTAGATCTATTTAGAAAGATTTAGTTGACGTTTTTTGAGACAAAATTATTGTTCAAAACCTTTTTAGTTAGTGGAAGCCCCTTAGCCCCTTTGTGAAAAGTTATCAAAAAGTTGGAATATAAAATAGAGATGGAGTAAAGAAATATTTAACTTCAAATATTATATATTAACCTTTTTATTCAAAGGATTTATCCTATTTAAAAAATGTTAGAATGTGTTTACAAGTTAAATATAAATTAATTAAGACAATAGAAATCTAATGAAACATTAGAGTTAGAGTTTGTTTTTCTAAACAAATAGAAATGGAGTTTCAAAAGTCAAAATATAACAAAACATGAAAGTTAACACAAAACCATCATAATTCAATCAACGAGTATAAATAAATTCAAATAGAAAAACTACCACAAACAACCCCGCGCTTGCGCGGGGTTTCAAACCTAGTAAACATAATAAAAATAATTCATGTTCTTTTCTTATAGCCTTAAGAAACCTTAAACCATTGTTTGTTTATTTTTTTGTAACATCTGATTATATTATTATACTTATAGAGTGTTGTACAAAAGAGATTGTAACCAAATTGGAGGTACAGAATATAACATAAAAGAACAAGGAAATTGATAAACACATTTTGACAATTTGTCAGCAGCCATATTCTTCTCACGAACCCCATGATCCAATGAACATAGTGGAAGCTTGCTTATCCAATGATGAATGTCCACTAACAAATTTCCAAGTTCGTAGCTATCTTCTCTCTTGTTGATGACATTAACCAACTGAAGGTTATCCCCCTCAAACCAAACTTGTCTGAATCCCTTGTGCCATACTCTTTGAACCACATACAGGAATCCATTTCCTTCAGCTTCCAAAATTGAACCCACATTCTCCAACCGTGCCCATCCTGATTCAATATAATGGCCATGCTCATCTCTGATTATCCACCCTACTCCCATATAATCATTGTTTACCTTGAACGAACTATCAGAATTGCATTTAAGCCATCCCGAAGGAGGTGGATCCCAAATGCCCATATTGCCTTGTCGTTGAATGTGTTGATGAGTTTCCGAAGTTGGATTAACTGATAGCCATTCCGCCACTTCTTCCATGCTTTTCAGAGCATCTTCCATTGCTTGTACTTGTTTTTGTGTGAAGAGTAGCTCATTCCTTGATTTCCATATCCTCCAAACAACCCAGAATGGTAAAAATCTGTCTTCCGTTCTCAATGCTGTTGAATGATTAATCTGAAACATCAAACTGATATTTTCTTCCAACGTTGAATTCACAGTATCAAACTCATTAAACCCTGCACTTTGCCAGACAGCTTTCGCATACTGACACTGAAATAGTAAGTGATTGATTGTTTCCTCCTCTTGGTTGCAGCATTGACACACCGGATCAATATCCACAGACTTCGAACATAACCTTTCTGAAGATGGGAGAGCACCAGCAATCGCTTTCCATAAAAAATGCTGAATTTTAGGCTCCACTTTAATTCTCCAAATCTTTTTTTTGACTTCCAACGATCCCGCTGGGGGATTAATCCTCTCATTATCTGAGACAAGATGAGTAGCTACCCAATAGCCCGACTTCACTGTATATTCAGCATTAGATGTATATGCCCAAATCTTTTTGTCTTGTGTAGCCCATCTGGACAGTCTAATCTTTTTCGCCAACTCTGCATCCCCATGTGTCAGTAAAGATCGAAGCAAATTCTCATCCCATTCCCTCGTGCCCGGTTTTCATAGCTCCTCCACCTTCATATCCAATTGTTGTATATTGCCTTGAGCTACTCTTGGAGGCCGAACTGGTAACCAATGATCCAACCAGACATTTGTTTCCTTTCCGTCTCCCAACCTATCTTGCAAACCCTGTTTTAGCAAGTCTTTACCTGCTTGTAGTGATCTCCATCCATAAGATGGATTCCTCCCACACGTCGACTCTAAAAACGTCGTTGTTTTGTGGTATCTTCCTTTGTAAATTCTCGACAAAAGAGAATTTGGATTTTTCAAAACCCTCCACGCCTGCTTACCCAGTAAGGCCAAGTTAAATTTTTGTAAATCCTTGAAGCCCATTCCTCCTTCATTCTTAGGTAAAGATAACCTCTTCCATGAAATCCAAGAGATCTTTCTTCTGGCATTATCATTTTTTCCCCACCAGAATTCAGAAAGAGCACTATTTATTTCCTCACAAACCTGTTTTGGAAATAGAAAACAACTCATGGAGTAAACTGGTTTTGATTGAGCTATGGACTTGATGAGAACTTCCTTCCCAGCTGTACTCAATTGCTGATTATACCATCCTCCTATGTTCTCTTTTACTCTTTTCACAATTCCCTTAAAAGCCTCTGATTTACTTCTCCCAAACTGCTCAGGTAGGCCTAAATACTTCCCTCCTCCTCCTACCTTATCGATTCCCAGAATTCCTTGTATTACCCTTCTCCGTGAATGACCAATTCTCATACCAAAGACAATAGAAGACTTCTGGAGATTGACTTTTTGTCCCGAGATGCTTTCATAATCCCGCAAAATTTTCGCCATTCTATGAACATCATTATTTGTTGCCTTGCAAAAAAATAATGAATCATCCGCAAATAAGAGATGTGAGACTGGAGGGCATGATCTTGTAAGAGCCATTCCCGTAAACTCCTTTTTGTATTCAGCCTGAAATAACATATGAGATAATGTTTCGGCACACAGTAGAAATAGGTAAGGTGAAAGTGGATCACCTTGACGAATTCCTCTCGTTGGCCTTACATCACCACATTGAGAAAGAAACTGAGCGCACACAAGCCATGACCCATGTTATCCATTGTTCTGCAAATCCCATTTTCTTCATCACTGCTTCCAAGAAGTTCCATTCCACTCTATCATAAGCCTTACTAATGTCTGTTTTAATAGCTATGAATTGCTCTGCACAATTACGTTTTGCTTTCAAAGCATGCATTAATTCATGAGCTACTAAGACATTATGAGAAATATTTCTACCAGGCACAAAAGCTGCTTGTGATTCCAAGATGAGAGATCCTAATATACCTTGCAAGCGAGAAACCAAAAGCTTAGAGATGACTTTGTAACTTACTGTACATAAGCTTATCGGTCGATAATCTGCAATTTTGTCTCCTCCTGCTGGTTTTGGAATTAGGCATAGCTGAGTGTGGTTGACCTTTGGTTCCATAATTCTTGTTTCAAAGAATTTTCTTACCATTAAACACAGATCCGAACGTATTTCCTCCCAAAACCGTTGGTAAAAAGAAGCTGTGTATCCATCGTGACTGGGAGCTTTGTCTGATCCAATAGATAAAACCGCTTCTTTTATTTCCATCTCAATGACTGGTCTCAGTAGACACTCATTCATTGCTGCAGTGACACGTTGATCCATTACTGGAATAACATCATCGATATCTAAAGTTTCCGATGCCGTAAACATTTGCTGAAAATATTCCTCTGCTACCTTTGCAATTGCCCCATCTTTTGTGTGGACTATACCAGCCTCGTCTGTTACTTGTTTGATACAAGTTCTCTGTTTTCTTGCCTTTGTTACACCATGAAAATAAGCTGTGTTCCGATCCCCAACTTGTAACCATTTGTTTCTGCTTTTTAATTTCCAAAACACCTCCTCATTGTGGAAAGCTTGATTCAAATCTGATCTTAGTTTCCTGATTTCCCAAGCTGCTCTGTTTGGATCCCGGAGTGCAATATCCAACTGACATCGAATGGTTTGAATGTCTTCAGCTGCATTAAATCTATGACTTCGCTTCCATTTAGCCATTTCTCTGCGACATAACTTCAACTTTGATGAAAACTGAGGATTAATATGATTCGTGTTGGACCAGAAATGTGCCACCGTGTGAACAAAATCCTCATCCTGAGCCAATCTCTTGTCATACCGAAACTGTCCTCTCTTCACCCTATTCTCATACTCAATTGAGACCATCAATGGTCTATGATCTGATTCTGCTAAATCCAAGAACTCTGTTTCCGAAACAGGAAAGGCTTGGCGCCATTCAATGTTTGCTATAACACGATCCAGGCAGCATTCAACCACACCATCTCTAGTGTGTCCAACCCAACTAAACCTATTTCCTTTCGTCCTGATATCCTGCATATCACAAGCCTCAAACATTCGTCTAAAATTCCTGAAGCTACTTTCTGGACGAATCCTTCCTCCTTTCTTCTCACTATTACCTATAATTTCGTTAAAATCCCCACAAATCATCCAAGGACCTTGACGAGAACTGGAAATCCCCTGTAACTGATTCCATAGAGCCTGCCTTTGATTCGGAACGGGATGACCGTAGACACATGACAAATAAAACTGAAAGGATTTATATTGCACATGAAGATCTACAAGACGAGAATCAGCAGAAATACAAGAAACAGAAACAACAGACTTCCAGAAAACAACGAGACCTCCACTTAAACCCTAAGGTGATACAATCTTCATCTGATCATAACCTAACTGTCTTCCTATGTCACGAACATAGACCTCCTCCTTTTTCGTTTCCACCAGGAACAGCATGTCCGGGAGATACACTCTCTGTAACTCCTTTAGACGTCGAACTGTGAGGCGCTGTCCCAAGCCCCGACAGTTCCACACCTCAACTCTCATGGGACTGGTGGTGGTACCGGGCCCACCGCGCCTCCGTCAATGTGACTCAGGTTTGGAGAGGGAGTACCTGAACCTATGTAATCAGCTTGTAGTTTCGTCAGCGCATCTGAAGCATCACTCAGCGGTTCTATCTCTGACGCATCTGGATCCTCCGTTTCACCACTTAGCTGTGCCTTCTTCTGAGATGGCTCAGCCTCCACAGCTTTCATGACATTATACCCCATGAAACTTCCATATTGTTGGAAAGATCCATCATCATCCATCCGGCTCTCCCACTGGAGAATGATATGATCATCATCCTCCTCCTCAGTTTGTTGTTGACCATTCCCTGCAATCACCGGTGATCTGAGAGCTGCTTCACGCTCCATATCCTCCACTAAAGCATCAACAAAACGACGCTTCCTCATTGCTTGATCCCTTATCCTATCGGGCTCCATGCGAGTTGTGTGCTCGTCCACCTCGATTGGTGATGTATCTTCGGCAGAGGAAAGGTCCTCAACACCATTATAATCCTCTGGAACTTCTCCATCATTTGGGACATATCTCTCGCCCTCCGCATCAGCTTCTCTCTATAGTTGTTGAATCATCGGATCGGGGATATGAATATGCTCCTCGTCCATCTGGTTGTCATCACTACCACCATCATCGTCATTGTCATGAGGCGGCGCATCATCACCCTCCTGAGGCTCACACTCGCCGGTGTCATGTGTGAGCATTCCACACGCCGCACAGAATCCACGGAGACGTTCATACCGGAACCTTATAACCGTGTTGACCCCCGGAATGAATTGAAAATTCTTCTGGAAACGCAAGGGATGGTTTACGTTCAGAAGAATCTTCGCTCTGATGAACTCCGCTGCCGCTGCTATCTCCGGGTTGAAGTCGATGGTACCGACATGGCCGATGGAATCACCAATGTGGAATATCACATTACGAGAGAGAAACTGACTCGGGATACCTCGGATTTGGACCCAGAACGGTATGGAATTGAAGTCGGAGTCATCCATCTCTGGCTTCCACCGTTTGAGGACCAAAATGCGGTCGTTGAAGGCCCAGGGACCACGGTTAAGCACGGATTGCATTAACTCTTCAGTGGGGAACACGAATTGAAACCGTCGTCGTTCGATCACACGCCCGGAAATCAGATCTGTAAGGCCCCAATTGCGAGGCAAAGTGCCTACAATTGCCCTCAGATTTTGGCGGCGCGGGATCAATGCCCGACCAATCAGAGAGAACTGATTCACACGAGCGGCTTCAGACACCACTTCCGTCGGTAAGGCAACGGGAGCATCGTTGATTCTAAGATTCAGATCTTGAATAGCGCGGCGCAGATTGTTCGCCATTGGAAGGAAAGGACAAAGTGATTTGCGATAGTATAGCCGGAAAAGGGAAATTGATAGAGTGTGTGGCAATTGGTGAAGAAAAATGAGATCTTGATGTGTGAATTTATACACACATAGATCCCATGAAATGAATAACCGCGAGACATCGTAATGGTCCACGTTTGCCACTACGGAGATGGAGATTGCGGTGACAAAACCGCCATGGAACTGCTGCACGATGTCTTTAACCGCCACAGAAATGAAGATCGTGGAGAAGAAAAGAGGTAACCGTAGAATCGCCAAAAAATCGCCTATTTTTTTCATAGTAACATAAAAACCATGCTTTTGTTTGTGCGTTTCTTTTTACTAACTTTAAACCATTGTTTATTTAATGTTAATATGTCTTTGTAAATGACTTTAGTGCGCTCTTTCTATGCCTTATTTTTCTCTTTTCATTAGAAAGATTTAGTTGACGTTTTTGAGACAAAATTATTGTTCAAAACCTTTTTAGTTAGTGGAAGCCCCTTAGCCTAGTGGTTAAAGGGAATTAATGCTTCTATACCAGGAGACAAGGAGGTATGGGTTTCGAATCCCAGCGAGTGCGAGTTTTTAATAATTTATGCAGATTAATAGAGGTACAGGAGGTGTACAGATTGATGCACGTGAGTTTGTATATCATAAAAATGATATCGATGGCAAAAGTTTTACCCATGGGTTAAGCTCTGGCCTCTGGTAGAATTGTTGTGGACGCCTTTTGCTGACGCTGTGCCGGCAAACAGACAGTCTCCACATCTTCATTTTTGCAGTTTGAGTATGTCTAAGAGTCAGCCCCTTTCCTCAACAAACTTGTGGCAAGCCAATACCCCTCATTGGAACTCCTTCAAAGTGCAACAAAGATGATTACTCTTCCACCAATAGGTTTATCGCCTACTCCTCTCTACCCTTATTTTGTTGGCATTTAATGAAAGGCCCATAATCCTTTCCTATTTGAATATTGTGATTTACATTAAGATGAAATTCTCATTAAAACTGTGAATGGTGCCTATGAATGTGTCAGCTTCTCTTCTCCCTGTCTGTTTGGCCGACATTATGCTCTCATCAAAACTTCAAAATCTTTCAAATCTAGTTTCTAAATTTACGTTAATGTTTAACAAAAAATCTTAGAACTTTGTTTAATTACTTTGGATTTGTGATATTTTTAATTCAAATATGGTTATACATGTTAAGTTAGTTTCTTTTTTGTTGGAATTAAATAATATAATTTTTTTTATTTTATAAACTATTTAATACAAAAAATTCATAATACTTTTGAATTAAGAAACTTTCTTAAAATATAAAAAAAAAATTAACTAAAATCTAAGAACTTTGTTTAATTACTTTGGATTTGTGATATTTTTAATTCAAATATGGTTATACATGTTAAGTTAGTTTCTTTTTTGTTGGTATTAAATAATATATTTATTTTATTTTATAAACTCTTTAATACAAAAAATTCATAATATTTTTGAATTAGGAAACTTTCTGGAAATAAAAAAAAAAAGAAATTAACTAATTTTATATGATTACTTCATAAGTTCCGCGTACACGCAGGGTTAGTTTAAACTTTTTTAAAACAAATTACAAAAAAATATTATTACTAAGTAGATAAAATAATGTTGAGAACCTGATAAGAATTCTCTGAATAACATAAGATACTTGTAGTGAATATATATATATTTTACTTTTTTTTCCTTTTTCCGTTAGAATATTGAATTTTTTTTATCAGAATATGATTTTTCCTTTTTCCATTAGAATTTGAAACTTTGTTCTCTTAAAATATAATTCATGCAAAAAAATATTTTTCCTTTTCTGTTGGAATATAAAACATTTTTCCGTTAGAATATGACAAATATACTTATCCTTTTTTAGCATTTTTTAACTATTATTTTTTTCAAAGACACATGTCACGATCTCAATATCTTATTATATAAAGCTGGATACACGCGACGTGGTTTCGACACATAGGATTTTTATAATTCATAGGATTGTGACATGTGTCAACTTTAATTTTACATATATTGAGATTTATAATGAGTGATACCAAGTAAAGCTATCATTACTTGCAACTTTTTCTATCAAAATAATTTATTCGTTTCATTTTTATCTAACACTTTGTTTGTATTTTTGTTGTATGCAGTCGCCTCCGTCTTAAATGTATTGCTTATGGAAATACCGCTGTCAAATTTTATGACAAATACTGGAAAATCTTTAGACGGATCACTCTGTCGTTTGCATTCTAACTGATTGGAGGGTCTCTAGGAAGAGAGATATTTCTCAATACACAGTTATCTTTCCTTTGTCACGATAATGTGTAATATGGTTAGTGTTTCTAGGAGAACAGCGTCTAATAACACGTCAGGAGGTATATTAATATTTATTTTAAACCCACAAATCAGAGAATATGGTGAGTTTATAAGACTGTATGTCAATAACTTCATTGGTTCAAAGTGTTTATATCATGGCATAGTAGTAACCACGCCCGGCCCTAGGGGTGTGCAAGCAGTGCAAAAGCACAGGGTCCAAGGCCCGGCCCACGTTTTTTCAGCTGTTTTTTTTTCACATTTAGGGTCCTATATTTTCTGAAATTATGCATTTAGGGTCCAAATTTTTAGATTTATCAAATTATATAACTAAATTTGAATTTTATGTTTGATTTGCACAGGGCCCAGCTTCTGTTTGGGCCGGGCCTAGTAGTAACTCTTATTTTCTTGCATATAGCTTTATACAGTGATCATGAAGAATGTTTTCATGTGAAAGTATCTTCGTCGAACGATAGCGGGTAATTGCGTACAAGTGATGCTGCCCAGTTGATTTTCAGAAGTCAAATCTCTTTTTTTATTATGTTTCTGACTGACTATTATTTGCTTTGAAAAATAGTCGTGAACCCTTTAATTTTGAAGACATTGTTAGAGCAGAAATTAGTACAATTTCCCTGAGCCCGTCACAATTAATAATACTATGCAAGTCCGGTCCGCTTCCACTTCCACCTCCTCAAAGAAAAGGAAGTACTTGGAGAAGAAGACTACATCTAAAAAAAATAGAAGGAGATCAACGCCAAAGAAGAATATTTCCAAAAGAAATATGGAAGAATATCTTGAGGAAGCCAACTTCCTCTCCATATAAATAGAAGACCCCCATATTCCTTGAAAACCATCGACAATCCTCCAGAAGTATTCAGAAAACCCTAGTCATAATTCGTTCTTTGTTCTAAGTTTCTCTTTTTTTTTTCGTATTCGTCTCGTCAAGCCTTGTCGTCGAGACGAATCACCCCTTGTATCATCTTTGTCTTTGGTTGATCTAATAAAGAGTCTCTCCTGAACCTCACATCTCTTATCTTACTATTACTGTGTGATTTTGAGATTCAACAGACATAAATAAGTTATCATCTATTACTAATAAAAGTTGACCCTATATGTATTAGAGAGTGTCCACCTAGGATTCTAAAATTGAATTTGATTGATCCATGTCATTATTTTTTTATTAAATAATTAATTTCCTATTTTCCTTTTTATTCTTATTAGCAGATTTACATTTTTTAATATCCAACAATTTGGATAATGTTTTACAAATTGGATAACGGATATTATTTGAGAAAGATTAGGATTAGGATAATTTCTAAGTTTGTAATTGCCACTTCTCTAATTTCCTTATTGCATAGTGATTCCTTACCATTAGGAATACAACAATTTTATTCATTTTACTATTAGAAATACGATGATTTAAAATAAAAGTTCTTCTCTAATTTCCTTATTGCATAGTGATTCCTTACCATTAGGAATACAATGATTTTATTCATTTTACTATTAGGAATACGATGATCTAAAATAAAAGTTGATCCTATAAACCTCTAAAAGTGTTCAACTAAGATTAAAGAAACTGAATTTCATTGGTCCACATAATCACTTTAAAAGAATTTCTTTTTTTAGTTGTTATTATGATATTTCTTTAACACTTAATTTCATTTTTCTTCATACTAAAGTGTTTAAAAAATAGAGTTTTTATTTCTAATGACAGAAAAAGGAAATAAAAATTCAATTTGATTGGTCCACATAAGCACCTTAAAAGAATTTTCTTTTTAATTGTTATTATGATATTTCCTTAATACTTAATTCTAATTTTAATTACTTCATATGAAATATATAATCTTTAAATTACTTCATATATATATATTTTTTTAAATTTCGTTTCTCTTAATATAAAATATTTAATATTTAAAATTATATATTGTTAATATGTTACATGTTTATTTTATTATTTTGAACAAAATATGTTACTAATTAGTTTGCTTTTTAAAAAAAAAAGTTATATGTAAATATATAGAAATAGAAACAAAAGAAAATTTATATTGTATATAAGCATCAACATATTATTATTTTGTTGATTTATATGCATCATATTATATATTAAAATGGAAATAATATTGTGTTGACAATACGTTGAAAATAAAAACTTAACTATCTTCAGTTTTTGGAAAGCTATTAAATAACCAGAAAATGGAACAGCATGAGTTCAAAAATATGACAAAACAAGATCTAACTAAGTTACAATAAATCGACTAGGACTAATACTTATCCTTTAGGTCTTTATCTAAAGAAACTAATATTACTTAATGGCAACAAAATTCAACAAACCAACAATTATCGATGACTAAACATTATATATCTATAGAAGAAACCAAAAATTAAAGGTTGGAATAAGTATATGATAGATCCAAATTTAAATAGGACTCAAAACAAAACAAAAGGATTAACGGCAAATTGAGTTTATATAGTACCTCACAGAAATATGATTCTTCACTGAAACATGGAGCTAACTAAGTTTGATTAGTGGATGTTTGGAAATTATAAGAAAGATTTGGAGTTTAGAGAATTTGGTATGAATTGTGAGCTTCAATGACATGAAATTGTTGTGAAACAATAATTGGTAGTATGTATATAATTAAAGCAGAGGAGAGGTAGGGTGATAATAGGAATGTAGAGATTTGGAATTTCGACAAAACTGGTTTACACATGAGATTTAAATTTAAGGTATTTGAAAAATAATATGGCAAAAGAGAACTAAACCCAAAATGTGACAAAACCGGCTAGGCTTTTGAACCGAAAATTTGAGATTCGGCTATATATACTCAATTGAAACAATAGGACAACAAACTTTAGAGATTAATGTAACTTCTCCAATGATTGAGCCTCTATTCCTTACGAGAAAATGTGAGAAAGGTTTGCAATATGTTTTTAATAAGAAATTATCACAATACAATTCATTTTATTATTGTGACCAACTATACAAGAATTAAATTGATTTGGTAAAATTAAAAATATAAAGAAATTAAATAATAAGAAACTATAATTATAAAATAAAATATTTAAAAAAAAAACTGTAAAGATTTTGTATCAATGAACTTTTTTAAAAAATTCAAAATTATAAATTCATAATTAAAAGAAGAAAAAAAAAACATAAAAAGGAACCCGCGCGTAGCGCGGGTAAAATACTTAGTATTATGTAAAAATTGTTTCATATGAAAATTATATTAAGAGTATTTTTTTTAGCATACGAAAAATATTCTTTACAACAAAAAGTAGAAAATTAGATTGTATTAACGTTAAAATTAAGTATAGATTATAGTTTTACAAATTTTCGCATAAATAAGAATCATTGCCTCCTACCTAGTACTTATAACAATTACGGCGCGTAGTGCAAAGTATCATCTAGTTTTATCTAAAAAGAAAAGATGAGGGAGGAAACTAAACCGACGTCGTATCGTATGGATTCCATCTCTTTAATATTCTGCCAAACAAAGAAAGAAGAAAGCCGTTGACTTTTGAGTTGTAACTTGTAAAGCAGTGGAAAGGGATCAATGCCTACGGATTTGAAACTTCCAATCATCGATCTTTCTTCGCCGGAAAAGATCTCTACTTCACGTTTGATTCGACAGGTTCTTCTTCATCTACTTTTCTTTTCTTTTGAAAATGGCCAACTTGTTATATTATTACTCTTAATAAATGCTTCTTTATGGCAGTGATGAATAGACGGTGTCGGTTGTGTTTTTCTATTTTCCTTTCTAATGAAAATTTGGATGATCATTTCCGATTTTTAGGCTTGCTTGGATCATGGATTCTTCTATCTCACGAATCATGGCGTTTCCGAAGAGTTGATGGAAAGAGTGTTCACGGAGAGCAAGAACCTCTTCTCTCTTCCTCTTGATGATAAGATCGTGATGTCTGGCCGTGGTTTGCGAGGTTACTCACCTTTACACGACGAGAACTTCTCCACGGCCACCAAAGGTTATTCTTACGAAATCTCCAGTGATCTCGACTTAGTAATTTCTATTATGGGCTTGTTGAGTTGAATACAAAGAACATGTGTGAAGTGTGATTCTAAGTTGTAGTATAACAGGTGATTCCAAGGAGATGTTCACTTTTGGATCTTCAGAAGGAGTTTTGAGTCAGCTTTACCCTAACAGGTGGCCTTCTCAAGGTACAAAGCTTATCTTGGTATAATCCTAATATTTTTTTTAATTATGTTGATTTACTATCTTACGGGTTTTTGATCTTGTTAGAGCTTTTGCCGCTTTGGAGACCAACCATGGAAAGCTACTACAAAAATGTCGTGTAAGTAGCAAGAAAACATCCTCTGCTTTTGCTAGATTTGCTAGACCATCCATTGTTCTCTGGTTCTTGAAAAGAACTTCTTGTAACATCGTAATGTTATGTTGTGGTCTTTATATTAATTTAATTGTCTTTGATGCTTCACAGGGATGCTGGCAGGAAACTGCTTGGCTTAGTGGCTTTGGCATTGAATTTGGAGGAGAACTTTTTTGAACGAGTGGGAGCCTTCAATGATCAAGCACCTGTTGTTCGCCTCTTACGTTATTCAGGTCTTTTATCAAATCTTGTAGCATTTTGGGGCATGATTTCAAATGACTCACTAATTGAGAGAGTGGTTTGAAATATTTATAGGGGAGTTGAATTCAGATGGAAAAGAAACTTGTGGGGCATCTCCTCATTCAGATTTTGGAATGATAACACTTCTTGCAACAGATGGAGTGCCTGGGCTTCAAGTATTCATCTCATATTTTCTAAAAAAGTTTGAGAATTACTTCGTTAATTTGTGTTCTTCAACCTGTAACAATGTTTTACATACTTAATAGGTTTGTAGGGACAAAGATAAAGAACCAAACGTTTGGGAAGATGTCCCTGGAATTAAAGGGTAAGTTAAGTTATACATATATAGAAACTATTGACGTATATAGTAAGCACTAAATCTTATGAGTGATTTTGTGTTAAACCCACACCACAGTGCTTTTGTTGTCAACATCGGTGACCTTATGGAGAGATGGACGAATGGGCTTTTCCGGTACAATCATTATATTGATCACTCTTTTGAAAATTGTGCAGTTTCATTTCATTTCAGTCATTATATTGATATAAGACCTCTTCTATTTTGTGTGTTTTTTTTTGTTTTATAGATCAACAATGCATAGAGTGTTGTCAGTGGGAAAAGAACGTTACTCGGTACGATATGTAATGTAGATTTGCTTCAAGTATTAGTCTCTGTGTCGCTAATTAATTAGCATATAATGTTTGTTGGTTTATTTATACTTGTAAGGTGGCTGTGTTTCTGGATCCTGACCCAAACTGTGTTGTCGAGTGTTTGGAGAGTTGTTGTAGTGACACATCTCCTCCCAGGTAAATATATCATCATCTTATATATAATTAGGGAGTTGCTCTCTCCATTTGAGAGTGTCCACATCAGCACAAAAACATTAAATTGTATTTAAAATATTTAATAAATATATGACTATTCATATTTCTTTACATTTATTCATATTTAATAAAAATATACAAATAAATTGATTAATTAATAGAAAGTATGTGATAATTTGATGTTCAAAGTTATCAAAAAGTTGGAATATAAAATAGAGATGGAGTAAAGAAATATTCAACTTCAAATAGTATATATTTACTTTATTATTCAAAGGGTTTATCCTACTTAAAAATGTTAGAATGTGTTTACAAGTTAAAAAGTTGAATATAAATTAATTAAGACAATAGAAAGCTAATGAAACATTAGAGTTAGAGTTTGTTTTTCTAAACAAATAGAAATAGAGTTTTATATGTAAATTTAATTGTAGTGAAAAACAAGAATATGTTTACAAATTTTAACCTTCAGTCAAATGCATATACATATTTATAAATTTTAACCTTCAATCAAATACATATACATGTTTACCGTCTAATAGAAGTAAACATAATACTTATAACATGATAAAATTTTAGAAATAGAAAACTCAAGATAAAGCAGAGTGTTAATATCCTAATAAATTAAAATAAAAACAAATTATTCATATTTTTTAGTGTTAGTGGTTTAGTTAACTCAAAACATAACAAAAACATGAAAGTTAACACAAAACCATCATATTTCAAATCACGAGTATAAATAAAATTAAACAGAAAAACTATCGTAAACAACCCCGCGCTTGCGCGGGGCTTCAAACCTAGTATAACATAATAACAACTCTCGACTAATTTCTTGTTTAGTTGTGTGATATAAACTTTTGAGTTTGATTGTTGATTTGGCAATTTGTGCCTCTCAGATTTCCACCGGTTCGGACCAGAGATTACTTCCACGACCGATTCAGTCAATCCCTCACCTCATATTCCTCCACTTCCAGCTAAAATGAGAAGCAGGTCGAGATTCTCTTAAAAATAAGACATTGTGTCAAAGAAATAAGTGAAATACAACAAGTTTTCTGCTTCTACGTTTGTATAAATAAACCTTAATATGGGCCTCTTGGTTAAAATGGGCTTAATCTGCTATGTGGAACACTTTTGTATATTTTTAAAAGAGAAAAATTCTATTTTCATTCTATTATTGCACGAAATTGTGAAAATAATCAGAGATTGTGAAAAATGGGAACATCACTTGTACTACTTCCGGTGGTTGATCTTTCTTCGCCGGACAAAATCTCCACCGCAAAATTGATTCGTCAGGTTCTTTTTCAATTGATTATGATGATAAGACTAGTACTTGTACCTGTAGCAATAATTGGTTTTACCTCTGTGAATTTGAGTGTCGCAATTTTGATCTGCGTTTATGATTTGCTATTCAAAATTGAGGTCTTAAGCTGATAAAACTGTTAGGCATGTCTCGAACATGGATTCTTCTATGTCAAGAACCATGGCATCTCGGAAGATTTGATGGAAGGAGTTTTCAGGGAGACCAGAGGCTTCTTTAATCTTCCACTAGAGGAGAAGATGGCTTTGCTCCGCCGTGATTTGCTCGGTTACACTCCGTTGTATGCCGAGAAACTCGACCCGTCCGTGAGCTCCATAGGTTCTTTCATTTTGAGTTTTGGTCATGTTTTCTAATTTGTTTCCTTGCTGAATTAGTTTTTCTTTTTTGGTAAGTTTAATCTCTCTCTCTCACTCTTTCTTCTTAGGTGATTCCAAGGAAAGCTTCTATTTTGGGTCTTTAGAAGGAGTTCTCGCTCAACGTTACCCAAATCAATGGCCTTCTCAAAGTAAGTTTCCATTTTTAGGGGTTTTTATTATCTCAATCTCTCTCTCATGGAATTTATGTCTATGTAAAAAAAAAAAAGATCTCTTGCCATCATGGAGGGAAACCATGGAATGTTACTACAAGAGTGTCCTGTAAGCACCTTTTCTTTTTTTCCTTCTTCTGCAAACATAACACTGTATCTTCATACCTTGCCTTGTCTACTAATATTATTGTAGGTGCATGTGTGTGTTCTTGAATTATCTTCTGTTCAACTTCTAAATTGTATTAATAGAGACTGCTATTTTCTCGTCTCTTTTTAAAAATTCCCCCAATGAGCTTGTTAGTTGTGTGGTTTAAGGTCTGTTGGTAGAAAATTGCTCGGCTTGATTGCCTTGGCATTGGATTTAGAAGAGGACTTCTTCGAACAAGTTGGAGCCTTGAGTGATCCTGCAGCAGTTATTCGCCTCTTACACTATCCAGGTATCTATTTATGTGATGAATGGAAATGTTTGAGCCAGTGATGAGGTTTTGAGCTATGCTCTTGTTATGGTTATATAATAGGTCAAGTGATATCGTCGGATGTAGAAACATATGGTGCCTCAGCTCACTCAGATTACGGAATGGTCACTCTTCTTTTGACTGATGGAGTTCCAGGGCTCCAGGTTTAAAGATTTCTTGATTTCTCTTGTACTCGTCATCATATACTCTTCTCTTGTAGTAACCTTACACTGTATGTGATCTCTTAGGTTTGTAGAGACAAATCGAAACAACCACGGATTTGGGAACATGTCCCTGGAATCAGAGGGTAAATAGTAGTATACGTTTTAGCTACTGCATGTTGACTAATATGTAACTGTTGAAACTTTGTGGATGCGCAGGGCGTTTATTGTCAACATTGGTGATATGATGGAGAGATGGACCAATGGGCTCTTCAGGTAAAATTAACTTTAGTCAGGTCAATATTATAATTTTATCTATCTTGGATAAAAAAGAACATGTTGTATTTTCTTGTAATGGGAGTTTAGGTCCACATTGCACAGAGTGATGCCGGTGGGAAAAGAACGTTACTCGGTAACTTATTTTCTTCTTTCTAAATTCTGATAAAGTTTAGTGTAAATCTAAGGAGGAGTGTTTGTGCTTTGTAGGTGGTGTTCTTCTTAGATCCCAATCCAGAATGTCACGTGGAATGCTTGGAGAGTTGTTGCAGCGAAACTTGTCCCCCAAGGTATTTGACAAACACAAAACTCTTCTTTAATTTTTTTTTCTGAATCTACAATCTACAAAGTTATACTTAACAGCAAAAGATGAGTCCTTTTTTATATTAATACAACTCTGTTTCTATTGGTGCAGATTCCCGCCTATCCTCGCCGGAGACTATATTAAGGAGCGTTTTAGGCTAACCTACGCCACCACCTCCTAGTCTTATGCTTTTGTTACGGAATCTAATAAAACGTAGTAGCCTTCTCAAAATATCCGTTGTATTTGCTTCCATCTATTATCCGTTCAGTTCCATCAGGAAAAAATTTCCGTAACTCTAGGAAAAATCAAATCCTAAAATATAGTATATGTGTATATATAAAAAACATATTTACAAGCTAACTTTTTTTAGTTCAAACATTACAATAATATTTAAAAAAAACTGAAACAAAATAATACTAGTCATAAAAAAATCTTATTATATAAAGCTGGATGCGCGCAACGTGGTTGCGACACGTAGGATTTTTATAAAATATAGGATTGCGACATGTGTCACTTTTAATGTTATATCCGTTAAGATCGTGACACATGTCTTCGGAAAAAGGAAATTTTTATTTTAAAGGAAAATTTTAATATCTTATAATAAAAACGAAATTTTATATAATAAAATAAAAATAATGTAATAAAAAATTCCTATTAGTATATGGAATAGGTATGTAAACTAAATATCCTAAAATTATATGGAATAGGTTATATAAACTCCTATTTAAAAAAATCCTATTAGTACATGTAATAGGTATGTAAACTAAATATAAAACTGTATGAAATTGGTTACATGAACCCCCTATAAAAAGAGAGCTATTGTAGTCTCTTTTTCTCATTCACAAACTCATCAAAGCAAATTCAGAAAATCTCTTTGATTCTCTTTCTCTAATTTCAAAATCATGTCTTTGAAAGTTCAAGAGAACAGTGGAGATTATTTGACTCTAGGTCAATTGGATCGAAATTAAAATTATTTGAATAAAATCCTATTAGTACATTAGAAAAATCAGAAAACAGGAAACAAACAATTAAAAAGAAAAAATATTACATCCATTATGAGAAGTAAAGAAAAAACATAATTCTATTACGAAAAGGAAAAAAAACGAAAATCAGAAAAACATGAAGAAATAATTAAAAAATGTTACATCCAATAAGAAAAGGAATAAAAAAACATATTCCCATTACGAAAATGAAAAAAAAAAAATATATAACAAGCTATATTTTTTAAGTTTCTTTCTCATTAAGAAATAAAATTCATGTCTTTAAAAGTTAAAGATATCAATGAAGAATACTTAACTTTAGATCGATACATGTGTCTAATATTTGATGAAGTGATGACATGTGTCAACACAAGAAAATTGGAAAAATGTAGTAACATAAATAAATAAACTAACAAAATAATATTAAAACAACTAACTAATAATGAAAATGAAAATTTATAATGGTCAGAGGCAAAAACGAAATTGAAAAAGAAACAATATAAATAGAAAACTAACAAAATAATTATTAAGGAACTAAATAATATTAAAAAAGAAAATTTTATAATGGACTGATCTTCTAATATTAAATAGTTTAATTTTCCATGTTTTGTTAGGTAAAAAAATATTAAAAATAAAGATTTCATCATGGAATAATCAAAGTTTCATAAAATAATGAGTCGATTAGATTTAGACACATGTAAATCTTTCTATTTCATATCATGAATTCAAAATAAAAATGTAAAAGACTACATATCTTTATTTAGAGATTTGTTATCGGGTTTTTAATATTATTTTCTTATTTTTAAAATTGATCAAATTTTGTTTAATATTCTTCCGTGATTTAAAAAAATAAAAATAAATAAACCCGCGTATACGCGAGGCCTAATCTAGTTATTATATAAAGTTGGATGCACGCGACGTGGTTGCGACACGTAGGATTATTATAATTTATAGGATTGCGACATGTGTCACTTATATAAACCTTAAGTTTTTTCAATCCTATATGGATACCCTCTAACGCCTATAGAGTCAAGTTTTATTAGGGCATGTACATTGCACAGGCTGGGCTGAGGTTTTTTAAAATTATAAGAAAAATAATTTTCGAAATAAATTAGGATTTTTTCTTAAAAAAAAAAAAAAAACTGATGAATCGTGTCGTGACACGTGGAGAGCTCGCCTCCAGAGCCGTCTCCAAAACCTCTCCGGGAAGAGACGATTCTGTGTAAAAGCTCTGCCACATCATTATTGATTTAAAAAAATAAAATAAATAAACCCGCGTATACGCGAGGCCTAATCTAGTTATTATATAAAGTTGGATGCACGCGACGTGGTTGCGACACGTAGGATTATTATAATTTATAGGATTGCGACATGTGTCACTTACATAAACCTTAAGTTTTTTCAATCCTATATGGATACCCTCTAACGCCTATAGAGTCAAGTTTTATTAGGGCATGTACATTGCACAGGCTGGGCTGAGGTTTTTTAAAATTATAAGAAAAATAATTTTCGAAATAAATTAGGATTTTTTCTTAAAAAAAAAAAAAAACTGATGAATCGTGTCGTGACACGTGGAGAGCTCGCCTCCAGAGCCGTCTCCAAAACCTCTCCGGGAAGAGACGATTCTGTGTAAAAGCTCTACCACATCATTATTGTTTTTCTTTTCTCTTTTCATTTTGCCTAAAGAACCGTGTCCGAGCTGTGCAATGCACTTGCTCTTAGTAACTAGGAGGTGACCCGCGCTTCGCGCGGAAATTTATATTATTGTTTAATTTTATTTTTTTCGCAAATTTAATTTATTTACGTGGTTTATTATTGTTCAAAGATATTACACATATTAATTAAATATAATTAGGGTTAGGCAAAATTAACGTACCGTCTTGTCCTATTGTATCCCATTTCGTTCATTTTCATCATGTCCGCTATCCCGTCCCATCCTATCTCATTATGTTCCTTTCCATTTTGTTAGGTTCCATCATGTTCCTTCCGTTTCTTCTCGTCCCGTTTAGACAAAATTCCCGTATAGTCTCATCCCGTCCCATTTCATTCTTTCTCATCTTGTCCCATTCTTTCCTTGTCCCGTTCCATCATGTTTGCTCTATCGAGTTACATCCTATCCTGTTATGTTTTTTTTTTTCATTTTGTCGTGTCTCTGTCATGTCCCTAAATATAATTACGAGTAAGTGAAGTTTATATTCCGTCCCTTCTCGTCCCATTATGTCCCTTTCATCTCATCTCGCCTAATCCTGTCTCATTCTGTTTTTTTTTCATCTCGTCATGTATAATTTGTCTGTCTCGTCCCGTCCAGTCTTATCCCGTTTCGTTATGTTTCTTTCTGTCGTGTTCTGTCTCATCACGTTCCTTTTGTTTTTTATATATTCCGTCTTTAAATATAAATTGAAGTAGGCAAGGTTATGTGGTATCCCATTCATTTCCGTTCATTTACATACCATCTCGTCATTTAATATAATAAGAAGTGGACAAAATTCATTTCTTCTTTCGTTATGTTTTTTTTTCGTCTCATTTTATTTGGTCTCGCCTCATTTTGTCCCAAAATACTTTAAAAATTAGTATTTTTTATATAATATCTTGACATCAACGTAAATTATATAATCTAACAAAAAGAATTACTAAATAATAGTTTTTGTAGATCTATACATAATCTTTCTCTTTTTTTTTAAATGACTTTTCATATTCTTGTTAAACTTATTATAGTAATGAATGCTAATTATTATGAAATTAAAATATTAAAAATGAAAATATAATAAAATAAATAAAGTGTTGACATGGCAAAATGGAGAATTTAGAAGCACTCTCTAAAAGTGACGTGACAGCACTAGAATAGAATCACATCAACTTTATATATATAGATAGATGAATGGTTGAATGAGTCATATTAGATAGTATGGGCTTATTAATCAATTTTCCACTAATATAAAAGATACATTCGAATGCCATTGTTTATTAAATAATCTATATAAAAATTACAATTATTAAAATAATTAAAAATATGAAATTTACTAAAATTAATATGTTAAAGTAACAATACTAATGTGGAATAAAATAATATATAGACATTTAAAAAATGTTTTACTCATAAGAATAAAAAGGAAATTAAGAAATTAACTGTTCAATGAAAAAAAATAGTAAAATTGACATGGGCCAATCAAATTCAATTTTAGAATCCTATTTGGACACCTTTAAAGGCCTATAGGGTCAACTTTTATTAGTAACTAAGTATTTTACCCGCGCTACACACGCGGGTTCCATTTTTATGTTTTCTTTAAAGAAAATTATGAATTTTCTAATTTTACATTTTTTAAGAAATCCGCTGATACAAAATCCTTTACAATTTTTATTTTTAATAATTTTCTTTTATAATTATATATAACCAAATATCCTATTTTTTGTTCAATGGTTAGTTTTGCCACATTTTAGATTTAGTCATCACTATGAAATTAAAAATTCATTACCTTCACTGAAATGCAAATATGAATATTCATAAATACTTTTGCTTCATAAATTAAATTAAATCTCACTTGAATAGTAATCTAAAAAATCAGGGATCAGACAAGCTAATGATCATCGACAAACCAAAATGCAAGACCAATGATAAAAAGCTATAGCTAAAACATTATTTGTGGACATAAATAACATGGAAATTCAAAGCAGATATGCCACATGCCTAAGGTGGCGATGATAAAATTAGAATTCAAATTCGCTACTAGTTTCTTGATTTTGACACATTAACCTTAGGAAAATGTTCTTAAAGCAACAAAAAAAAAACATGGTAGGGAATTAAGAAAGTTTCACTGCACATTCTAACATATATACACAAGTTATTCAATAGATCTTTCAAGCTCCATCAACTCTGTTAAGAATAAGAGACCGTGACATACACTAGTACCGTACACAAAATATTTTCAGTCAACAAATTGTAAAATCTCAATCAATGGTTACTATTTATAGGATCTAGTAAAATAATCATAGAAGCATGATGAAGATTCCATAATTGTTCAGACAATACTATTTAAATGCGGGAGCGGGATAGTGAGGATGTCATTCCAAATGTTTAAAATGATCGTCAAAGGTTTTAGGACGTGACAGAAAATAATATATTCAAGATCAAGCAAACTCCTACGAAAATCTGAAGGAGTCTCTCGCTTGCACTAAAAAACAAATGCCTACAAGAAACTCCATGATATTATCCATTTCATAAGATAAGAAACCTTATGATACACGCAAGCAACCAAAACAAAGATAATGTATGTTCCAATCAAGACTCAAGAGACAGAAATACATTTAAGTTTCAAAGAAACTATTACCATAGTCTGTAGCTCGCTTACATTCAAAATAATTATCTACAAAGACTCCAAGATATATCAATTCCATAAAATGGGAGACCTTATAAAGTATACAAGAACCAAAACAGAGAAATACATATTTTCCTGTCAAGAGAGGTAGATACATTCAATATTTAAAGAAACTACTACTATAGCCAGCAAGAGTCTCACTTACATTTGAAATAATTATCTACAAAGACTCAAGATATGCACCAAAACAGAGAAAATAAACATTTTGTAATCACTAACCTTATGATCACTAACATTGTGAACACACAATGTAATGGGACGAGACGATTGATCCCAACTGCTTGGATACAAGGGAGAGCGTTGGATGGTCGCATCTCGGTACACGCGCTATGATGTCAACGATGATGTCTTCCGGAAGTGACCTAATCGGTGATTCCGATTCCGACGATTCCTCTTTCACTGCCTTAGTTCTCGAAAACATGATCAATCGGAAAAATCTCCTACAGAGAGAGAGAAGAAAAGCCCACATGGCTATGGGTAGTGGTTTGCCAGAGTTAACGATTAGGCGGCGGAGAAACGCGAAATCGACAATACTGACTGGCAAAAAATATGAGAAGCGGCGGAATTAGGATTGGCTTTCTTGGAAGACGGCGAGGGTAAATACGTACTTTGATTCATTGAGACAAAAAAAAATAACCGAGCAGTTGCTGTTATATAATTTTACTAAACCGTTGTAAATATGAACGTGACTAGAATCTACTAAACCGTTGTAAAAATTTTCATTTTACTAATACAAAACTAATGAATCGGATTACTCTTTAAATATGACAAATCGCAAACCATCCACTTTCAGTCACAATTTCTTCGTAAGAAATTCTATCAAGCGGATGGATCAATTATGTGTTTCCTTCTTATAGAAAAGGAAACATTTTACAAGAATGCAACGAATATTATTAAGAAAATGCCAAGAGATCCTTTTTCGTGAGAAAGACGATGGCGACAACTCTAAGACTCTCTAACAAAATAAATGTGTTAATTGTCGGTGGTCCTAGTATCTCACAGTCTTCTTCCTTACTTCTTGGAGAGTCAAAATTTCGACAAAAATAACAGTTTCTTCAATATAAGGGTTTATAGAGAAAGATGATGAGGCCTCAAAAGATTATAAACTATTAACCCATGAACTCAACTTTTTTAAAGATCTTACCTTCTCAATTTGATATCATCTCTCTGCTGCTTCTCTAAGGATTAGCTATAATCAAACGAATACATACATCAAAGACATCTAAGGATCATCCAAAACTGACTCCAATTGTATTGACGGTTTATCGTTATGATGATTGACAATAAACGCCAAAATCAAGCATCTAGAGAAGGTTGTGCCTATCTATTGTCACACGCCGAACCAACTTGTTTATACATCCCATGTCACAAAATCGCAATTATCATTAACCAAAACGAAACAAACACTTCACCTTCACTTTACTATCAAATCCATGTACACACACTGAAGTTACAACCAGAATGTATACCAAATATATTCCCAACCCACTAATCCAACAACCAGTTTTGCTCTTTTCTTGTCAACTGTGACCAAACCAACAGTGCATACTATATAAAAACCCATGGTCATAAGTCATAACTCATAACATGATATAAGTATTAAGACATGTACATAAGAATTTTGAACACAGTATACATAAAAAAGGGTATATAAGTTTCCGACTTTCACATATATAAAAAACTCAAACCCTGACTTATAAATTACCTGGCAACAACAACACTGTCACAAACAGAGTCCTCCTTCTCTCTAAGAACTTTTCCTTCTCGGGTGAATAACCAATTGATTTCCTTCAAACAAGTCCGGTAGGTAACTCTCAAGATCGTCCGGCGTGTACTTTATATACTTCCCCGCATGCCTACCCCCTTCTATCTGACTCTTATTCCTCCCAAAGAAAGCCCGGTAAGCCGGAATCACTTTCTCCGATATCGATATCCTCAGCTCTTCCCGGAGCTGAGGATCCGGTACTTTCCAAGCCGTCTGAAGCCTGTACAGCTCTTCAAAGCTAGCGTTAAACCCTCTGAATCTCTCCTTCAACGCCACCTTCGACGCGCTACTACTAGAACCGCTGCTTCTTTGTCCGTAACTCGGGCTACCACTCGAGCTCCCTCCCATATTCTCATCTCTCAAAGCAGACAACACCTTGCTCCACGACGCCCTGAGGTAACCTGTAGCGTACTGACGTATCTGCCCTCTTCTCTTCCTAACCCAATCATCACCCAACAGCTTACCTAACTCAGAGTCCTTCACCTTCTGAACAACGTAGTAAATGTTGTTCATCAAGAACACATTTTGAAGCCCACCGTCTTCGTACAGCTTCGATTTCTCTTCAAGATTCGACTCTAAGGAAGTAATCAACCTCAGCATTCGTTTCGCAAGAGCAGACTTTGACATCTCCTCTGTCAAAGTTGAACTATCTCCATCTGCTTCTTCGTCCTTCTCAAGAAGCGACTCTAACGTAGCAGCGTAATCAACAATCAGCTTCATATAATTCATCACGTAGCGTATCATCGGATGTACCTCGCCGTTGGTCGTCGGCTTCTTCGACGTCTCGTCCCTCACGTTACTCTCGAACTCAACGAACGTCCCTCTCGCAGCATCACCCAACGCTTCCAACACTCCTCTCGCTTCGTTACACACGAATTCGTCAGTAACCATCAACTCAAGACACTGCACAACGTTAGCCAGAGCATCGTACATGTCAAGAATCCTAAACAGCTTCTCCGGCGATCTCTTCCCAATCGCCACCGCCTCTCCGAAATTCAGCATCTGCATCACGCAGCTCTTCGTCGTCTCGTTGAAACAGACTTCTCTGCTCGACTCCGAACCGGAGAAGATCTCATCGCAGAGCTTCTTCTCGCCGGCTAGAAGCACTCTAACGGCGATCTTCACGGCTTGGATCCACTTCTTCATCTTCTCATCCATAGATCTCCAATCGATCTTCTGCACTTCTTCGATACTCAGCTTCTCCACATCGAGAATCGCCAAGCATTCGTCTAACGCCTCGCGCCTCACCGTGCTATACACCTGAACACATTCCTTCTCGTAACCGGCTCGGATCATCCTCTCCGCGATCTCTCTCAGATCTTCAACAGCCGTCGGATTTATCAAATCAACCCAGAGATCGCAACCTATGCTTCCTCCTCTCTCATGGAACAGTCTCCTTCTGCTTCCGTTACCACTACCTTCTCCGTCAGCAACCAATCCGAAATTCTCGAAATCCTCAACCACATCGCCGTCTGCGAACGACAGCGAAACTCGCCGCATCGAGCCGTAGAGCCGCTCGGCGTCGAGAGGGACGGTGTTTCGGATCAAAATCCGTCGGAATTCGTCTTCAAGCTGAGACATAGCCATCTGCAAAGCACTATCAGCTCTATCCACCAAATCGGGTTTGTTCTCAGAGGAGAGATCCTCGAGGAGAGAGATGATCTCATCAACAGCCGATAGAAACTCCGTCGCTTCCTCCGGAGATTCGTCCAAGGAGAGAGAGAAGGAAGAGCAACGGTGGTGGTTACTGGAAGACGAAGAAGAGTGTCGAGATGAATCGTTGCCGCCGTCCCATCGGTGGATAACCGTCTCGGCGGCTTCTAAACGAGCGAGAAGAGCGTCGTTTTGATCGGTCATCACTGTTTTGATGTTTGATAAACGGTTATCGAAGCTTGAGAAGATGAGAAGCATATCGTCGCGGACATCTTTCGGTGCGTTGTTGAGACTCTTCACGATCTGCTGCGCCGTCGCGAGAACTCGGTCTTCAGCTCCGGCACCACCTGCTCCGGCGGCGCTTACACTCGCCGCCGTGGTTGTTGTTGCGGCCATCTACCACCAAAAGGCTCTGGTAGAGAGAAATGGAGAAGAGGAAATTCAAAAATTGGAGAGGAAAGTGAAATCAAAACGATGAGGGCATGAATTTTAGGGTTATGAAACAGATCTTTTGGGGGAAAATGGAAGAAGAGAGAAGTAGTTTTTGCCTAGGGTTTGAGTGGAAACGAGACAGCGAAATGGAAGACAAGGGGGATTTTTGGTTGGTCTTTCCAGAAAAAAAGTCTTCGAGCGTTTTCATATTGACCAAATCGTGATAATCGTTTTTGGCATATACCGGTCATCTCCGGTTTAGTCCTCTGAGAAATTGACAACAAATAAAGAAATTTCTTTCGTTTGATATTTTATTTCATAAGCATACAGACTTTAGACTATTATACAGTTTTATATAGATGCACAATCATTGAGACGATCAAATTGAATGAGAACATACAGTTTGGTTTTGATTGTTAGCTTGTAATCTTGTATATGTGTTCACACTTTACACAACCAACATGCATCTATCTATCTGTACTCTATTCAAATATATATGTCTGCTAAAAAATGTTTCGGCCCCGTACTGTGATGACTGCAATTTTAATATTGAACAGGACATGCGATGATAACCGAATCAAATCAAATAAGGCTATGACGGGAAGCGAACTCCAAGGTTGAATATAAAAAATATGTGCGGTGAGCGTGGATCGAACACGCGGCACTAAGCCGTTATCAATATAACAGATTACGCTCTACCAACTGAGCTATCACCGCTCCAATATTACATTACATTAATGTATTATTCTTAATAGGGAACCTTAAAAATACACAAACTTAATTAAATTTGGACAAACAATACACAAACTTTTTTCGATCCCAGTATAATACACAAACTAATTTTGGAACCAAAAACAATACACCAACTTTCAAAGTGTGAAACTTTGCAAACACGGTTAACTCTCCGTTAGTGAGTTAAACGGAAGATTTAAACTATCACTAACTCTTAATAACATATGGATTATATTTGACGAAAATACTATTTTACCATTCTTTTTTATCTCTCAAAATTGATTTATCCCCATTTTAATTTTACAAACCCTAATTTCAATTTTAATTTCTGAAACTCAATTTCTGGGCACTAAAACCAATCACCAGCAGTTCTCAAAGCTTCACCAGCTTCGTTAATGGCTGGCTCGTCACAGGTATTTCGTCGAACAGGTTACATGCGCTTCTTCCTTCGATTGAACTACTCTCGAAGAACGGAAGAACAACAATCTCTGGTCACCAAGTTTCTCTCTCACCATTTCTTTGGATCCTTCGGTGATGCTTGCGGTGAGGCGTGTGTGGGGGCAATGAGAATGATGGACAGAGAAGAGTCAAATATGGAGGAGGCGATGGAGGTGCTTAAGGCATAGTTTATTTTATTTTATTTTCAGAAATTGAAATCAAAATTAGGGTTTCAAAAATCAAATTGGGGATAAATCAATTTTGAGAAATGATGAAAGGGCAAAATAATATTTTTGTCAATTATAACCCACGTGTCAGTAAAAGTTAACGAAATTTTTAATTTTCCGTTTAACTCACTAACGGAGATTAAACCCGCATTTGCAATATTTCATAATTTGAAAGTTGGTGTATTGTTTTGGATTCCAAAAATAGTTTGTGTATTGTTCTGGGACCGAAAAAAGTTTGTGTATTATTTATCCAGATTTAATTAAGTCTGTGTATTTTTAAGGGTTTTTCCCTTCTTAATAATATAATTTCTATTTAATTAGTTTGACTCATGCATGCAAAGCCTCTCAGTTCGGTGAGAGATTCCGGTGAAGCCCAAACACCGTAACCTCTGAATATTGTTGATGGTGGGTTTCACCCATCAAAGGCCCAGCACATAATCATGATTATCAAGGCCAAAAGTATCATCAAGAAGCCCAAGCCCATTGAAGAATCAGAGGAAGCCCTAGAAGCCCACTAGTAGTTTACTATAAATAGAGTCTCACTGTATACTGATTTGACATGATTTGTAATTTGACTGCACTAAATACAAGAATTCCTCTCTAATTCGCAAAGAGGTCGTACCCTGCCTACCTCACCTCAGAGAGGTCGTACTCTGCCTACCTCACCCCAGAGAGATCGTATTCTGCCTACCTCACCTCAGAAAGGTCGTACTCTGCCTACCTCACCTCAGAGAGGTCGTACCCTACCTACCTCACCCCAGAGAGGTCGTACCCTGCCTACCTCACCTCAGAGAGGTCATACTCTACCTATCTTACCCCAGAGAGATCGTACTTTGTGCCTACCTCCCTCATCGGGGTCGCACTTAGTGCCTATCTCGTTTTATACACTAAGTTCTGTTTACTGCCTACCCCGATCTAAGACTTAGGGAAATTCCGGCCCCGACTCATTTAAAAGTCCCACCTCACACTTAGTCTCCACAACATAAAAGTCACGTACCGATCTCACCACTTACAAATATGGCGACAGCTCATGCATGCGTTATCGGACAGAGAATCCCCGTCTCTCAATTTCACATCCTCTTTGCTCCGAGATCTCCAAATCCGGAGCTCGCGGCGACCAATAAACGCGCGAATTTCTGCGTATCTTTCAGCCAATCACATTCCTTCGCTTCTCCTATAACAACCCGGAACCTTAAAAAACCATCTCCGATCTGTCTTCGCCGTCGTCGATGGCCCTGAAACCAGTTCGTGTGAGGATAAGTGGGATTGGAATCGTTGGAATCGCCACTTCTCCGAGATTGAAGAAATCGAAAGCGCAGTTTCTCTTCTCAAGGTTCTATCCATCAAGTCACAGCCTTCTAAATGATGCTTATGTAACAGTTTCAACTTGAAGAGGCCATTGAAAGTGAAGACTTTGAAGAAGCAGCGAAGTTGAAAAAAGCTATTGGAGAAGCCACTGTGAAATGTGAATGATCATGTGGCTGAGATCATGTCATGTGCCAGTTACAGGTTAAAAAAATATACGTGATAACAGTCAAGTCAAGCTCTTTATGTTATCTTCTTGTACTCATTATATGATAGTTTCCTTGCAGACTACAGTACGCGAAGAGCGTTACCATGATGCTTCTAGAATATGTAGCCAGACAGGAAGTGGACTGGTAACTTTATTTTGCCTCTTTCTGGTTAAGCTTGTAAGATAGTCCTCAATCACCCAAATTATACCAAAAAAATATAACAAGTACAAAATTTCACAAACATTATAAGTGTTGCAAATGTATTAAATGACACCTACACACCTAAATCTAGAAAAGGGCAACAAGTAGATGAGCTCTTAAGCTTTTATAAGGTATTGCCGAAAATTGTTTCATGTCGATAAATCATCAAGGTAGGTAAGGTTAGTTGAATGAATATATGTTTCCTGACATAAGTGATGGTCTCACCAAGTCAATTTGTTAAGAATTTCTTCATATTATTCCCTAAATCTGTAGTCAAGAATCTATGCTTTTATCTGGACTTGGATTGGTTTAGAAGTTCAAAGCATTATCACACGTTTCTGATGTATATGTAGGTGGGCTGGTGAGTTGGTTATCCTCAAGATTCTGATGAACCATTTGGTAGAATTTTGCGTATAGAGCCAGGTGTTGGGAGGTTTATCGGCAAGAGTTACAGTCCAAGGTGCAAGTTCTGCAGATAATTTTACTTCGTTTTTTTTAATTGAGTCTGATAACTGCTTCATACAGACAGGTGGTGACTGCACCAGCTAGAACACCTCTTTTTGAGATTTTCAATGTTAAAGACAATGACGGTGTTAGACTGTTAAACCGGTTTGTGCGGAAGAAGAGGAAGTCCGGTTTAGCAATTACAAGGGAAGGAGAGACTCTAATCGACGCAGAGGATTAGAAGATTAGAGTTTGTCATTTAAATACGTGTAATCTTTTACATTTGGAATCTTATCCAGAATTGAATAACAAACAAGAGAGAGAGTGAGGTGATCGGAGAATCTGTTCTTCGGATCAAGAGAGAGAAGTCGCTCGGCGGAGGAGAGATACCTTCCCGATCCGCGTTGTAACTTTGTTATCGGAATCTATACAATATTTCCTTAACAAATTGGTGCGGTGCTTTTACGGAGGCGCGACAACGACGAAAATAGGGAAAATCGACGATCTCGCGGAAGAGTTTCACAAATCGGTGGATTCAATGGCGGAACGATGGGAGCGTCAGGAGAAAACGAACCAACAGGCGAATCAGAACTTCGCGGAGCTCAACGCGAATCTATCGAGACTCACGGAGACTTTAGCAAGGATGGAAGCGACGATAAACAATCTGGGGCCGAATCAACGAACGAATCCAACGGCACGCGATGACTTCGCTTCAACCTTCGGCGGCTTTCGTGAGGAACGTCAGAATAATCCGGTAGAACCTGGAGAAAATAGAACGATAGGTTATCGGGGAATTCACAATGTACTGGAAAATAGGATCAATATGCTGAAGCGGATTGAATTGCCTCAATTTTCCGGATCGAGTCCATATACGTGGATAAATCAGGCAGAGAGATTCTTCAAGCTGGGAAATTACAACGATGCAGAGAGGTTAGAGATATTGTTCATCACACTACAAGGTCCGGCTTTGAATTGGTTCAATAGAGAAATGAACAGAGATCCGTTTCGGGATTGGGTACAATTCAAGAGAAGAATGATTGCGCGGTTTAATCAGAAGATGGAAGAGAATCCGCAGTTAAATCTGTTTGTGTCAAACAGAAAGGTTCAGTGGTGGATTATGTGAATGAGTTTGAAGAACTTACAACGATAGTGATGGGAGTTGAGGAAGAAAATTTGGAGCATGTGTTCGATCTGGGATTGAAGCCAGAGATGCAAGAAGTGGTCAAGATGCAGAAACCTTGGGGTTTATCAGCTTTGTTCAGCACAATTATATCGATGGAAGATAGCCATTTCTGCAAGTCAATGGCTGAGATAGCTAACCCCACGAAGAGAAGCGGTTCTTATTTCCCTCTACGTTCGGCTTCTATATTCAATACGCAGAGAAATGATAGCCCAACGCAGAGCTCGGATAGCTTAAAAGGGGGATCCAAAAGCAGTGAACCGAGCCAAAATTCAAAACCACCGTGGAAAAACAATGGAGGAAGGAATTACAGTGGTATATTGAAGTTGAGTCCTGCAGAAATAGCAGAGAAATGGAGATTGGGACTTTGCTATAAGTGCCCTGAGAAATGGACAAGGGGACATCAATGCCACAACATGATGCTCCAAGTGTTTACAGTGATCAATGAAGAGGAGGTAGAGATTACAGATGAAGATTGGATTGCAGGGATAGAAGAATATATGGAGATGATGCGAGACTTAATCGAACTGTCACTTTTCTCGTTTCTGGGATTAGAGTCTCCATCGGCGACGAAGTTATGGGGAACAATTGGAAAGACAAAGGTGATAGTGATGATTGACAGTGGCACTACTCACAACTTTATAGATCCTTCTGTTCTAGGCAAAACATCTCTTGCACCAGCTAAGAACAGGAAGTTTGATTTATTGTTGGGAACTGGCATCACAGTGAATGGATCGGGCTTATGTAAAGACGTGTCACTAACCCTCTAGAATCATGAGATCACTGCAGACTTCTTTGTCATTGAATTGGGAAACACAGAAATCATTCTCGGTATTCAATGGCTTAGAACACTGGGAAAGTGTGAATATGATTGGGATAAACACGAGATGTCCTTTATCTACAATGGAGAGAAGGTTACATTGTATGGAGATCAAGAATTAATCGCAGCAGGAAGATCATTTAAACAGATGGAGACACAGAAATGGGTGGAATATGCTGAGTTAGACACAGAAATGGGAGAGTTAAATGGGTTAGAAATGAGTCAAGAAGTTCCAGAAAAGATTCAGCGACTGTTAGACCAATACCCTGAAGTGTTCTCAGAACCAACACAATTACCACCTGTACGAGGAAGGGAGCATGCGATAAACTTGATGGCAGGAACAGGGCCTATCAGTGTGAGACCATATCGTTACCCACATGCATACAAGGAGGAAATGGAGAAGTTGGTGAGTGAGATGTTGAAAGCGGGTACGATTCGACCTACCAAAAGCCCTTTTTCGAGCCCAGTTTTGCTTGTTAAGAAGAAAGATGGAAGTTGGCGTTTCTGTATATATTACATTAGCAGACAAATTTCCCATTCCACTGATAGATCAGTTGCTTGATGAGCTTCACGGTGCAAAGTATTTCTCAAAGCTAGATTTGAGAGCTGGCTATCACCAGATACGAATGTTGGAAAGAGATGTAGAGAAGACGGCGTTCAGAACAACCAATGGGTATTACGAATTCTTAGTCATGCCTTTTGGTTTGACAAATGCCCCATCTACCTTTCAGGCTTTAATGAATGAGCTTTTTCGGCCTTTCTTGGGACATTTCGTGCTTGTCTCCTTTGACGACATCTTGGTATTCAGTGCAAGTCAGGAGGAGCATGAAGCGCAGTTGAAAATCGTGATGGATATCTTTGTGGAGAATAAGCTATTTGCGAACAAGAAGAACTGTTTGTTTGGGCAAACTCAAGTGGAGTACTTGGGCCATATTATCTCGGATCAGGGAGTCGCAACGGATCCATCAAAGACTCAGGCTATGAAGGATTGGCCTAACCCGAAGACAGTAAAGGAGTTGAGAGGTTTCCTCGGTCTCACAGGGTATTATAGACGATTTGTGAAGGGTTATGGATCCATTGCGAGACCATTGACGGATTTACTGAAGAAGGATAACTTTGAATGGACAAGTTGCACACAACAAGCTTTTGAAGAGTTAAAAAAAGCTATGATGACGGCTCCAGTTTCAGCATTGCCAGATTTTTCAGAGGTTTTCGTGGTAGAGTCAGATGCCTCAGGATTCGGTGTGGGTGCAGTTTTGATGCAGAATCAGAAACCAATAGCCTATTTTAGTTCCGGTTTGACATACAGGGAGCAGATCAAACCTATCTATGAAAGGGAACTAATGGCAATCGTCTTAGCTATACAGAAGTGGAGACATTACCTCTTGGGAAGAAGATTTATTGTTCATACAGATCAGAAGAGCTTAAAATTTCTGTTAGAACAAAGGGAAGTGTCGATGGAATATCAGAAGTGGCTTATTAAATTGCTGGGATTTGAATTTGACATCGTGTACAAACCAGGAGTAGAGAACAAGGCAGCAGACGGTCTGTCACGCATTGTTCACGAGTCAGAATATAACGGCAACGGCATTATTGGCGATCACAGTTCCCGCCAATCTGCAACTCCAAGACATTTATAAAGAAATTACGGAGGATGTACAGATTCAGGAACAAGTGACGCGTGTGCTAGAAGGCAAAGAAGAGAAGAAAGAGTATGCAGTGGTTGAAGGAAGGTTGATGAAGAATGGACGTTTAGTGATTCCGCGATCCTCCTCTCATATTCCGCTCATTCTTAAAGAGTTTCACGCGGGAGTTATCGGTGGTCACTCTGGCATTTTGAAGACGATGAAGAGGATCCATAGTACTTTCTATTGGAAGAGGATGGTAAAAGACATCCAAAAATTTGTCAAAGAGTGTGATATTTGCCAAAGACATAAGTACTCAACTTTGCGTCCAGCGGGTTTGTTACAGCCGCTACCTGTACCAAATCAAATCTGGGAAGACATCTCAATGGATTTCGTCGAAGGACTTCCTGTCTCCCAAGGCGTGAACGTGATTTTGGTGGTGGTGGACAGATTGAGCAAAGGCGCTCATTTTCTGAGGTTGAAACATCTGTTCACTGCGATTGATGTGGCTTCAAGGTTTGTGCAGGAAGTGGTGAGACTTCACGGGTTCCCGCGCTCAATAGTCTCAGACCGGGATCGCATTTTCTTGAGCTCGTTTTGGAGAGAGCTGTTTCATCAGGCAGGGACGCACTTAAAGTTTAGCACGGCTTTTCATCCCCAAACTGACGGACAAACGGAGGTGTTAAACCGTTGCCTAGAGACATATCTCTGTTGCTTCGCTTCGTCGCACCCGAAGTCGTGGGCAAAGTTTTTGTGCTGGGCTGAGCTGTCGTACAATACCAACTTTCACACGGCCATAGGAACAACTCTGTTCCAAGTGATGTATGGTCGAGCGGCTCCTAGCTTGTTGCGATTTGAAGAGAAGTCGACTGCGAATTTTGATTTGGAAGTGATGTTAGAGGAGCGTGATGAGATGTTGACTGCCTTGAAATATCACTTGGTTCAGGCTCAGGCACAGATGAAGAATAATGCCGATAAACATAGAAGAGAGTTGTTGTTTGAAGCAGGGGATAAAGTTTTTTTGAAACTTCGGCCGTATCGTCAACAGTCGGTCTCCAAACGCTTGTATCAGAAGCTAGCAGCTCGTTTTTATGGCCCATTTGAGGTTTTGGAGAGGATTGGAAGCGTGGCTTATCGTCTGAAGTTGCCCGCAGAATCGAGAATCCACAATGTGTTTCATGTTTCCCAGTTGAAACCTGTTTTGGGAACGGGTCATCAGGTTTCTTTACTTCCTGAGTCTTTTGACCATCGACCGGAGCTCATTATTGAACCGGCGTCAATCATTGAAACACGTTATGACAATGGAGGCCATTTGGAGGCACTGGTACAGTGGAAAGACTTGCCGGCGCATGAGAAGACGTGGGTTCGTGCCTCGGAGTTACTCAAAGATTTTCCAGAACTTGAGGACAAGCTTCTTCTTGACGAGGGGGGTAATGTTAGACTGTTAAACCGGTTTGTGCGGAAGAAGAGGAAGTCCGGTTTAGCAATTACAAGGGAAGGAGAGACTCTAATCGACGCAGAGGATTAGAAGATTAGAGTTTGTCATTTAAATACTTGTAATCTTTTACATTTGGAATCTTATCCAGAATTGAATAACAAACTAGAGAGAGAGTGAGGTGATCGGAGAATCTGTTCTTAGGATCAAGAGAGAGAAGTCGCTCGGCGGAGGAGAGATACCTTCCCGATCAGCGTTGTAACTTTGTTATCGGAATCTATATAGTATTTCCTTAACAGACGGAGGTTATGTTATGCAGGTACTTAAACCAATCACATTTGTAAAACTAAATTTTGCAGTTCTGGTGACATAATATCTTATTACCATGTTTCTTGTATTAAGATTAGCGTTACGTAATTATACTGTAACCAACCACCCTTTGAGTTTTTGTTTTTCTCCTTCTCACATATACGCATTTGTTCAGGTGGTGTATTTGGAACATGTCAAGCAAAAACCATCCGATTCCGAGAAGTCCTATTTAAAAGCACAGCAACCATCCAATGCCTCAATTGAGAGCCCATCCATTCTAGACGTACGAGGAAGTGAAGTCCAGGTGGATAAAAAAGAAGATAGGTTACAACTACTAAATCCTCAGGAACCAACTGAAGAAGCGATTAAAAATGTGATAGACTTTCTAAAAGATAGAATCCCGGGGCTAAAAATGAGAATGGATGTTAGAATCCCCGATGAGGAGACTGTAGGCAGCGATGGTGCTACTGAGGAGCTGGTTGGAGAAGGCATTGATGAAACTAATTCTGGTGATGAAGGACAAGACGACATTGTTGAAGAAATTGCAGACCATGGAAAGCATTTTAACACTAAAGTTTTGTTCGGAGGGGTTCTACATGACACAGAGGATTCCTCTATCGAGGATGAGCTTCTCCGTGTTTCGGCATATATAACAGATACTGAAAGAGATTCCTTTATCTTGCATGTTCCTGGGAGAAGTAAGAAAGGTATTGATACAAGAAAGAACACAGTATCCAAGGAACAAGTCTCCGCTCAAGGAATTTCAGATCTGATGCCACCAGAGGTTGCTGAGGCTCTCTGGGGTCTCGAGAAAGCTCCTTTGAAGGTAATAAGCTTGACTGAGGAAGGAGTTTGTGAATTTTAGCAGCCTTTTGACATAAGTAGCATTCTGTGTGATGTATATATCTGCTTGCCATGAATAGATTCTGCTCTCAGAACTATATCACAGTTTTAAAATACATATAGGAAGATTCTACCCGTTTACAGTTCCATATTAAGATCTACAGTCATTGTTCTAGGTATCAAGAAATGTGCGAGAGATTGTCAAGCTTGCTATAAATCAGGCACAAAGAGGAAACCGGCTCTTTGAGTATACATCATTTAATAGAATCGTATCTCCTGAAAGCGACCTAGACCCTTTTGAGGGTAAGCATGTTGTAAATTAGCATTAGGTTTGAATGTGTTTGCACAACTCAACTTGGGACATGTTCTGCATATGAAGTGCAGGCCTATATGTGGGTGCGTTCGGACCTTATGGGACAGAGGTAGTACAACTTAAGCGTAAGTATGGTCGGTGGGATGATGCAGAGGGGAGTAACTCGTCAGATACAGAGTTCTTTGAATATGTCGAGGCTGTGAAGTTGACAGGGGATCCAAATGTGCCGGCTGGCCAGGTTTATTTTTACTTTTTTTGAATTTTCAGTTTCTGAGTATTTATTTTGTGGAATGAAGAACTTAAAGATAGGATCACAAATTCTTGGTAGGTGACATTTCGTGCAAAGATTGGGAAAGGGAGTCGCATGAGAGATCATACAATGTACCCAGAGGAAATGGGAGTGGTAATGACACACAATCGGAACAAGAGCCAAAAAAAAAACAATATTTAATTTCCTATTGAAGCAATAGCATGTTGATATATGAAACTGAAAGCCCATCCAAAAGTTGTTAACGTTTATGCAGCTTTCGAGTTACGTAGGAGAAGGAAGGATCGCAGACTTTGGGGTTTAAAAACCCAAAATGGGTCGGAGGGCAGCTTTTAAAACTCAATGGAAAGGTAATAGTATTATATAGAAACACAACAGAGCCAAGCATCATTATTTTGTTTGTCTCCAGTGTTAATGGTTTTTTTATATTTTGTGAACAGGGAATGGGACCATATGTGACGGGTGTGGATCTTGGATTTATATATTTTGGCCCTGAGAAGAGTTTCTTGGTCATTTCCAACCGTCTGAGACTGCCTGAGTGAACAATGCCTTAGTGACCAATAAGCGGTAGTTTCATTGTAATTATATTCTCCTTTGGCTTTGTTTCATACACTTAACACTTACACTTACCAATTTTAAAGCAGTGTTTAGAATGTGGAGATCTATTTGTTTTGTTTTTGTTTTTACCAATAGGACGAATGTAGAAGAAAATTGCTACGACATAGATATTCCATCCGAATTTTTGATGTGGTTTTATTAAAGATATTTTTGTTTTAGAAAAGTACATAGTAACTAATTTCAAGCCGAAACAGAACCTTTAGTTGCTTTTAAACAAAACAGAAAATCTGTTGAAAGAGAAATTCAGATTGATTGAGTAAGTTATAACTTTAGCTGACAACTGTGGTGATTTGATGTTTGAAACCCCTCAACAAAAGATGGTTCGGATAAAAACCCCTCAACTGAAAATGTATTGTTAAAACCCTTCAAGTAACTTTATTTTAATGTATTGATCCCTCCGTCTATATTGTCGTTAAAAACTTAAAAGCATCGTTAGAATTAATTAAAACTGTGAGTTTTGATTTTGTGAAAAAACGACACAAACAATACTGTAGTTACATAAAAACTATGCGTTTAAATTTTAGCAATACAGATTAATTTTAAACAAAAACACGTTAACTTCAAATTCCAAACAAAACAAATTATAGATCAAATTAAAACAGAGACACACTTGGAATTCAAACAAAACAGAGACAATCAGGTTTTCCAAACCAAAGATACAATATCCTTTGACAATCAACACATCCAACCTTGTCCCTTTGATGTTAATGTGTATAGCAGTAAGTCCATTTCTTCTCTCTCACTGAAAAGTTGTTATTCTTGATTTGCATGTTTTTGGGGATTTTGCCATGGTTTTAGGTGGATACTTTCCAAAACCCTATGATGATCCAGTTAATGTGTGGGAAGATGAGTCAATCTCTTTCAATCCACTGGAAAACGACTATGTTGCTGGCGACAATGCGAGCCTCCTCGGTTTCTCACAAGTGAGCATTTCCTCTATGTTTTTCTGATAATTAAATCATTTGATAGTTTGGAAAATCTTTACCTTAAACTGTTGTTTTTTGTGTTGATTTTTTTCGGATCTTAGCCAAGTCATGGTTCTCTTCTGAGAGATGGAAACCTCCTTAGATACACGCCAATAAAGGATCTTTCGGGGAATGACTCCTTTCTTTATACAATAGTTGATATCAATGGGAACTTAGCGGCAGCTACAGTACACATCTTTATTTTTACTGCTCCTCCTCAGTTTGTCTCTTTTTCCGGAGGACTGCAAGCAACTGAAGATCTCATCAGTCCTAGATCCGGGCAAGTATTCTTCATTTCTCTTTTGCTTAGATATGTTTACCTTAACATTCCACTTTCAGCTAACGTAATCTTATTCTTGAATGTTATTACAGTGGCTTCTCTGGTCTGGAGATAAGCTACTCAGACCTGATGGAGAACATTTCAGTAACGGTACAAGCACTTTCAGGTTCGGTCATTCTGTCTCCTATGCTGATGCAGTTTAGGCAGCCTGCAAGTGGAAGACTTTCAGTTTGCAATGGAGGTGAAGATGGAAGGCTCTTGATCTTAGAAGGACAAATAGGTGTTATCAATCCCGCTCTTCAGTCCATTCAATATCTTGGGTATAGTCACATATATTCATTGTTAAATCACAAGAATGTTTCAAACTTCACTCTCATTTCAATTTTATATTTTGTCCTTTGGTCCTGTCTGCCTTAGAAACGAGAATTTTGCTGGAGTTGATTCTCTTCGGCTGTCCACAAGGAACAAGAATGGGATCAATCAACTGGATGTTCCGGTTTTCGTTGAACCGGTCAATGATCGACCGTCTATTGACGTTCCTCAGTATATAATGCTGGAGAGTAATGGGGATGATTCGCTCATCTTTTACAGGGAAACAGACAAATTCAACTTCTCAGTTGGAGATCCAAATCTTGCTAATTTTCCCGGTAATGTTAACTACAAAATTAACATTTGAGTACTTAGCAAGAATGCTTTTTTGGACTGATGAATGTAAAATGTTCAGGTGGAGATTCTCTTTTCTTAGTAACGTTTTCTGTGGAAGTCACTGACGGGTTTCTGCTGGCTAACTTGCCGTCTGAGCTTATAAACTCAACAGAGCTAAAGCTCAGAAACGTATTCCAATGGCAGCCTATTCAGACTTATACCGCCATTTCTAAACAAGGGAATGTCAAAGCAAGTGGGATCAGGTTTCGTGGAACTATGCTGCAATGCAACGACCTCATGCAACATCTGCTCCATCACGTAAAATCAATCATCCATCTTTCAACTGAATGTTTATGGTTCCTCATATTTTACATTCTTATGACGAATTATGTGTAGGGAAGAGAGAACGGAGCGGTCTTGACCCTGAAACTGAGTGATATGAGGAACTACGGGTGCTTCCTTGACTACACCGAGAGAATTTCACTGCCTCTACACGCGAAGGCTCACGTAAACCTCATCAGAAAGAGACCCTTGAGTTCCCTTGCAGCTCACGGTACGTGTATGAAATACCTGGAGTGGTTCCGAATTCGTTTTTTTTTTCTTTTAAATCCTGAAAACTATAAGAGATGGAATGTATTTGTTTAGTTTGATTTGGTTTCAAACATAATATTGGTTTCTCAAATAGTAATAAACTTTTGTCACTTGGTCGCAGTTCTTGGATCTGTGATTGTGGTGGAGTCCCTCATTGTATTCTCCCTCGCTACTGTGCTTCTGTTCTTCACTTGCAAATGTGCATTCCTACTCGTACACGAGAAAAGAAACGAGCAGAAGAATTCGCAGAAACCGACGGTAATTAAAACACTCATTTCTCTTGTGTTTTTTTTTTTTTACACTTTACAGCAATCTATGTCCAAACCATAAGAAAACGGTAATTCTCTCTTCTGGAGCAGGACAATGCCCAAGTGTTAAACGACAATGTCTCAACAAGAACAATCACAGGTTGTCTCCCGGAGAGTATTTGGAATTGCCATCCGCTGCAGAGGTATATTATGTGTATATTTTTACATTTGGGGGAAATTGTTCAGTTGGATTAACGTATTCGTTTTGTGGTATAGACAAGTTGGTCAAACTTCTGGCGAGCATAATCCGTCTCCAGAGATTAACATTTCGCCGTAAGAGGTAGAGAAGGCTAGAAGTTCATGAATCTGAGGCAACAATATTACATATTGTAAAGTTATCTCCGGAAGAGTCACATGGAAGGGTAATATATTAACCTTTAACCGAAATAAGAACATCATCACAGAACATTCATGTGCCAAGATAAGAAAGCCATAGATTGCTAGGCACATATGTTTATTTGGTCATACTTATGTTGTAGACTTGTAGTAATACTCATTGATTATTTGATATTACAATTTTGGCACCAAATGTCTAGTCGACCAAAATTGATTGGAGGTGAAACTTCCGGGGATGTATGATCCGAGCTAGCTAGAGATCTTGAGAAATGAGAAAAAGAAACAAGAATAAAATAAAAATCAGAGTACCTTTAATTTTTTTTTAAATTACAAACGACTTAAAAACTTTTTCAGATATGTCAAAATAAAAACACATTTATAAAACCTTTACATTTTGTTTGAACTTTTTAGTGGGAGTGAACTAGAGATTAGCTCGGAATATTAAACAATACTTTCTAACAAAATAAAAAATACATTTATAAAACTTTTACTTTTTAGTGTGATTGAACTTAGGGTCCCGAATATAAAACAATACTTTCTAACAAAAACTATAGGATTTTAAATTTGTTATAACTCAAGTGACTATATTTTTTTCTACCATAGTTATTTGTCTATAGATGTTACAAAAACAAAACACATTGAGCTACCACTTACCATGAGTTGAGGTTTCAACTTTCAACTAAAATCTTTTTTTTTTTTAACTTTTTTTTTATAGTTTGCAGTAAACCAACAAATATCAAAAATCGTATATCCGATTCTATGCAGTTTTTTATTTAGAGTAGTGAAAATTATAATGACCTTATCTCACATTTTAAATAAAAATAAATGTGAATATCATGAGAATTATATGGTATATTCATATCCCAATTTTTTTTACAAAGAAGAAAGATGACAAGAATTTGGTATGATATTCCCAATTGTCAAAAAAGAAAAGAAAATATGACACAAATTTGGTATGGCATATCCCAATTGTTAAAAAAGAAGAAAATATGACAAGAATTTGGTATGATATTCCCAATTGTCAAAAAAAAATGATACAAATATGGTCTGACATATCCCAATTGTTAAAAAAAATGAAAATATGACAAGAATTTGGTATGATATTCCCAATTGACAAAAAAAAAGAAGAAAATCTGACAAGAATTTAGTATGATATTCCCTGTTAGACAAAAAAGAAGAAAATCTTACAAATTTTGGTCTGATCTATTCCAATTGTCATAAAAAGAAGAAAATATGACTAACAAGAATTTGGTAAAATATTCTCAATTGATTTAAAAAGGAAGAAAATATGAACATCATAAATTAATTTTTAAAAAAATGATTTCCATTTGGAACAGCTATTATAACATTAATCAAACATTTTTTTTTTCATTTAGAAAAATACAGAAATTTCTAGCGTCGTCTATAAATACTGCCGGCGTCGTTGTTCATATCTCACACCCTCTTATACTCTTTCACCATCTCGTTAAATCGTTTACTCGTCCTTCTTTCTTCAATCGCTCTTTCGATTTTCTCTTAGATCGACCAGACTTTCGCAGTTCTCTTGTCGTTTTCGCGTCCAAACTGTAAGTATTATGTCTTGTGTCGATTTCAAATTACAATCACTGTTAAACCCTTAGTTGTCCTTGTATTAAAAGTTCCAACATTTTAGCCTAGATTTGACAGATTTAACTGATATTTTTGAGGAACTTTATTGTTTCCCGTCGAGATAATCGATGTAGTGTAGAATCACTTAATTTTGAGGGTTTTGATTATATAGTTTCATCCGAAATCTTTATCTCAATTTGCGTCACAATGATGATTTTGTGAGTTCTTTGAGTTTTTCTTCTTAAACTCAGTATGTATATCTCTTCTTTAGGTAATTTTTTCATTGAGCCTTTGTAAATTTTGCTTCATATAGGTGTTTGGAAATGCTGAAAAATGGAACCACAAATACAAAGGCGAAGCAAAAGAAGAGGACGTTTCCGGAGAGCAACAGTCAATTTTGAGATTCGATCAAGACCATGGGCCCATCATTATAGGAAAGAGAAGAACAGTGCAGATAAGCTTGACAGGACAAGAGCGGAGGAGAGAAAAACAAAAGATCTGCTTATGGAATACTATTGCAAGAGCTTGTATTCACCTGAGAGAGGATGGTTCTTTAGGATAAGAGAGAATGAAGAGGAGAGATCAAAAGTTAAACTCAGCGGTTCAAAGAGGAACGAGAGGGAGCTATTCCTGACCAATGAATGCATGAATGTACAGCTAAAGGACGTAAAAGGAACAACTAGTCTTGAGATTCGATCAAGGCCATGGGGACATCATTTCGGAAAGAGAACACGCTACGATATGCTTGACGGGCAAGAGCAGAAGATAGAAAATCCAAAGGTCTGCCCACAGAATACTACTGCAAGAGTTTGTATTCACCAGAGCGAGGGGGCTTCTTTAGTCTTCCACGAGGTGATATTGGTCGTGGTTCTGGTTCTTGCAATTCATGCAGGATAAGGGAAGCGGAAGCGGAAATATCAAAAATATCATCCTGTTTCTGAAAGATTCAGTTTAATCTTTGATATTTCCGCTTCCTCTTCCCTTGTCCTGCATGAATTGCAAGAACCAGAACCACTACCTATATCACCTCGTGGAAGACTAAAGAAGCCCCCTCGCTCTGGTGAATACAAACTCTTGCAGTAGTATTCTGTGGGCAGACCTTTGGATTTTCTATCTTCCGCTCTTGCCCGATCAAGCATATCAGTAGTGGTGTTCTCTGGTGAATATCAGTTCATCAGTAGGATTGACATATACATAATCATCAATTCATGTGGCAACTTCCATCAAAGATCCTCAGCCATCGGGTTATGTCCATAAGCCTAGGGAACATCATATGAGTTCGTAAAGAAAACAAGCCACAAGCATAGGCAGATTGGGAATGCAATGCGAACCCGTACTTCTCAAGAAGACTCTTCAACACCAACCCTAAAGGCACCCATTATATAGTACTAGTCATTGCTCTCGGACAAAGAAAGCCTTACATCTCGAGTAGCCTCTTCAACACCAACCATTGAATTTGTCGACATAAAATGTAAAGAAAGTTGTATATTCCATATTGAAATGAAAAAGTGAAAAACTAATTTGTCTTGGGTCTCGATTATGGTACCAATAAAATAAACAACGATGTCTATGATTTTATCATCGCCTTGCGAATTGGGTAAAAGATTTATGATATAATGTTTCAGTAAGATAAGAACTCCATCACTACGACTGATTCGATTCAGATTGTCACATGCTACTCATTTTCATTTATTATTTCTTTTCCTTTTTACAAAATTTTAAGATATCTCATGGCCCTCAAGACGATGATTTCCTTTGAATAGGTCCTAAGTCATAAGTCATAACACATAGCAATCATCATTTTCTATAACTTTTAAACCTCAAAACTCGACAAGTTGAATTTTCACATGCTTTGAGTTTAAAATAAATCATATCCACGATCGTGTAACTACGAATGACTACACTTAGTAAACAAATTGTAAAAAACCCGACAAGATAAATTATTTATCTACAATCAAAATAATGACCTCATGTATTTATGTTATAATCCGTGTTTCACATTATATAATTTGAATTTTTTTCCAAAATGAAAATAAAGTCAATCCAGACACTTGAAATATACACAAGAACAATAATAAATAATCATATCAAACTAAAATTAGGTAATTGTAAACTCCTTTAGCTAGTAACTGTAAAACATTAGGGCCAGTAGACCCAAAAATCAAATCATTTTTTTTTGTTATTTCTACCTTATCTTAGCTTTTGTAGCAATTATAATAATCACACCACTCCAAACATCGAACTACAATTTCTTAAATCTTAGCTTTTGTTACTTTCTTTTTCTTCTTCCATCTCTATGATTCTATAAAACTGATGTTTATCATCACGTGACCAAGTAAACGGGACCCGACATAGAAGAGGCACCGATCCTCTGCTGCCGCTCCATGTTAAGCTCCCGTAGACTCAGATACGGAATCGCTGTCGTCACCGTTAACGATGGTCTTACCGTCCGGTACGGCGTGCTCGAACCGCTCCAGCTCTCCGTCACGTAAACCGACCCGATATCGAACCGGCTCCGGCCCGAAAATTCCTAGCCCTCGCCATGTGTACGTCGCGATCGTCTCCGATCGAAAATTCCTGGCGTAGTTAAAAACGTTTGAAACATATGCGATGGAATGAGACTGGAAAGGACGGGACAAACACGACGGACGAAACTGGAAAGAACAAATATGTTGAAAATGAACGAAATGGGACGAGATTGGACATGACGGTTAAATTTGTATAACCCTAATTATATTCAATTAATATGTGTTTAATATTTTTGAAACAATAATAAATTATAGAAGGAAAACAATTTGCAGAAAAACAATAAAATTAACTCAACAATATAAGTTGACACTTTACAATTCAAGGGTTTTCGGGATTTTTTTTGGAATTTCGAATTTTTCGGGTTTAGACATATTAAAAACGTTTGGGTTTTTTTAAATTTTTTATTAGGGTTTTTGGGTCGGACTCAGATTTAGAATTTAGATTTTCTTCACAAAATCGCAACGTCACATTGCGCGTTTGCGCGGGTCTTCTACTAGTCTTTATTAGTCGAGAAGCAAATGGCATTATGTATAAATTTTGAGAAGAACAGATGAGGTACCTTATTGATTTTAGTACTCTGTGTCATGAGAAGCCATTGCTTCTTGTACCAAGCATTAACATGTGATAAAGAAAAGTAAAACAGAAGTGGAAGAGAAAAGAAAACAGAATATAAAATCAGGAAAACTTCTCTTTATCACGACAATTATTTACAACGACATGTCACTTGTGATTTTACATGGCCGAACGTAACCTTTCGTAATGGTACGTGACTATTCATAATTGAATAACTACCCAAACTAAAGTCACGACTGTTACATAAACCTTTGACCTTTCGATATAACATCATGATAATCGGTTCCCGTTTTGTGCTGTGCGTGAATCTTATCCACGTCTCTTCGGTTATCTCTATAACCTTCTTCTCCTACGTAAGCAGCCTCTTTCATTGATTGGTGTTTTCGTTTTGATCACCATCACCACGGTCCACGGCTTTAACCTTTGTCTGTTTGACTCACCTCAGTTTTCTCTAACCGTAGTTTGTTTGATTCCTTGAACCCCTTTGCTGAGTAGCCTTACTATGTCTCTTCCAACAAGCGGCTTCTCCATGTGAACGTCTTTTTCTAAAAACTCCACACCACTTTTTGCGTTTTTTTTCTGAGTCGCTTTGATCTGTTTCTTCCAACAGACGCCTTCTCCGTGTGATTGTGTTTCTTACAAACACACGTTACACAACCCTTTTGTTTCTATTTCTGGTTTAAAACCAGAATTCCATCTTTTATTCTGTGAAGAAACAAATCTTCATGTGCTTGAAGGGTTCCTACCAACTCTGTTACCCAGAATGTAGTGGACTCCTTCATTGATGGTTTCTTCCAGTGACTTCTCAATTGCAGCCCTTCGGGTGTTTATTTTTTAATGTGCCGGTCGGTTCAGAAATCCCTCTTTAACCATCACACACATGTGGGACGTAAAACTCACACTTAGAAATTTGATAGTAGTTTAGGGATGAGGAAGAAGTGGGTAAGATTCTCACAAGCACTCAAGAACTTAGACTCAAGAATAAGCAAAGATGGACTTTATATTGATCAAACAAAGATTAAGGTTACAAGGTATTTCTGGGAATACAAGAGCTCGAGAGCGTACAATGATAGACTTTAACAAGTGTTGAAATGAGTCAAAGATGATGAATGATGATGAGAAGAAGATCCCCTTTCTGCTTGGACATCTGCTCCTTTTATAGTTCTCCTGCGAGTGCTTGTATCTCGCCTGCTTCCATGATCTTCGGGATCTCCTGCTGCACGTGCTCCGGATTTAGTGGGATCTCCACCGAGCAACTAACTCCGGATTTCTCGGGACTACGCCGAACGACCTTGACTAAGTCCTGAACGATACCTCTTACGTACGGTAGCTCGATATCTCGACAGCTCGTAACTCGAGGTCTCGCCAGCTCGATGAAGATTGGAATGGACCTTTAAACTGGTGAGCCCAGGTAAACAGACTTTATAGAATCGTTTAATGGATCTTAAGCAGGAAGAGATTTAGGTGCTAAATCTGGGTCCAACAACACAGCTCTTGCGTCTCTAAAATGGCCTTCATCTTCTTACACCAGAAAACCCTCTCCATCAACATCAGTATCACTTTTTGCAATCGTTGCAACCTTGTGCCATGATCTCTGTTTTTGTTTGAATTTTTACTTGAACCTTAGCGGAATTATTGCTTCTCTTTGTGCTTCAGTTGGCCCTTGAATCATAAGGCTCTGATACTAAATTGGTTTTTATGCTCTGTATCATGGGAAGCCATTGCTTCTTGTACAAGGCATAAACATGGAAGAGAAAAAGATCGCTTAGTAACGAGTGAACAGAAAATTTTGTGGAACGAAATACAGTCATCCATTCAGATGGTTAGAATCTTCAACTACCAGCAAGATCAGGCTAGCAAATAGTAACTAACAATTCTCTTTATAAGGTTAGATTCTATGAGATGCATCCAAGTGGGGATGTTGTTTTTGATCCCATGCAAATTGTGATAGTCTTCAAATTCGGTAGATCTAGAGGAGGGCGAGGATTATTGTAAATTTACGAGTTTGTGAATTTGGTTATTAAAGACGATGTAGAAACAAATATGGTGAAAACTTACTATCAAAATACAAGATTGAGACAAAGCTGATAGTTAAATTGAAAACTGAGAAAAAATGTACTAAACAATATATATAGAAGTGAAAAGACATAATTATTAAAAGTTGCTAGTTTGTGGAAGCGTTTTAGTTTCATTTTGTCTACTTTGATAAGAAAGTATTACATATTTGTTTTAACTTTTGAATGAGAAGATCATTACCACTTTAGAGTAGCCAACTAATTAATCGACTCCTCTCTTTTCATTCGTGGCATCATTAACATTGGCTAATCCAGAATTAATGATTGAAATCTGCTTCACTATCTCTTTAAGTGCGATCTCATCTTTAAGTATAGAGGTATGCGAGATTCCACCAATCTCTACAGTTTTCAAGCTCTCAACTCTGTGAATCAACTCCAAAGCTTTTAAGCTCGCCAAATTGACAGTTCCGTCTCCATCTCCATACTTAATCTCTGGTTGCTCATCAAATCCTCCTTCACCATACACCAAAACCTCCGGAGTATCAACTCCTTTCCCGTATATGCAAGTGACCGGCACTCCAGGAGTCACAACTTCCTCTGTTAAAGGCAACACTCTTGTCTTGTAAGGGACAACTCCTTCAGAGAACCCAATGTCTCCAAGAAACCGATCCATCTCGTAAGCTGTGTAGTTATCCCGGGGAGTAACAACAAGCGGTTTACTTCTGTCGTGAAACACATTGGTAGATGGAAGTAGCCACTGGTTACTCTCGGATCTCCTCTGCTGCGGCCTGACCAGCAAAGGGTTAACAAAAGGAACACCGAGTGTGTTTCCAGAAGCAAATGTCTTCATCTGCTCAACCGTACCACCCCATGGCGCAGCGAGTGCAACAAAGTGTTTGATGTACTTGCTGCGCCATGAAGGGGTGGTACGGTTGAGGAAATGGAGGACGAAAAGGCCTCCTAGGCTATGGGAGAGGAGTATCACTGGCTTTCCATTGTTCTCGCTGCTCGTTTTCTCCACCAAATTTTTGAGGTCTTGTAGGTATTGTGAGGCTACACGAGTTGGATGGCCCGACGCAGCAAAGCCGTACCTGAAGTCATATGGAGCTCCCAGGATAGTTTGGTCGTTAACATATTCGCTGTCTTTCTCTAGAGCTTTCACCAAATGTGACATGTAAGATGTGGCATCTCTGCAGCAAGTGACACCTTATTGTTAAGCTACATTTAAGTAATTGATGTGGCATCTCTGCCGCAAGTATTTGATGCATAAACCATAAAAATGTATCTTGTGCACAAGATACTGGTTTTAGACAGTTTACGGTTTGATTCTTTTTCCGTTTTTTGTGCTGGTTTTATTAGCTTAATATTGATTTCACTCTTTGATTGTGACCCCTAACATTCACCTTACAATAATCTTCTCAAGAAATTAAAAGCCCTTTTCTTTCATTAATGTCCCACAACGAAAACGAGTAACAAGAAATGTTGGAATGGACTAGTACTACTAAATGTTGGAAGGGACTAGTACTATACTAACCGGAGAAGAGGGTTGAGGTAGAGAAGGGATTTGGTAGAACCGAAATTGCAAACACGGGTGTGTACACCAGGAGCGTTTTGATAATCATCCAAATCGGCGTCATAGTACAACATCATTCGCTCGTTGAAGCACTTGGTGAAGGGAGACAATAGCACCGATGGATCGAACCATAGCCTGAACCATCCACCACTCTTCTTGCGGATCGGGCATAACCAGCTGCTACACCAGACGCTCGTTGGCTTGTAGTCTTGTTCAAGTCTTGCCTCTAGCTGATTACCTCCGTTTCCTGGGATTAGAATCACAGGGTAGATGTTGTTACCCACAGCTTGACACATCGAGGTCATTAGGAGCATCTCTATGAGTATAACTACCAAACAAAGTGAAGATGGTTTGTTCATTTTCTTGACAAGAAACAGAGTCCGATAGTGATGGGTCTGCAAAGCTTGAGATTTAAAGAGGAAGGTCCATTGAATTTGGAATGAGTAATGTGTCTAATACGTTTGTATGGCTTATAAGATAAGTTGTATGTGAGTATGTGGTGATAATGGAACCCGCTTACTCGTCTGGAGACTCTGCAGATATTTATTTCCCATTCTTTCCCTAAACCCTACAAAACTTTCTTCTAACCAGATCATGTCGTGTCCACGCCATTACCATTTGAAAAATGTAATTTCTGTTTCGTATTTTTCAGGTCATAGTACAATTGTACAAATTCCATTATTCAATAAATCCAAATGTTAATTTTGGTACCAATATATATTATACATATTTGAATATAATTTGTAATGCATAAAACGTCGACTACGCTGGTCGATAGACTACAAATCTTATTCATCAGCCAAAATTATGGGTGTGAATGGTAAGCAAGTTAGAGTAAACCAATTTACTCTATCTCCTCCACACTAATTAGAATAAAATTGTTTTTGTTAGAGCATTTCCAACCCACCATCAAATCTCCCATTAAAACTTATTTTAGTGTGAAATCCATTTCCAATCTACCCTTATTTTTGACATCAAAATGAGGGAACATCATTTTTTCCCTTATTTATAGTGTAATCTCATTTATTCCCTTATTTTTGATGTTAATCTTTTTTATTTGCATATTGATCCTTCAAATTTAGTTTTTTTTTTAATTTACAACTTAAATAAGTTATAATTTTTGTTTCATTTGTTTACTAGAATTAATCATAAAATATTTTTTAGAAAATGACATGATTTATATGATACAAATAGATTATAATTCAGTTTTATAGCATTATAAAGTAAATAGTAGGTAACTCTAGAAAATTATATAAATGAGAAATTATTGAAATTGTTTTGTATTTTTAATGAAGTAATGTAATTACTATGTATAATAATATTTTAATTTAAATAATATACTAATTTATGGAATTTATTATAAGAATAAAATAAATGGGGCTAATTTGTAAAGCTTATAAATTAAAATGTTTTTACAATAAATTTAGATTTAAAATATACCTAGAATATTCCCTTGGAGAGAAACACAACATCATTCTAAGGAAACACTAAAATGATGGAAAATATAAAAGAATACATTGGAGATAGTCTTATCAAATGACTTTGATTTTTTCCAGCTGAAAATTTTAGGGAACTTGCAGTCAATAACAATATTGTGAACTGTGACAGATAACCATATAATAACCATATAATATTCCAGATAATTAACAAAGTAACCATATAATAGGCTTGACTAGAATATAACTTATATTTTGAGTGATTTACACTTTACAGCTATAAGTACTTTTGTCTTTTTTTCTTTCTACACTTATAAACACTTTATGCTCTTAGATGACAAAACACCTCTTTCTTCTCTTCTTTAATTTGGCTTTGTTTACTTTTCTTGGTTCTTGTTTTACTTTACTCTTTATTTCTTACTAGGAGAGTACCTGCCGGATGAGCGGATTTTTAATTATTTTACAGACTATTTATTTGTTAAAGAGTCTACAATTTGAATAAATATTTGTTAATTAATTTAACATCATTAATAGTTATGCTTCTTATTCGTACATTCATTTTACTAAAAAAATGTATATTAGTTTTTTTTTTACACTCGATTAACTAATCCAATACACAAATATGTGAACTGTTATAAGACAATTCTACAACGGACGATTCCACCATTTTCAAAGGCTCCCGGCCGACGGCTCCACGTGCACAATTCTGTAAACTTCCAGTAAGTTTGTCTCCAATAATATGCATAAATTATTAGCAAATCGCATCCGCCGGGATTCGAAACCTAGACCTCCTGGTGTAGAAGCATTAAATCCCTTCAACCATTAGGCTAAGAGGCTTCCACAAGAAATGTTTATTAGCTATGCGCGGGTTTATATATCATAACTTTTTCTATATAGTTGCTTCAAAACGTTTTCACATTATATATGTCTGTTGTGTTTGTATTGTTTTAGACTAAAATACTATATTTGACATAAGCGACTAAATTACATAAGAAACTTAACTCTCCTATGAGCATCATTCAGCTCTCCACTACTATTGTATATAATCCATATTCCAACCGCAAGCACATGCTCTAAATTGGTTCCCACCTTGTTTGTTTTTATAACTTTCGCATCTACAAAAGAACACAAACAATGATATATAGCACTTGATTCACATACAATATGTACCTAAATACACTCATCTGTTGGCTTTGTATTTGCTTTCTCTGTGATCTGATTCGAACAAGTGTAATAATAGGCTTAAACTTGATACTAAAGCTTCTTTTTTATTAGTAAATGATGTAGATTGATATAATGTTACAAAAAAGAATCAGAAACAAGAATCGAAACCCTTACATGATCACACTTATTTCCCTGTGTTAATACATATATCGATTTTAAACCCAAAACAAAGAAAAAATGTTCAGCTTCTACTTCTACTTCTACACTACTCTTAATTCACCAATAACCTCCACAAGAACACTTCCCCTGTTTGAAATGATGAAACCTGCTCGCATCTCTCACTACAATCTCTCTTCCCGTAACCAAAGATATAAACTCAACCACCTTGTGACAATCTTTACATATCCTATGGTTCTGAGTTATCTGCAACTGATTCCATTCTCGCGTGTTCACCAATCCATAAGCTATCGCAAGCTTCTCGCTGTGATACCTCACTACTCGCTCCTCTCCTTCAGTTACATCCACGTCTGGTAAAAGGCTTCTCTCCTCCGCACAGTACCCATACTCTGTTATCTCTTCCATTAGCTCATCAACCTTCTGATATATTTGCCTGTTAACCACATTTCAAGGTAAATGAGAGTGAAACAAAAGACATGCAAGCTTATATACTATTATACCTTTTCGTCGTCTCACTGTAAGACTCACACTCATCTCCTGAAAGAAAACTGTGACTCTGATCTCCAACCTCAACCCAAGAACAAGCAGGCATCATTCTCAAACCTCTGCTCTCCAACGCATCCAAAACCCCCGCGGCTTCCGCGGTTTTCCCCATACTATTATACACATTATACATCACAACGTAGCTTCCAAGCTTCTCTGGCTCCATTCCATAGAGTTTCTCAGCAACCACTCTTCCGAGCTCCAAGTTCCCATGCATCCTACACGCATTCAAAAGCGCCGCCCACATGTTAACCGTCGGTTTCAGAGGAGCTCTTCTGATGAAAGCAATTGCTTCATCTAACAAACCGTCTCTCCCCAAAATCTCAACCATACAAGCGTAGTGCATCGCCCTCGGTTTGATCCCATGAACCTCTCCCATCGACAAGAAAATCTCCCACCCTCGTTCTGATAAACCGGAGTAAGCACAAGCCGATAGAACCGCCAAGAACGTGACGTGGTTCGGCGCGACGTTCGCGGTTGTTACCATCTTCTCGAACAAGCTAACCGCGTCCGCTCCTCTACCGTGATTCGCGTATCCACCCATCAAAGCGTTCCACAAGATTATGTTCTTCCTCGGAAGCTGATCGAAAACGTGTCTTGCAGTGTCTACTCTCCCCCATTTGCTGTAGAAATCCACAAGCGCCGTGTTCGCAACGATCTCCGACTCGAAACCGCTCCGAATCAAACAAGCGTGCGCTTGCTTAGTAAGCTCGAGCTTAGCAAGCCTTGTGGAGATCCTTATCATAATCGAGAGCGTGAACTGATCAAAACAAGCACCTGACTCTCGCATCTCATACAACAAAAACAGAGCTTCCTCGCTGAATCCATGGAGCGCGTAACCAGCTATAATGTTATTCCAAGAAACCGTCGTCTTCTCAGGCATGTGATCGAAAACTCGTCTCGCGTCCTCAACATCTCCACACTTACTGTACATATCAATCAACCCGCAAGAAACAAAAGTGTTATCAACAGCTCCTAACTTCAACGCACAAACGTGCAGTTGCTTCCCAACGTGGATCGAACCTAAACCAGCCGAGGCACGGAGGATCACCGGAAACGTGTGCGTCTCGCAACCGGAAAGCTCCTCCCACATCATCTTAAACAGCTTCAGAGCTTCTAAATAGTTACCGAAATTGACGAAGCCAGAGATAATCGAGTTATAAGTAAAAAAGTTTCTCTCAGACATTTCGTCGAATAGCTTACGTGCTTCTATAATCATCCCGCATTTCACGTGCATTAACAAGATCTTGTTCATCATGTATTGCTCTGGCTCAAACCCGTTGCTCGTCATGTAGCCTAAAACCCTTTTCACACACCGAATCGATCTCAGACGTATACAAGCTTCCACTAACGCATCGTACGTACTACTCCCAACGCGAACGTTACCTCGAATCTCCAGAATCTCGAACAACTCAAACGCTTCTCTGAGCCTGTTGCACAAAACGAACTTTTCGATCTGGCTACATATCCTGATCTGGGTATCATCCAAAACCGGATCTTCCGATTCATCGGTTTCTGTAATTGGTTCCGGTTTAAGCTTTCGATTCGGTTTCAGCCGTTGAACTAGAGAAGAACAGGTGATTCTCGCGAATGGGTTTTTCCATCTTCTTCGACGGATCGAGAAATCGTATCGAGAAAACCGCGGGAAACTGAAAACGTTGGGATCGGAATAGTTAGAGTCACGACTATTACTCTGAGTATCGTCTAACCTTAAGCTCTGATAAAACGCGAGTGGGATCTCCATGATTGGAGGTAATGGTGGTGATCAGTAAGAAGACAACCGGAGAAACCAGAGAATCCACACCATTGTGATCGGATTACTGAAAGTTATGAGGAAACGCCGATGGAGCAATGGAAGCTCACGTCAAGAAGATTGATTTGTTAATGCTACGGAAGAGTTTTGTTGCAGATTATAAGGAAACGCCGATGGAAGCTCACGTTAAGAAAATTGATTTGTTGTTAATGCTGCGATAGGGTTTTGCTGAAGAAGGAAGAAAAGGGATTTGAAAATAGAGGGAAGAGCGATCACAGCATTGGGAGCTCCGCTTATGGCAGTTGGGGAAGGTTTTGACTTTAGACTTTGAAGAGAGAAGCAGGTAGTAATGACACTACGTCGTTTTCACAATTACCAGATCTAGTCACGCGCCACACTAATCTAATTACAATTAGTCAATTACCTTCCATGTAATAATCATCGTTTTCGAGTTAATTAAGGAAAAGTTTATAGTTTCTACTTAACATTTATTTATGACATTTTATTTTGTGAGATTTTTTATTATACCAAAAAAAAAGTCTTCTCTTATCTTTTTATCATTTCTTTGATTTTTGTCATGTTTTGCCAAAATTGTCTTTCAATATAATTAATAACTCATATCAAATTCTTTTAGAATTGAACAAAACTACTAAAATTCCTAAAAATGATCTAAAGACTGTTTAGAATATTTGAATAATTTTCTATTTATTTTTCATGTTCAGAAAATTAATTAAAGTTTTGTTCTACCAATTTCAATAGAATATGTTTTCTATTAGTTACTTAAACGTCTCACGACTGTAGAATATGATATCTACAAGTAGTTTATATATACCTCTACCACAAACAAAATTCAATATCTACCAAATACTATATTTTCTACCATTTGGTAGAATTCGCTCCAAATATATTCTACATAATACACCATCTTCTGTTAATCGTGGATTTCATGTTCTACGTTAAACACTGACATCTATCGTCCATAGTTTTCGTATCATATGTGATACAATTCATTCTACCACCCATAGAAATCCGTAGAATTCGTGTTTCTACTAGACGTTCTACCAAAATAATTGTCAATAGTAATTCATCTTCTACCAGATTCGAGTTATATTGCAACTGAATATTTTTCAAATCTTTGTTTTTCTTCTTTTTCTTTACCATCTGAAACTATAATAAAGCCCGCATTATACGTGTGATGAAATGATAATAAAGTAAAATTAAATTGATATAGGTTTAGTTAAAAAAAATATAGGTTAATTATTTAATGGAGAACCTAAAATTTTCTTGTGTATATTCTGCTATTATTTTGGAAGTACCGTGGTTCACGGTTCACCTATGATATAATTTTAAACAATAATTTATAATTTAAGTTAAAAAATCAACATAGAATTAATATATGAAATTCAAAATTTGTTTATGTATATTTAAATTTGAATAAAAATGTGTTTCATCTATTAAATAATTTCAAATAAACAGTTTTATTTTTTTAGTTCAGTAACAAATAAATCATATACATTATCATAGAAAATTCTAGTATATTGTCTTTAATTTGATATGTAAGCTGTAAAATGTAATTAAATATTTTACATGTATACTGATTTTTAAAGTAAAAATAAAAACGAATTTAATTGTAAACTTTGGGGAAATTTCAAAATTACAATTTTTGAAATAATTATTCTTAGTAAGTTTAGAAAGATATAAATATGATTGGTTGCAGGAATTAGAGTAATCAAAATAAGTAATAATGAAAATAATTATGTTTGACAATGAATATAAGAGAATTAAATAAATCCAAAAATAAATTAGCTGAGAATAATTGTGGGAGTGACACATCAACAAACATTTTCTTCAATGTTCTTCCTTTAATATATCGACTAGTAGCTGTCTTGTGCATTAGCCCGGTTTATATTTTTTTTTATCTTTTTGGTTTAGTTTGGTATTCAACCCGATCAATTAATAGAATGAGTATTGTAGATTATTTTTGACTAGATTAGGCCCCGCGTATACGCCTGTTTATTATACAATTTTTTTTGAAATAAATCATAGAAAAATATTAAATAAATTTGACATTTTAAAAGTAAGTATTAATATTAAAACACCGATAAAAGACATCTAAATATTATTAGATTGGTAATATTTTATAAAAATCCTACGACTCGCAACCACGTTGTCCGCATCCAACTTTATATAATAAGATATCCAAACATTTCAATGTACTTTTAGATTAATAATAAAGAGATAAAGATGATTTTATATTTCCTAATAACGAAAAATTCCATTAAAGTTATTATTAAAACAGCATCTAAATTTATAAATAGGGATAAAAGTGGTCACACAAAACCCTAGTCGATAGAAAGAGGTCACAATAACAATTCACGAACCAAAGTTGGAGAAGATAATTATTAGGAACTAAGAGGATTTGTGATTTTCTCTCGTAGACAGAACTACTCTATTAGATGTCTTCCAAAGTTAGGGCAAAGAAGGGGGAGCAATCTCCAGAGCCTATGTCGTGTCAGATTACGTCACTTCCAGATGACATCATCATGGATATAGTAGCACGTGTACCGAGATGCTACTATCCCACAATCTCTCTCGTTTCCAAGAGTTTCGGAGCTCTCGTTGCGTCGCCTGAGCTATACACGAGACGATCCTTGTTAGGCTGCAGCGAACAGTGTCTCTATGTTGTCCTCTATATCCGCACCACCTATGATCTACGTTTGTCTATCCTCCACCGGAAAGCCAACAAGAATCGCTTGGGCATCATCCCATTGTTTCCTCCTTTGCATTACAGTAGAAGCTATGTCGCAGTCAATTCCAAAATATATGTGGTAGTAGGTCAAACAAACAATACACAGTGCATCGACTGTAGATCTCACACTTTGCAGTCCACCTCCAGCATTCCTAATATAATGGGTTTAAAGGTCGCTGGAACCATCGATGGGAAGATTTACGCAATCGGAGGCTGTTTGACTGATGACGATCGGTTGTCGAAGAGAGTCAAGGTGTTGGATACAGAAACTCAAATGTGGGAGTCTAGGTTGACAAAGCCTGGCATAAATCTAGGCAGCTTGAGGCCTTATGTTGTGGTGATGGAGGATAAAATTTACATGAAAGATGATGAGTATAGCTTTGTTTATGGGCCAAAGGAAAATAAATGGGAATTGGACGAGATGTTGAATTCTAAGAGATGGAGCAATGCATGTGTTGTTGACCATGTGTTGTACTATCACGATATTTGCAATAATATGTTAAGAGCATATGATCCAAAGGAGAGGTGTTGGAGAGTGGTGGTAGGTTTGGAAGAATTATTGGTTAACACGGCCGGTTCACCCCTTACCAGGACAGTTAGTTACGGTGGAAAATTGGCTATCTTCTTTGCAAAAGGAGAATATATTTGGAAACCAAACGAGATTTGGTGTGCCGAGATTGCTTTGGAAAGATGCCAAGGAGGAGAGATTTGGGGTAAGATGCAATGGTGTGGTGTTGTGTTTAATGATGATAATTTTTGCATGGTTGAATGTTTAGCTGTTACGGTTTGATTTAATAACTCTCCTTCGTATAAGTTCTTATTCACTCTCAGTTTCTTATGTCTCATTTTGTGGTTGGAAGCTTGTTTACTTAAGAGCACATAATGTTTGCAATAGATTTCTTCATGCTCAAGATACCTCAGTGTGTCTCTATATTATGAGCCAACTTTAATGAACATTTGATCCGTATGCTAACAAGTACTGAAACAACATTTGATTTGTATGCTTAACACTTAGTGAAAACAATCAGCGAATAAATCACAGATTTGGTGAGTTCATAATCAAAGTGGGCACAATAGTGTTTACCAATCTGTCTTCGTAGATACAGCCTGATATTTGTCTACACCTGTAGACGAAACCCAGACATTCGAGATCAAATTAAGCAAAATCAAATCGTTTTGCATTTGTTTTGTCTGAGATGAGAAATTCTTTAAGGGACGTTGTAGCTCGGTTTGAGATAGATTCTCATTTGAACCCATACAACTTTAACCTTGTGAGACATGGAAGAAAGAACGACTGAATTTTTATACGATAAAGTCGATTGGAAGACTCTCTAGTTGATAGGCTCATGTTTCGGCCCGTATTCTGCTGATGACTTCAGTTTAAATATTGAATCGGACATGTGTAGAGCAAAACCGAACCGAATCAAATTAAAGGTGGCTATGACGAGAACCGAACCGGTTGCTATTTCAAAATAGCATACAAAAAGATACGCGGTGAGCGTGGATCGAACACGCGGCTCTCAGCCCTAAGGATGTACATCAATAACGTTATTATCATATTAGTATTTGCAAATCAATTTTCGGGAATAGAGTCACCATGTTAACTCTCAGCCTCGGAATTACATAACTACCCTTAATGAAAATCTTGAAAAAATCTTTCAATTTGCTTATTATCTTATTTAAAAACGAATTTATTTTATTGGACGATGGATAACGAATTTTGCTTTCTTCCTAAATTATTTTTGGATATATACCGTATAATTAACATATTTTCGCGCCATATATATAGAGTAAATTAAAAATTTTGTAAAGAATTAAAAATTGGAAAACCTAGGTAGAATAAGAAAACAAAGCCAATTGAAAACCAAATTGTAAATAAAAGGATGAAAACGAATAAAAACCAGAAAATAATAAGATGACAATGAAGAGAAAACAAAAGAAAATATAATATCTGATAAGAATAAGAAATAAATGGTAGAAAATGAAGAAAAAAAATTTGAAAGAAGTAAAAGACAGAGTAAAAGAAGAAGAAGATAAAATGAGATTAGGGTTTACGATGTACAGTTTATATTGATGGGTGTAAGATTTAGTTTTTGGTGCATTTTAAAAAATTTGAATACACTACATTACCGATTAAAAACAAAAAAAACGGTTTTTAAGAAAAAAAATTAAAAATAAAAGCAAATTCAGAACAAATTTGTAAAATGTGGGATTTGGGTGTGCGGTTTGGGGGGGGGATTATAATGTGGAGTTTGAGTTAACGGTGTAGGGTTGTTTATAGGGTAGGGGGTGTGGGGGGGGGGGGGTATGGGTTTAGGGTTTAGGGTTTATGGTTAATATTGACGAGTGTAGGGTGATAATGGAACCCGCTTACTCGTCTGGAGACTCTGCAGATATTTATTTCCCATTCTTTCCCTAAACCCTACAAAACTTTCTTCTAACCAGATCATGTCGTGTCCACGCCATTACCATTTGAAAAATGTAATTTCTGTTTCGTATTTTTCAGGTCATAGTACAATTGTACAAATTCCATTATTCAATAAATCCAAATGTTAATTTTGGTACCAATATATATTATACATATTTGAATATAATTTGTAATGCATAAAACGTCGACTACGCTGGTCGATAGACTACAAATCTTATTCATCAGCCAAAATTATGGGTGTGAATGGTAAGCAAGTTAGAGTAAACCAATTTACTCTATCTCCTCCACACTAATTAGAATAAAATTGTTTTTGTTAGAGCATTTCCAACCCACCATCAAATCTCCCATTAAAACTTATTTTAGTGTGAAATCCATTTCCAATCTACCCTTATTTTTGACATCAAAATGAGGGAACATCATTTTTTCCCTTATTTATAGTGTAATCTCATTTATTCCCTTATTTTTGATGTTAATCTTTTTTATTTGCATATTGATCCTTCAAATTTAGTTTTTTTTTTAATTTACAACTTAAATAAGTTATAATTTTTGTTTCATTTGTTTACTAGAATTAATCATAAAATATTTTTTAGAAAATGACATGATTTATATGATACAAATAGATTATAATTCAGTTTTATAGCATTATAAAGTAAATAGTAGGTAACTCTAGAAAATTATATAAATGAGAAATTATTGAAATTGTTTTGTATTTTTAATGAAGTAATGTAATTACTATGTATAATAATATTTTAATTTAAATAATATACTAATTTATGGAATTTATTATAAGAATAAAATAAATGGGGCTAATTTGTAAAGCTTATAAATTAAAATGTTTTTACAATAAATTTAGATTTAAAATATACCTAGAATATTCCCTTGGAGAGAAACACAACATCATTCTAAGGAAACACTAAAATGATGGAAAATATAAAAGAATACATTGGAGATAGTCTTATCAAATGACTTTGATTTTTTCCAGCTGAAAATTTTAGGGAACTTGCAGTCAATAACAATATTGTGAACTGTGACAGATAACCATATAATAACCATATAATATTCCAGATAATTAACAAAGTAACCATATAATAGGCTTGACTAGAATATAACTTATATTTTGAGTGATTTACACTTTACAGCTATAAGTACTTTTGTCTTTTTTTCTTTCTACACTTATAAACACTTTATGCTCTTAGATGACAAAACACCTCTTTCTTCTCTTCTTTAATTTGGCTTTGTTTACTTTTCTTGGTTCTTGTTTTACTTTACTCTTTATTTCTTACTAGGAGAGTACCTGCCGGATGAGCGGATTTTTAATTATTTTACAGACTATTTATTTGTTAAAGAGTCTACAATTTGAATAAATATTTGTTAATTAATTTAACATCATTAATAGTTATGCTTCTTATTCGTACATTCATTTTACTAAAAAAATGTATATTAGTTTTTTTTTTACACTCGATTAACTAATCCAATACACAAATATGTGAACTGTTATAAGACAATTCTACAACGGACGATTCCACCATTTTCAAAGGCTCCCGGCCGACGGCTCCACGTGCACAATTCTGTAAACTTCCAGTAAGTTTGTCTCCAATAATATGCATAAATTATTAGCAAATCGCATCCGCCGGGATTCGAAACCTAGACCTCCTGGTGTAGAAGCATTAAATCCCTTCAACCATTAGGCTAAGAGGCTTCCACAAGAAATGTTTATTAGCTATGCGCGGGTTTATATATCATAACTTTTTCTATATAGTTGCTTCAAAACGTTTTCACATTATATATGTCTGTTGTGTTTGTATTGTTTTAGACTAAAATACTATATTTGACATAAGCGACTAAATTACATAAGAAACTTAACTCTCCTATGAGCATCATTCAGCTCTCCACTACTATTGTATATAATCCATATTCCAACCGCAAGCACATGCTCTAAATTGGTTCCCACCTTGTTTGTTTTTATAACTTTCGCATCTACAAAAGAACACAAACAATGATATATAGCACTTGATTCACATACAATATGTACCTAAATACACTCATCTGTTGGCTTTGTATTTGCTTTCTCTGTGATCTGATTCGAACAAGTGTAATAATAGGCTTAAACTTGATACTAAAGCTTCTTTTTTATTAGTAAATGATGTAGATTGATATAATGTTACAAAAAAGAATCAGAAACAAGAATCGAAACCCTTACATGATCACACTTATTTCCCTGTGTTAATACATATATCGATTTTAAACCCAAAACAAAGAAAAAATGTTCAGCTTCTACTTCTACTTCTACACTACTCTTAATTCACCAATAACCTCCACAAGAACACTTCCCCTGTTTGAAATGATGAAACCTGCTCGCATCTCTCACTACAATCTCTCTTCCCGTAACCAAAGATATAAACTCAACCACCTTGTGACAATCTTTACATATCCTATGGTTCTGAGTTATCTGCAACTGATTCCATTCTCGCGTGTTCACCAATCCATAAGCTATCGCAAGCTTCTCGCTGTGATACCTCACTACTCGCTCCTCTCCTTCAGTTACATCCACGTCTGGTAAAAGGCTTCTCTCCTCCGCACAGTACCCATACTCTGTTATCTCTTCCATTAGCTCATCAACCTTCTGATATATTTGCCTGTTAACCACATTTCAAGGTAAATGAGAGTGAAACAAAAGACATGCAAGCTTATATACTATTATACCTTTTCGTCGTCTCACTGTAAGACTCACACTCATCTCCTGAAAGAAAACTGTGACTCTGATCTCCAACCTCAACCCAAGAACAAGCAGGCATCATTCTCAAACCTCTGCTCTCCAACGCATCCAAAACCCCCGCGGCTTCCGCGGTTTTCCCCATACTATTATACACATTATACATCACAACGTAGCTTCCAAGCTTCTCTGGCTCCATTCCATAGAGTTTCTCAGCAACCACTCTTCCGAGCTCCAAGTTCCCATGCATCCTACACGCATTCAAAAGCGCCGCCCACATGTTAACCGTCGGTTTCAGAGGAGCTCTTCTGATGAAAGCAATTGCTTCATCTAACAAACCGTCTCTCCCCAAAATCTCAACCATACAAGCGTAGTGCATCGCCCTCGGTTTGATCCCATGAACCTCTCCCATCGACAAGAAAATCTCCCACCCTCGTTCTGATAAACCGGAGTAAGCACAAGCCGATAGAACCGCCAAGAACGTGACGTGGTTCGGCGCGACGTTCGCGGTTGTTACCATCTTCTCGAACAAGCTAACCGCGTCCGCTCCTCTACCGTGATTCGCGTATCCACCCATCAAAGCGTTCCACAAGATTATGTTCTTCCTCGGAAGCTGATCGAAAACGTGTCTTGCAGTGTCTACTCTCCCCCATTTGCTGTAGAAATCCACAAGCGCCGTGTTCGCAACGATCTCCGACTCGAAACCGCTCCGAATCAAACAAGCGTGCGCTTGCTTAGTAAGCTCGAGCTTAGCAAGCCTTGTGGAGATCCTTATCATAATCGAGAGCGTGAACTGATCAAAACAAGCACCTGACTCTCGCATCTCATACAACAAAAACAGAGCTTCCTCGCTGAATCCATGGAGCGCGTAACCAGCTATAATGTTATTCCAAGAAACCGTCGTCTTCTCAGGCATGTGATCGAAAACTCGTCTCGCGTCCTCAACATCTCCACACTTACTGTACATATCAATCAACCCGCAAGAAACAAAAGTGTTATCAACAGCTCCTAACTTCAACGCACAAACGTGCAGTTGCTTCCCAACGTGGATCGAACCTAAACCAGCCGAGGCACGGAGGATCACCGGAAACGTGTGCGTCTCGCAACCGGAAAGCTCCTCCCACATCATCTTAAACAGCTTCAGAGCTTCTAAATAGTTACCGAAATTGACGAAGCCAGAGATAATCGAGTTATAAGTAAAAAAGTTTCTCTCAGACATTTCGTCGAATAGCTTACGTGCTTCTATAATCATCCCGCATTTCACGTGCATTAACAAGATCTTGTTCATCATGTATTGCTCTGGCTCAAACCCGTTGCTCGTCATGTAGCCTAAAACCCTTTTCACACACCGAATCGATCTCAGACGTATACAAGCTTCCACTAACGCATCGTACGTACTACTCCCAACGCGAACGTTACCTCGAATCTCCAGAATCTCGAACAACTCAAACGCTTCTCTGAGCCTGTTGCACAAAACGAACTTTTCGATCTGGCTACATATCCTGATCTGGGTATCATCCAAAACCGGATCTTCCGATTCATCGGTTTCTGTAATTGGTTCCGGTTTAAGCTTTCGATTCGGTTTCAGCCGTTGAACTAGAGAAGAACAGGTGATTCTCGCGAATGGGTTTTTCCATCTTCTTCGACGGATCGAGAAATCGTATCGAGAAAACCGCGGGAAACTGAAAACGTTGGGATCGGAATAGTTAGAGTCACGACTATTACTCTGAGTATCGTCTAACCTTAAGCTCTGATAAAACGCGAGTGGGATCTCCATGATTGGAGGTAATGGTGGTGATCAGTAAGAAGACAACCGGAGAAACCAGAGAATCCACACCATTGTGATCGGATTACTGAAAGTTATGAGGAAACGCCGATGGAGCAATGGAAGCTCACGTCAAGAAGATTGATTTGTTAATGCTACGGAAGAGTTTTGTTGCAGATTATAAGGAAACGCCGATGGAAGCTCACGTTAAGAAAATTGATTTGTTGTTAATGCTGCGATAGGGTTTTGCTGAAGAAGGAAGAAAAGGGATTTGAAAATAGAGGGAAGAGCGATCACAGCATTGGGAGCTCCGCTTATGGCAGTTGGGGAAGGTTTTGACTTTAGACTTTGAAGAGAGAAGCAGGTAGTAATGACACTACGTCGTTTTCACAATTACCAGATCTAGTCACGCGCCACACTAATCTAATTACAATTAGTCAATTACCTTCCATGTAATAATCATCGTTTTCGAGTTAATTAAGGAAAAGTTTATAGTTTCTACTTAACATTTATTTATGACATTTTATTTTGTGAGATTTTTTATTATACCAAAAAAAAAGTCTTCTCTTATCTTTTTATCATTTCTTTGATTTTTGTCATGTTTTGCCAAAATTGTCTTTCAATATAATTAATAACTCATATCAAATTCTTTTAGAATTGAACAAAACTACTAAAATTCCTAAAAATGATCTAAAGACTGTTTAGAATATTTGAATAATTTTCTATTTATTTTTCATGTTCAGAAAATTAATTAAAGTTTTGTTCTACCAATTTCAATAGAATATGTTTTCTATTAGTTACTTAAACGTCTCACGACTGTAGAATATGATATCTACAAGTAGTTTATATATACCTCTACCACAAACAAAATTCAATATCTACCAAATACTATATTTTCTACCATTTGGTAGAATTCGCTCCAAATATATTCTACATAATACACCATCTTCTGTTAATCGTGGATTTCATGTTCTACGTTAAACACTGACATCTATCGTCCATAGTTTTCGTATCATATGTGATACAATTCATTCTACCACCCATAGAAATCCGTAGAATTCGTGTTTCTACTAGACGTTCTACCAAAATAATTGTCAATAGTAATTCATCTTCTACCAGATTCGAGTTATATTGCAACTGAATATTTTTCAAATCTTTGTTTTTCTTCTTTTTCTTTACCATCTGAAACTATAATAAAGCCCGCATTATACGTGTGATGAAATGATAATAAAGTAAAATTAAATTGATATAGGTTTAGTTAAAAAAAATATAGGTTAATTATTTAATGGAGAACCTAAAATTTTCTTGTGTATATTCTGCTATTATTTTGGAAGTACCGTGGTTCACGGTTCACCTATGATATAATTTTAAACAATAATTTATAATTTAAGTTAAAAAATCAACATAGAATTAATATATGAAATTCAAAATTTGTTTATGTATATTTAAATTTGAATAAAA